AAGGTTAATTAGTGGTTGATCAAATTTTTCTTATCGAACCACCGAAACCAGTTTCGTCTTGGATCTTCTCATTTACCTTTTAGCTGTTGGCGGATTTTAGAGCAACACCCTTTACAATTACTTTTGTACTTGGAATTTAATCTTGAAATTCACTCTATTCCTAATGACTGCTATAACAATTGCATGGAAATTTATTAATTTAATCATTTTTTGATCTTATCTATTATTATATCTGTATTTCGATCTGTAGAAAAATATTTGTACCTTGAAACTAATACTTTGCACCTTATTCTTACGATTACTGTAAATTCAGCAATTTATTGAAAAGCCAATTTCAGTAAATAATGATTTGCAAATCCCAATTGAACTGCATTGTCGCTATCTGATGAAATAGTTAATTTACAGGAAAAACATTTGATTTTTATCTTTCTAGTCTGGAAAAGGTAAAGTAGACAACATGGAGAAGTTATTTGAACCACGAGAATCACCAACTAAGAAGGAGTTAATTGGTGACAGCAAAAAAATGAAAAGTCAGAGTAAATTGTCCATGAACCAATCTGACCAGCAATCACCTATGAACGGAGTTTTGGTTCCTGTTGATTATGTTCAACCATCTGAAATGAATAATGGATTGACGTTGGTTAATGGTTCGAGCTTTGTTCAAGGCAGAACAGGTCCAATTTCAATCATTCCAGTCAACTCTGATATGTACCAACCATCATCTGTTATTCAATTTTATCGACTTCCACCAGGTGTAAATCAAGGTGGTGGTCAATTTGATCAATTGCTGCTTACAATACCCAACGCAAATCAAGAAATGAACTCTCCAGGAACTGTACCCAAAATAACCTGGAACGGAAGAGGTTCACAATCAGTTAAAGAAAGAACCGGTAAAGTTAGGGATAAAATGTCTCGAGGACAAAGTTTACCTCGAGAAAGAGCGAGTCAAAGATCGAAGAGAATACAGGTTAATTCAAAGGAAACCCAGGATAGATTTGTCCAGGTAGACCGTGATACTAAAGGCTTTCGGTTTGCGGGAAAAGATGATATCATAAAGAGTCAATCGGTTCCTCCAGTTGACGCATCGATGGATAATAGCATTGAAAATGAAGAGCACAGGGCAAAAATGTCACAAGATAATACGTATGAAAATGTTGAGGAAAATAATTTTAACAGCAACCACGATGAACTGAGTTCTGAGGCCAATTTAAAGACTGCAAATAATGAGGGTAATTTAGAGACAGAAAATACAGAGATAAACAGTGAAGGCATCTATGAAGAAGTTGATGATGAAACTGTTACAGAGTCCGGGAATCTTTATGATAGCACCAATGAACCACAATCACCGCAAACGGAGCCAATATTACAAAGTGTATCAGCCAATCTTTTTGCCTCTTCTTCCCACATTTCACGGTCCCTCATTGATATGGTCATCACTGGCAATAAACAAACGGATGTGGAAAATGACGAAAAAAATAATCACGATGGAAACACTAATATAAATAAACAGACGCGACCCTCATTGAGTGAGGCTGCTGAGCGAAGTGTTTCAGCCACTTTACCAGGAGAATACATTTCTGGTAACCAAAAGACTCTGGTTGATGAAAATAACAATATTAGGCTTGCTAAATCAAAGTCTGGACCTCGATCATCATACTCGGCTGTTTCACGGTACCAGTCTATAGATCCTGGTGAACCATATGACGATGGAGACGAAACGATGCTTTTTCAAAGGGACTCGACAACAGAGTCTGAGGCAACAACACCTCAAAGCGGTAGGGTTAACAATAAACTAAAAGAAAGAAAAAAATTGAATAAGCTTAGGTTAAATTCAATATAAAAATAAAGCTTGAAATCTTTTGAGTAAAATAATGATTCTCTTTGATCAAAATTACAATATTTTCATTACTTAAAAGGTATTTTTGTACTTACAGATGATACTGATGACAAGCAAGAGGTTAAATCATATCAGAAAGAAGGAGTCAATGATTTACCAGGTGTGGAAACACCTGAAAGGCTGGCCACACCGTCATTTTCTGATGAATTTTCAATTGGATCGGACACCTCTAGAGCATCAACAGCTAAAAGTCTGATTGAACCAAAGACCAACAAAAAAGAGACAAAACAAAACTCATCTTGTATTGTTTCATAGAAAATGTAATATTTTTTGAATTAGTTGAAGAAAATTAAAACTAAACAATCAAAGCACAGTCTATAATTTAAATAAAGATAATAATTCATTTAAATTACACCAAACTGAGTTACTTTTGAGCTTATATTTTACAAGTTACTGTGCCACAGTAATTGTGGCCCACAATTACTGTATCCGACGGAAAGCTCCAGGTTTGTAACATTATCATCTAAAGATCGCCTAAAAAATTGTATGAGATGATTTAAACAATTAGAAAAATTGTCAATGTATCGCAATTTTCCGATTCTATGGTAATCTGTAAGTTGATCTGATTTGACTTTAACAATTTTCGGTTTGATTTGACAATTGTTAACATGTTGCTGTTAGTTAATGATATTTCTGGCATTTCAAATTATGTCAATCAAATACGGTTGCTGAAAAATCAACTTGAAATCCTGACCATCAACTTTTAAAATTTTTATTAAACAAAAAATGATAAAACTCCGCTTTTATTAACAAGTTAATTCCTAGATTAATTAAATATTGATGTGCTCGAAGTGATGAATTGTTTCTGTGCTGGAAAGGTCTATTTCTTGAAATGAAAAGCGTATTGAGTGAAGTGAATACAGATGAACCAGATTCTGATTGAGTTGTGTAAGACGCATGACAAGTGAAAAATTTGGTTAAGCTGTGTAACCGCTTCGCCGATCAATAAATGAATTGAACAGTTTTCTTTTTGTTTTGCTCTTCTGATGTGCTTTAATTTCAATTTTTAATTAATTTCAGCTTGATTGTGATATTTTATCAATTTGACATCACTTTAATTAATGACTCAATAGTAATATTGAACCTTCGTTAACTCTATAAAATGTGCTTTTATTTGTTTTGGTTCATCAAAGGTCTTCTTTAGATACACTCTTATGCTTCCTCTATTGCAATATTAGTAGTCTGTCACTCCTTTTCCTGAAATCATTAAACTTCTGTGTGCCAATTATTAAATGATTGACTTGCTGGTTTGGATTTACTCGAGATTTACTTGAGATTTACCGTTTAAACTATAGGTAAGTTAATCCACATATGTATTTTGTGCTTCAATGTTTCGAGTTTATGTGTAACTCTCATGCTGGTGTGTTATCTTTCTCACAAGATGAAGGTGAATTTCATGAATCTTTAAGAGATTATTGTATAATATGTTGACATTTTCAGGTTCGATTATTATTAGCATTTTCAATTTTTCCTTTTTCTTTATCTTGCAACATCTTCCGGTAGATCAATCATGATTATAATGTAAATATTCAGAGTGTAGTCTAATTTTGGAAGTAACCTTGAAGTCTAACAGGCAAACTGAATAGCTTCCTTTTCCTCCTGTGCAACCTTTTTTGCTCTCCTTCGATTCAAATGCCATGAACTAAATGAATCATGCAATTATTCATCTTTCTCGAACGCTCAGATTACTCTTCAGCTTGATCAATTTTGAGTGACATACAAACGCTAAACTCACATTTCAATCAAAAATTGGTACTCAACTTGATTCAGGGTATTTCTGGTTTTCAGTCCATCTTAAATACATCAATTGATTATACCAATCAACTCAGGAGATTTATTATAGCTACACTTCATGTACCAATCTGATGGAGCCATTGAAATTTTTGGAGTCCATCCAAAATTGATAGATATGAATAATCACCCGAATCTGGCTTGTGAAAGTCAAATTGTTTAAAGTAAACAATTGAGAAAGAGTTGGTCGGTTAAAAAATTCTGAACTTATCTTCTCGAGCTACAGTTTATTTAATGTTACCATGGGTTAAGTAAACCATTTTCATCACGAGATTTTGAGCTTAACGACACTTAATTATTCATAATCTGGAAATATCACAAAAAGCTTGATGAAAAACTAATAGTTAGCAGTTTTTATATGTAAACGAACTGTCAGGGTCATTAGTAACAACAACCCAAAGCTTATCCCAATCTTCATCCTCATCCTCATCTTTACCTCTCATCTAGAGGTATGAATCATATAAGTCAAGCGCAAGTCTGTTGATTTTCTTTGTTGGTCTCTATTATTTTAACCAACCATTTGTCCAAATAGCTAGAGGGGCAAGAATCTTAGAATCATTTGTGCCAAAAAATGAAAAGATCTGGTAATCAACTGGAAATCTATGATTTCAAGTTTTAATTTGAATTTACTAATTGATCTTATTTTACAGGCAACAAAAGGCCAAAGTTAAAACATGGAAAGTGCAATGAATGGTTAATCATGTTAAAGATTACCATCACTCAGCTGGACATCAACAATCCATCTAAAGAATCAAATTAACACAGTCAAAGTAAGGGACATTGGCTTTGGTGTAAATCATGTTGGGTCGTAAGCAAAGTTTACGTCGATGTGAGGTGCTTCTTGCCGATTATGGTCCAGAGGAGACTTTCAATGAATCAACCAACATTGAATGGGTCAATAAACTGTCGATCCGTCGATTCTTCCGTCTTTGTGCTTTAATGTCACTCATATCTGTTTGCCTTAATACACCTCACACATTCAAAATTCATTTCTCGCTGATTTACGCTACTCTGGTCATTGATGTAATTGTAACGTTTTTCTTCACCGCTGAAATGATTGCCAAAATGCACATTCGAGGTTTGTTCAAAGGAGATAAACCCTACATCAAAGATAAATGGTGCCAATTTGATGCTGTTATGGTTATTTTTCATTGGATATCTGTAATACTCCCATGTAAGTTATTGTTAAACATTAGAGTAAAATCATTTTTAAAACATTGAAATAGTAAATTAATATTTGTTTTTTCCTTCCGATCCATAAAAGGTTTTGGAGATTACCGATTTTGTGGCCAAAGATTCATCTCTTTATTCATTTGTCCGAGCTCCTCGACCCTTGATTATGATCAGATTCATCAGAGTCTTCCTCAAGTTTTCAATGCCTAAAGCAAGGATACACCAGATTTTCAAAAGATCATCTCAACAGATTTATAATGTAACACTTTTCTTCCTCTTCTTCATGACTCTTTATGGTTTACTTGGTGTTCAATTGTTTGGTCCATTAACTCGCCATTGTGTTGTCAATGGCACCAATCCATCGCAACTTCACCTTAATCATCTTGCCATTCCAGATGCTCATTGTTCACATGATGGAATACATGGCCATAAATGTCCAGAAGGAATGGAATGCATGGAATTAGCATTAGAGAAAAAGATTCTTGGTTATACCGGATTTGATCATATTTTTCACTCTTTTTTCACCGTTTATCAAGTTTCATCTCAAGAAGGTTGGTCTCACCTAATGTACCAAGCAATGGATTCCCTTCCAGCCTGGAGAGCGGCAGCTTATTTTATAACAATGATCTTTTTTCTGGCCTGGTTGGTTAAAAATGTCTTTATTGCCGTAATTACGGAAACCTTCAATGAGATTCGTGTCCAGTTTCAACAAATGTGGGGTGAAAGAGTAACAATAACACCAGAGGCAACACCGCAAATATTACGAGGTGATGATTCGGGTTGGAAATTGATTGAGGTTGACGAAAACCATAGTGGTGGTAAATTTCGTGCTCCACGCTGTTTACGACAATTTATTCAAACAGCAGCCTTTCAAGTGATTGTAATGATGGGAATTGTAGTTGATGCCATTGCTGCTGCTTCCGTGTCCTTTGAACATGATGGTCGACCTCGGTGGGAATTTTATAAATCTTATTATTATGCAGAGATAGCAATGACTATATTTTTTGACATTGAGCTGTTGTTGAAGCTCTGGTGTTATGGAGCAAAAGGTTACTATCGCTTAACCTTTCACAAATTTGAATTAACTCTGGCAGTCATGACAACTCTACACATTATTCCAAATTTGTTTCTTTCAATGTTGGCCTTTTTTCAAGTTCTCAGAGTTATCCGGTTAATCAAAGCTTCACCTGTTCTAGAAGACTTTGTCTCCAAAATTTTTGGTCCTGGTAAAAAATTGGGTTCTCTAATAATCTTTACAATGTGTCTACTGATTATCATTTCTTCCATTTCCATGCAACTTTTTTGTTCTCTCAAGTATTACAACAAATTTCGTACATTTCCAGAGGCTTTCATGTCAATGTTTCAAATATTAACCCAAGAAGGTTGGACTGAGGTGATGAATGAGACAATGTTACGAACCAAGGAATCGTTTGCTCCACTAGTTGCTGTTTACTTGATTACTTATCATCTTTTTGTTTCACTGATTGTTCTTTCTCTTTTTGTCGCCGTTATCCTGGACAACTTGGAATTGGATGAGGATATAAAAAAGGTCAAACAGTTGAAGGCACGAGAACAATCAGCTTCAATTAGTGAAGCGCTTCCACTGCGATTAAGAGTCTTTGAAAGATTTCCCGATTCTCCTCAGATGGCCAAGTTAAACGTTATTTCATCTGAGTTTGTTTTACCCAAAGTCCGTGAATCTTTTATGCGATCATTTATTGATGACGAAGAAGAAGAAACTCCGTCAATGAAGAAAATTGCTCCTGATCAAGACGCATTGATTACCTATAGAAAAAGCTTTCCCATTCGCCTATTAACTTCACCTGCTAAAGTGAGAACCACCAACTTTGTAATCAGGAAAAGCTCAGTTAACCGAATTGTTAATGATTCAAATTATCATCGTTTGTTGATTGGTGATTCTGGACAAATTTTTGTTCCCGGTAAAAATCAAAGGATTGGTGATCAGTGTGGAACCAAGTTAACTCGTTATGATGCTAAATCAATGAGACGATCAGTGAGAGGTTCAATCAAAATGAAACATACTTATGATCATTTAAAGGAAAATGGTGGAGAGATAACTGATAATCCTGCTGCTGGTGCAACTGCTCGTAATCCTCATGATTTTGACATCAAATTGTTGCAAAGGAAGAGACAACAAGCTGAAATGAAAAGGAACCAACGAGAAGAAGATCTTAGGGAAAACCATCCTTTCTTTGATACTCCATTGTTTCTTGTTGGAAGAGAAAGTCGATTCAGACGAATCTGCCAATTCATTGTTTATTCACGTTATGACCCTAGGATTAGAGACCCTGTTACAGGAAAAGAAAGAAAAATTCGTTACAAAGGAATTCAGTAAGTTCTTATTGATTTATTAAAGATTTAACAGAAAGCAGACCAAAGAGTAGGATAATTTACTTTACCCTCTGAATCAAAGAAAAAGTAATCAATGCAGAATAAATGAATGAAATATTTTGCACAGATCACTAATTGTATCAAATGTAACAAAACTAAAATGAAACAAAATTTCCTATATAATCTTGAAAATAATTATAAGCAAGACTCAATCAAAATTTACACTTTCAACTGAGAATGTCAAATTGTAATACAATTGACAGCCTTTTCATCGAAAACCTTTCATCAGGTAAAGTTGTATAGTTCCTGAAGTAATGATGATTATCTGTTGACACAACAATAATAGTGACCAACAAGAAAAAAAAATAGACCAACAGTAAAACCCAGTTACAAGCAACAAACAGAGAGACAAAGGTAAAACAACAAGCGATGATGATATCTCCTTGACCTGACTATTTCTATGATATTTTTACCTCCCTTACCCCATTCATTTAACGGTAATGGGTCATTTGGTTAACAATGATTTTCACCTTCCCTTTCCATGAGGTTAGTCAACCCAATTTAATCAAAATGCAAGCTTAATGATAATCAACACCAACAACAGTTACAGTTGTTTGACTGAGAAACTAAAAACAAGTCAAGTAAACCTGTTAACAGACTTACACTCACACTCACGACAGCAAAGCCTTTTCAAGTGACAGTCAATGGAGAGATGAACAGAAGAAAAAAAGTTTCTCATTTTCAGGAGATTGAGTGGATAGCAAGAGAAGAAGAAGAAAAAATTGAATCTAAAATGTTTGACAAGATGATAAGTCACCATGATAAGGTTATCCTACTCTTTGGTAAATGCATTTTTAAAATTATTTCACAATATTTTTCAGTTTTTTGTATTTCCAATGATAATTAAAATTGATTTCATTTTACCATAAATATTCAATCTATTATATTTCATTTTCATATTATATTTCGAACTCACATTTTTTCTCATTTTTCCTTGTACAGCAATTTACTCGGTTTAGTAACTTATCTGGACTGGATAATGATAATTGTGACAACCTTAAGTTGTATATCAATGATGTGTGAGAAGCCACATTATAGAATAGCAAACAATTCTGAACTTCAAATCATGGAATACGTTTTTGTGACAATGATGGCTATTGAACTGTCTCTGAAAACTTTGGCTGATGGTCTTTTATTCACACCTAAAGCTTTGGTCAAAGATGTTACCGGAATCATGGATCTTTTCATATTCACAGTCTCTTGTGTATTCATCTCTTGGATGCCCGAAAAGGTTGAACCAAGTTCAAAACAACAAGCAATTTTGCTTCTTCGATGCATTCGTCCACTTCGAATCTTCAGTCTTGTTCCTCACATGAGAAAAGTGGTTTACGAATTATGTCGGGGTTTCAAAGAGATTGCACTTGTCTCCGTTTTACTGTGTGTCCTACTATTTACATTTGCCTGTTATGGTGTCCACATGTTTGGTGGTCGATTGGCTCGTTGTAATGATCCTGATATCAATACACCGGTAAATCATATATTTTAAATATTGATCAACCTTCTTACAAAATAAACTATTAATCGTGTAACCTTTTAATTGACGTTTGAATTTATCTATTCACAGGAAGAGTGTGTTGGTGTGTTTTTCCGACGTCTTTTTGTAACCAAAATGAAAGTCAGTTCACCGCCAGATGATGAAAATTATCCTGAAATTTTGGTTCCTCGAGTTTGGTAAGTTGTAATTTTTTTACCTTCATGTCTTTTAACATAATATAACACAATTCATTGAATAGCTTTTCACCAAAAACACTGAGCTTCCAAAATTTTGAAATCATTTTGGCAATAGCATGAGACAATATTGGATTTAATGGTGATCATCAAAACCATCAAACTCAAAGTCTATTAATCAATGATTATAATTATCAGTCTTCAATGATTACATGTTTACTTGTTTACCATATAAAATCATCTTAGGGCGAATCCAAGAAATTTTAATTTCGACAACACTCCGTCCGCCATGTTGGCCTTATTTGAGATGCTATCAATTGAAGGTTACACCGATGTAAGAGACATCATATTGGACAGAGTTAGTGATGTGAGTATCAAACAAAAGTAAAAAATAGATGTTAATAAGATTGTTTCTCACCTTAATATACCTTTTGATAAAATGGTGCAGCTTCAATAAAAAATCAACAATTAGCTTTTGCTTCAGCTTTGTAATCCAATGAATAATATCGTATGTAGTTCACAAAATTTATATTAATACACCATTTTGTATATTATTTGTGAAAATAATGCGCTTAACCACGAGTGCTTCTTTATAATTATTAACACCAACTAATCGACTTGATGGCTTTACTAATATTTTCCGTGTTTCATACGCTAAGTGTGTCTCTGCTGTTGCTTAACTGATTTAGCTCAATCATTTTAATCACTGTGTGTTGAAAAATGTTGCATCAAATGCAATGAAACATATATCGCTCTAATTGCTTCTTGTATTAACTGCTAATCTCAGGGCTAATCCTCGGCGATTTAACTTTGATAGCATTGGCAATGCAATGTTAGCATTGTTTGAAGTGCTTTCCTTCAAAGGCTGGTTGGATATTCGAGATGTTATACTCCAGCGACTTGGCCCTGTAAGGAAGACAATAATACAATTTAATTATGAAAATAACTGCATGATTGACCCTTCTTTTAAACCTTCATTATTTGTTTCAATACACCACCAGAATGATTGGTACGCTTTTATTTTCATTTATTTTATACCCAAAATTATCAAATTTTTGTTCATTACCTGGCTCTTTGCATGGAACCAAATTCAAATTTGTTATTTACATTTCACGTTGGAAATCAATTTACCAATTTACCAATAATAGGTTAAAGTAATCGACGAAATGAAAACTTAAGCACAAAAATGAAACCTTTTCTCTTAATTTTTACCTCTAGGTTTATACAATTTATATTCATGTTTATGTTTTCCTTGGCTCAATGATTGGATTAACATTGTTTGTTGGTGTTGTTATCGCCAATTATGGTGAAAATAAAGGAACAGCTCTATTGACTGTCGACCAAAGACGATGGTGTGATCTTAAAAAGCGTCTGAAAATTGCTCAACCTTTACACCTTCCACCAAGACCCGATCACCACAAGATCAGAGCATTTTTCTATGATATAACGCAACACATTGCATTTAAACGTCTTATCGCCATCCTCGTTTTAACGAACAGTTCACTTCTCTGTGTAAGCTGGGACAAGAATGCAAGTCATACAGTCCCATTGGCCACTGTTTCTTCCGTCCTAACAATGATGTTTACCATCGAAGTTCTAATCAAAGCAATCGCCTTTACTCCGAGAGGTTACTGGCAATCAAGGCGTAATCGTTATGATCTTTTAGTGACAGTTTTAGGTGTTGTCTGGGTCATTTTACACTACACATTAATGAATGAAATCAGCTATTCATTTGGCTTTATCGTGGTCATTTTACGCTTTTTCACCATCACGGGTAAACACGCAACACTCAAAATGCTGATGCTCACTGTGGCAGTTTCCGTTTACAAATCCTTTTTCATCATTATGGGAATGTTTCTCCTCATCCTTTTCTATGCTCTAATGGGAGTCATCCTTTTTGGAACAGTTAAACATGGTGAAGCTATTGGAAGGTAAAATAATTAAAATAAAATCAATAAATTAAAATCAGAAACATCTTATCGAAACCTTTGACTAACCTTTCATTTTCATTTTATACCAGACACGCCAATTTTAGGACTGCTATACATGGTATCATAACTCTATTCCGAATTGTTACTGGTGAAGATTGGAATAAAATAATGCATGATTGCATGGTAAGAATTAACGGTAAATTGAATTAACATCGACACTAATAAATTATTGTTTCCCACCTTTTTTTACAGATCAGTTATCCTTATTGTACACCTGGTGATAATTACTGGGAAACTGATTGTGGCAATTTTAAATTTTCATTGCTTTATTTTTGCTCCTTTTATGTTATCATTACCTACATTGTTCTTAATTTATTAGTGGCCATTATTATGGAAAACTTTTCACTTTTCTATTCAAACGAGGAAGATGCTTTGTTGAGTTATGCTGATATCAGAAATTTTCAGAATACCTGGAATATGGTCGATACCCAACAAAGAGGAATGATTCCTGTTAACAGGGTTAAATTTTTACTTCGATTGTTAAAAGGTCGTTTGGAAGTTGATTTGGAAAAGGACAAGTTGCTGTTTAAACACATGGTACACGAAATGGAGAGACTTCACAATGGTGAAGATGTTACGTTTCACGATGTTATTAGCATGTTGTCCTATCGATCTGTTGATATTCGTAAAAGTTTACAATTAGAAGAGTTAATGGCCCGAGAAGAATTAGAATATATTATTGTTGAAGAAGTAGCCAAGAAAACGATTCGTTCATGGTTAGATAAATGTTTCCGTCGCATAAAACTATTGAAAAATTCATCAAGTTTAATACAAAACTTGAGAGCAACAAATGCACTTCTTTACGAGAAACTCGCAGAAGGAACAAGCTTGGGACTAGAAGAGCCTTCACCAGAGAGGAGAAGGTCAATCAAAGAGGAAAAAGTGACCGAAGATGTTAATAAAGAAATAGTTGCCTCTCACGGTGAAATTGGAAGCTCAAGTACCCTGGTTTCAGCCGGTGGAATGGGCCAAGGTGGAATGTCAAGCTCAATGTCGGGTGGAACAAGTGGATCTTCATTGGGTGGAGGGCAAGGTGGTCACATCAGTGGAGGAATGGGAAGTGGTTTAACTGTTGGAGGTGTTAGTGGCCAATCAGGAGCTGCTGATGCTGGCTTGACAACTTCACGGTGGACCAAGAAAAAGCCTCCAAGTAGATCGGAGAGCTTGAATACTCCATTTCCAGGAGCTTCTGGTAAAGGAACTTCCATGGCTGGTAAAAAGTTTCTCGCACCGAGTAACATGGATGGTTCTCGAGGTAAAGATAAGACCAATGATTTGTTAACATTGAAAGGAGCAACCAGCAAATGGACAAGTAAAATCAATGGAGGAATGAGTGGAGCATCAAACGCTTCAGGTGATCCTAGCAACGATTCTAATATTGTAATGAGTCCAAGTGGTGTTGGATCATCTATTGGAACTGGTGTTATCAATAATCAAGGAATTTTAGCCTCTAATGAAATGAATGATGACGATGGTGACACTGGAGATAAATGGTTATCCTTTTCAGTGGCTCATTGTAAAAAAAATACAAACTTACCCAAAGTATCATCGTTGGTTGATGAAGTGCATGCTTGGTGGTCATGTCAACTTGAAAACCATAAAACTAAAAATACATCGACATCAGCAGATTGTGCTGCTTATTAAATTTTATTTTAAGTCCAAATTGTTCAAACTTGCCAAAACAATCCGCTTCCATTATTATAAAGATTAAAATTTTAGCAAATGAGATTACAGTTCCATGTAAATCTACCAACACTAAGAATCATTAACATTAAAATCATTTTGATAAAATTAAAAGTGTGACTTTAATTCATTTGAATTGAAAAAAACAGTAAAAAATCAAATTGAACACAAATGGGCAAAACGGTTAAAAATTAATTTCTTTCAGATTAAGACTCTGTAAGCTTGTAAGGACATAAAAAATGAGTCCATTTGTGCAATTTAAAGATTTCTCTGATGGACAGTTTTCGAGAAAATTGAGTTCGAAGTTGAAACAGGAATCTCTTTTTGTAAAATCATGGAAGCAAATTTTTGCATAAAACTCATTTTAACGAAGTAACTTTTGAGGACAAACCAGAAAATTGTCTTATTTTGAGAAATAACATGTTCCGTGACTGTAAAACAGATCAAGTTCAATTTTCAGTTAAACCGATCGCTTTCTGTCACCACAAGAGTTAGAGAACTGAAACTTAGGATGTGTGTGTTAATATGTTCAGTTCACATCATGGTTTGAATATTTCTAACAATTTAACAATTCTTTTCTTGGTTTTAGCCATTGACCATAAGACTTTGAGCCTCGATATTTCGAGAATGGCATCCTAATGTCATCATTGTTTTACGAAACATTAGATTTCATTATGGACTATAGCAGTTTATGACTGAATACTGAATAAAATCTGAGATAATTCATTATTCCTTATTAGATAATGAAGATCCTTCCAATGCATAAGGTTCGTGATTGTTAACCATTCAACTTGATAAATCAAATCTCAAATCTGTTAGCATAAGTAATAAAAAGCTATAACATTTTTTTCAGAATCTTGAATGATTTGTTATTTCAATATGTTATAGCTCATAGTAAAATTGAATACTTGACCAAAAAATGGTGATTGTAGCTGATACCATTCTCGAAATATTGAGGCCCAAACTTTTTAGGTTAATGGCCAATATCAAGAGAACGATTGATAAATTGAACAAAATATTCAATTCATAATGTGTGCAAACAATTTTTATGCTCAAAAAATAAGTTTCAGATCTTTGAACCTTGCGGTCATGGAAATCGGGCGGTTTGATTGAAAATCGAACTTATCTATTTAACAGAAAACAGAAACAATTTTTCCTCAAAATAAGTTCATTTTCTGGTTGAGCATTGAAATCTACATCAGATAAATGATTTTGATGAAAAAATTTGGTCAAACAATCGTACAAAAAGGCGATCGAATTTTCAATTTTGACCTTTATTTTCTCGAAAACTATCCATTGGAGACAAGAATTGATGGTTCTAATAGACTCAACTTATATTTCCCTACAAATTCAGATCAAGTGTCAACTCTTAACTCAAATGTTCGAGCTTTTGGCAGCAGTCTTTTCATTTCATTTGTAATTTTAACCAGAAAATTGGTTTATTTAGCAAGATTGGGTTAAGATGAGTTTGTTTTGTTGAATAAGTTGTTGTTTCGCACATTTACAGCCCAAATATCATGACCCAAATGAGCTAATGGAAATTAATTAAATTTTTCTGCATTATTAATTAGTAAAGAGATCAATTGGTGAAAGAAAAGGGCTTGTAAGTCATGCCATTCTCGAAATATTTAGGCTCCAAGTTTTAAGACTAATGGCCAAAATCAAGAGAAATATTGGTGGATTTAAAAAATTATTCAATCTATGATGAGTACAGAAAATTTTTGTGCACAAATAATAAGTTTCAGATCTTTACCTCTTACGGTCACAGAATGTGATCGGTTTAACTGAAAATCGAACTTATCTGTTTTACGGAAAAAGATCAATTTCATTTCTCAAAATAATTCCATTTTCTGGTTTGTCATCGCAAGTTACATCAGTGAAACGAGTTTCATCAAGAAATCTGCTTTCATGATTGTACAAAAAGCGATCCAAGTTTCAACTTTGAATTCGATTTCCTCGAAAACTATGGGTCAGATAAACTCTTAAACCGCATAAATGGACTCATTTTTTCATGTCCCTACAAGCTAACAGAGTCTTAATTTGATAGAAATTAATTTTTACCCGTTTTTGCCCATTTTTTCAGTGTTTGTGTCAATTTGTGTATGAATTGTGTTGTTTGTCTTTTTAGTCACAACCAAATGTAATTCAATTTCATTGATACATTGCTTAGAGAAATGCTTGAAAGGTTGAAATCAAAATTGGTCACAGTTAATTACAGCATTAAAAAGCTGTACGAAAGTTAATACGAAAAGTACACTACTTTTCTGACATTCGTAGGAATTTGCGCGATGAGATGATATTGTGATATAAATGAGGTGTGGAAATAATCAATATTAAAATGTAATTAAATTTTACTGATGCATTTTCAATGATCTAGTGTAACTTAGCAAATCACAAATGATACCCAAAAATATATTAAAATAACAATTTACAAAACAGTAACTTTATTCTGAAGGTTATTCAGCATTTGAAAACAAATTTGTGGTTCAGATCTGGACTTTAGGCCACTATTTTATGTTCTGATCTGATTTTGAAAATTGTATCTGAAATGCAAAAAGTCAATTTAACTGTTGGTGCTTTTTCGGTAAGAAATTTAACTGTTGCATCTTTGATTTAATAATATAAGCTGTTTGATATTGAAGGTGCCATTTGCTCGAGATTTTATGGAAAAAGATACTGAAATTGTTACTAGATTGAAGTCTCTTAAAAGAGCTTCAGCAATTCTATTGGATTATGGTCCTTTCAAGTAGGTTTTATTAACTCTACTTACGGTTTAAGTATTAATAATTTTGGTTTCTTGTTATTTAGTCTGAAATTCATTTTACCCGAGGAAGGACAATTGGGTTTACTAACAGAAACTGGTTATCATGATGGAGTTTTGGGTTTAATGCAAGAAGGGGTAAGTACAGTCCAAATAACAATCAACTGTGAGATGTCAAGCATCTAATGATTGTTTAAACTGATTCACTTGAATTCGACAAGTCTATCGTTTTGATACGCAAACAAAATTTTCTCGCTAACTTTTTTTTTATTATTAACTTATGCTTTTAGAAGGTTAATTTGTGCTTTTTGCCAATGCCGCTGGATACCCAAAAGGTTCCTGGTTATTTCAGTTCTGTTGTATCAGAAGAAAACTTCAATATATTTAGTACACGAAACCTGAATCTTGACAATTCAGCAGTTGTTTCAAGTCTAACATCAGTCGAAGCAAGTCCTTTATTATTTGCTATTCTGGCCATATTCATATTGGAATTGATTGCTGTTAAAATTTTCAACATTGAAGCATTGTTAACAGCCATCTTTAGATCCTTCGGTATCTCATTTTACCAAGATTTATCTCACCGTTTCCCATGGCTTTGCTTGATTCAAATGCTTATCCTAATGTTTCCCGTGTTCATCATCAATTCTGCATTCAGTACACAAACTATTGTTGGAACTGCGGATTACAAGATTGATACATTAAAAGATGTTATTGAACAGGGAAAGATACCATTTTTCATCGAAGGTATCTCAATGTACGACTTCTTCAAAGGCAAAGTTAATAAAGATTATGCCGATGTTTATGAACGGGCCGTTGCCAATGGATTGGATGAACCATTTCGATTAGGACCTGTTCCTGTATTTGAAAAGAGCGAATTGATGGTCACTTTCCTATCAAGTGTTGGCAGAAAACTAGCTCCATTAATGAGTTCAGTATCTACATATTGCAAAATTAACCAAGAGCATTACTTCTCGGTACAGCCTTTTCATAGATCATTACAAGCTATGCTTTTCAGCCATAATACTTCCGAATCCACCAGAAAAAGGTTCGATACTCTGTAAGTATTTGATTGTTATTAAATCGTTTTGAATCCCGTTATCCCAATACTTAATTTTACGTCTTAATTGTTGTAGATCTCGCCGGTTGATTCAAAGTGGGATTTTTACGAAAATGAGAGAAGATTCTTACGTTGAGTCTATACTCTCCTTTTATCCTACAACCTTATACCACTTTCACAAGTCTGAAGCTCCTCTTAAAGGCGATGATCTCAATTGGCAGTCATTAGACTACAATAAATTCTATCAAATATTCTTTATTTATATAATTATAGTGATTATGATATTAACTGTTCAGCTGATTGAGCTCAGCATTGCGTTGTATTACACTTATAAATGAATAAAACTTATTAAATCTTGCATACAAGAGACATTCAGGTAAACACAAAAAGACAAATATGGAAAAATCATGATTACCAAAAGAATCAGAAACATTCGTAACTTGAGTAACCAACGATAAATACAAAATCATAACTTGTACCTTATAACCGCATGAATCTTGACCATTTCAATATCATTCGGGGCAGAACAATCACTGGTTGTGATTGTTCTGGTATCTAATGGATCCACTTTAGATGAAATTTATTCGCTTACCAACGAAATTTTCTCGATTGATCAGAGCAATAGGTCAAAAATCGGTTTAAATAATAGTGATTGAAAAACTTCCATAATGGCGAACTATACCTTGAACATTTTGCAACAAAATATATTAAGTGTTAATCATTCGATCGATACAACAATTTTGCCTGGATTTGGTCTAGTTTAAATAAGTGATAATAGTAAAATGATGAATTTTCAATTGGTTTGGTTTGCATAAATAAACATTTATAAAATAATTTGATTTCTTATTGTCAAAACCCATTAAAAGTATCATTAAAATTGACAATTTTGTATTCATAAATAGTCAATGTTTAATCAGGAGAAGTGGCCAATTCGTTATTAAACATTGAATAATTTTATTCAGCTCTAATTGATGATTTTGTTTGATTTGATTTGACTCAAGTTGTGAATGGGAATTTAAAAGATGTACTATTCATCGAAATGAACATTGCTTTTCTGTTCTAATTCAACTGGAAACTTACAACGAACGGTCTCAATTTTTGAAACTAAAGGCACGATGAAAGTTACCTATTAGAATAATTTTAGCACGAAATAAAAGTTGAAAACTTTGCAAACACCTGAGGAATCTCATTCATCTACAGCATTCTTCTCACTATTCATCATGTCTTAACTTGATTCAAATGCTTATCCTGATGTCTCCAGTATTCGTCTTCAAAGCTGCATTCAGTACCCAAACTATAGTTGGAGACAGGGATTACAAGATTGATACATTGAGAGATTTTATTACAGGAAACAAACCACATTTTATCGAAGGCATTTCAATGTAAGACTTCTTCAAAGGCAAAGTTAATAATGCTTCTAATGCTGTTAATAATAATGATTATGCTGATATTCATTGCAAGATGTTATTAACTTTTGTAACATGTGAAGACCATTCGTTGTTAGTAAAAGTTGAATGGTTTGGATTGAAATTTCTAACTCCAGTTATCATGATGTTTAGCAAATCGTTATGAATGTTTCAGGCGCTTTTGGTAATGAAAATCATTGCATACTTGACTCACTGAGTGCCTCAATGTATCTATCGCATGTATCTTGTGACCATATAAAGGTACGTCTTGTAACTTAAAAGTACGGCAGACATTTGTTTCCAATCATTGATCAAATTTGTAAAGTTGAACTTATTAATAAATACGGTTTAATATGTTTGATTTGATGAAATTGTCCAATATTTCTCTTTAAATTGTTGACTGTTTTGTTTCATATTTTTTACTGATTAAATGGACTGTGAAATTATACCAGAAATGGTACATCTTTCATAACTGGAAAACAAAATAAATTTTTATTTACTTCTATTTTATTGCTACATATTAAGGTGAATCCGATAAAAAAAATTATTTAGATGAAATGAGATAAGTGTGAATAAAATAGATAAGACTGCATAAAAGTGTGACGTATTTGAGACGTCACATTTTTATGTTTTCCGAACTCAATTTTTCACTCACATTATTGACTTGCGCATTCATTCATTGAAAAACGTGGTAAAACTGAGCTCAGTTTGAATTTTGTTTGTGTTAAACATTAAATTAGGTTTTATTGTTGTTAATTAGTTTAGTGCTATTCGGTTTTCAACTTCTCTGATGGACCAACCATCCAACCAACGTAGTGAAAATTCAATCGAAACAATTTTTCTTGAATTAGAAAATACTAGGAAAAAACGCAAGAAACAAGATTTTGACTGTAAGTATATTTATGAGTCTTGAATGACTATGAGTCTTTGGAATACTAATTATCACCGGCTTTGGTGTCAATTAGTCGTTCAAAGCTATTATGTTAGGACATTGAAAAGAGCTACAATGTCTTCGGATTCGAAGCTATGGTAACTCTTTACTTGTTTATCGAAGCTATAATGCTAGGCCATTGAAAAGAGCTACAATGTCTTCGGATTCGAAGCTATTGTAACTCTTTACTTGTTCATATTCAGAAAGCTAACCTTATGATTTTTAAACAGGGGACATTGATAACTGTATCAAGCTTTTGGAATTGAGAAAATCAATGAATGCAACATTTATTAAAGATTATCACACAGGAGACTCTTGGATAAAATTAGTCAAGGCTGCTGGCTGGAATATAAAGTGGGAAGCTGTTAGATCAAGATATAATTATCTACGAAAGACAGGAGTTCCTAGTAAATTCAGAAAACCCAAGACTGGTATAGCGGGAGATGTAGCTTTTGGCAATAAAATCACTAAACTTTCAACATTAATACATGAGGCAATTATCGACAACCAAAAATACAATCCTTTGAAAGTTATTGACACTTCAGTTCCTGAAACAAGTACGGAAAATGAAAATTTAAGTACAGATCATTCTACCGCTGAGCCAACAATTCAACCTCAGACTTCAAGTGAAAATCAAGCAGAGCAATGCCAACCCCAACAAGATGACGATGAAACTCTCTTCTATCTTCCTGAGAATGATTTGTGTGAATCTCCGATGCCAGATAATATAGAAAGTCAAACCACACATAATGATGCGACTGATTCGCACAGTCCACCAAACGATTTTTTCTCATTTGATGATCCAGACCATACCGGCAGATCTAATAATAATGAACAACAGGATAGTGCATCTAGTGAATTATCATCACAGTTGAGCAATTTTTTGGCAGTTAGAGTCAGAAAACGACCACCAACGTATCGTGAACTAATTATGGATGGACAAAAAAATTTAGAAAGAATTGGAGATGATATACATAACTTTACGCAAAGTACGGTTGCGTTTCATGATTTTTTGATGAAACATCTCTCATCTAGTTCGACTTAGATCAAAGAATCACTATAAGCTCGGATTCGAGCCGATGGTGAGTCTTTGAACAGTTTATATATTGATATATCAAGTCTTTGTATTCATTGAAAGATGTCATAAACTTGGATTTAAGTCGATGACACTCCAATGAAGGTAATAGATAATTTTTTGTAATAAACATTCTCATTCAAAAATTTCATTAAAGATTCCATAAGTTCAGAAAAGATATTATAATATTTATTTCGTCTTAAATATAGTCAAATGAAAATGTACAAATTTCTTGCTATCATGCATAAAGTCTAGCAATACTTTCTCTGTAGTCTCTTGCATTTTGAAAATTAATTGTTGTATCCACTCTCGGCGCGTCTTTGAATGTTTGCTCTTTGCAATGAAAATTTCCGAGCGTTAAATTGTTCAAAATACAAGCACAGGCAATGATATCTGGAGCAATTTTGACCTTAGATTCTACAACATTTTGATGTATCCTTCTCCATTTAGTTTTTATATTTCCTTAAGCACGTTCTATCGTTGAACGAACAATTGAATGTTTTGTATTGAACAAAACTTTGTAATCCTCCAATAACTCTTGGCCATTAGTTTTTTTATATGGAGCAATGATCGAAATCGGTTCTAATGTGTTTTGATAGGCAGAATCCCCTAATAAGATATAGCCTCTTGGTGGGTATAATCGACGCTTGTAGAGATTGGAAGACTTCAAAACATTCATGTCATGACACGCTCCTGTCTTACCGACAATCAAAAATCTTATAATCATTTTATGATCACAGATGCATGTTAAGTTCATCGATTTGTTCAGATGTCTGTCGTAATATGCTTCTTGTTGATCTTCTGGAACACAGAGTCTTATCAAAGAACCATCAATAGCTCCAACTACGTTTCTGAAAAATCTTTCATTGTTAGCTCTTTGATAAAAACCAGCACAAATTTCATGCAATTCTGCTTCTTCAGTAGGAAGTTTAATTATTAGATTTTTCAGAGCCAAAACATTTGCCATAATTCGTTTAATTGTATCATGAACAGTTGACTTTGGCATCTCGTACATAGAAGCTAATTGCATGATGTGAATTTTTGAGGCTATCCAATCAAGAAAAATCATTGTTTGTAATCTTAAATCCCAATTTGATCTTTGAAGAGGTGGGAACTTATCCACAAGCCAGAAAAACTCAGCATGATTCAATCGATAGCGTTTTATAAATTCTTGTTCATTGTCAACTTGATCTGCCATAATAAGGAATCTCTCCGACTTGATTCTACATATCTCTCTTGGAATCTGTAGCAGAGATATATCTTGATTATAATCATACCTGTTTGTGTTTGAACTATGAATTGTCTTCGAATCCGAAGATAATTCATATTTCAAACAACAAAAAATACCAAACAAAACTTCAAATCTTTATACAAACTTGTAATTACCTTCGAATCCGAAGGCAATTACAATTTTGTACACTTTGTTAAAATTTGCAAAACTTTTACCTTTTTATGGTTTGCAAAAACAATCGCTGAATCCATTAAAGCATTCTGTTGAATAATCGCCGCGGAAAAAAGGCTAGTCGCAGTTTCATTGTTGTTCTGAACTTGAATTATAATGTCAGTTAGATTCATGATTCCTTTTATTCAAAATAATTGTCACAAAGATAGATAGTTTTATAACAAAATCTAGTTGATTACAAAAGTTGATTGAGCAAAGTTTAAGTTTGAGGTTTCACTTCAAAAATGTCAGAAAAACGAAGCACAAAATGAAATACAAAATGAAATACAAAATGAAATACAAAATGAAAATGAAATATGAAATCAGATATCCCAAATCACTACACCAGGATCTTCTGCTGGAGCAACATTGAGGAGCAAATTTGCTTCATCCAAGTAATAGTTGCCTAATTTTGGCAAAAAATCTAGCTTCTCCTCTGAGATATAAAAAATCAAATTATTAGGTCTACATTTACTGTAAGCTCTCTTGGGTTTAAAAACTTGATGATTGTTCACTTCCATATATCCACTTGTAGTTTTAATTTGCGCCATAACATGCCAACCTACAGACACATCATCTTCATCAGGTTCAACCTCTCTTATTGATTTTAACTCTTTGGTATCTTTGTTAGCCCAACATTCAAAATTACAACTGTAGGCAAATTTTTTATACTTTTTTTCAGCAAAAACAATTATGTCTGGAATTTCAACTTTGAAAAATCGGTACCTCCGATTTTTTCTTTCAAAAGATTCAAATACCAGCAAATCTGGTAATTGTTTGAAACACACATTGCTGATGTCTTTCATTTTTTCATTACAAATACAGGCTAGAAAAGAAAACATAACATAAATTTAGGAATCATTCAATCAATCACAAAAATTGAGTCTTGATCTACCTTGAAATCCCAAGGCAAATTTGGACTCAATTATCCTGATATTGACTCTTGCTTTACCTTGTAATCCCAAGGCAAAGCATGAGTCAATAAAAAACATACTTTGTTTGACTTCTTTACAACTATCTTCTTGAAAGAGAATCAAATCTTGATGATGGTCACAAATATCCTGTAGCGACTTGAATCTTTCATGTTGGCTTGGAAAGCGAATGGATGGAAGGCTTAGGCGTTTTTTAAGTTTCACAATTCCTAAATGTGCTTCTTTACCATGACACATATAATCAAAAGCCAGAACAGTGAAAAAAAGTTTGTTGAATGGGGAGGTTTGGCCAATTTCTGTGTATTCATAATCTAGTTTGCCGATGATACAGCGATATAAATGTGTGACAAATCCGCCTGAAAGAAAAAAAATCACATCGATTATTATTTATCCAAAAAATTTGAATCTTAGCATTAGAAGAAATATTCAGAAAAGCATTAAAAATTTTATAATTACCTGGAGTTTCATAAGATTTAGACTTGTAGTCAGCTAACTCGAGTACAATTTTCATTAGATTCCTATCCAATCTTAGATCATCTCTGTAGTTGTTTTGGGAACGATATTGTCTCACCATCTGTGAATAAATTTCTGGATATTCAGTATCCAAAGGTATCGGGAAATTTTCAATATTCAAATGACCATTATAGCTGGCTTTCTTATAAGCGTGGAAAAAACGTTTAATGATTCTGGTCCATAAGAAAGGGGCTTCGAGGGCTGAAAATCTTTCTCTCATACTTTCGGGTCTTGGTAGCCTTAAACCTTGTATATATTCAGTCGCCATATTAAATCCAGCGTTGAGGGCTTCGACAAACAAATAATTATTGAATAATGGTACAAATGCTGGTATGAAGAAACAGTGGCCACGGTAATTCGGAAGCCCAATCAAGTACCTTGGCTGAGGGAAGAAAAGAAAGAAAATTAAGTATTTGATGAACTTTCAGTTACAACCAGAACAATAATGTTCTCGAATCCGAGTATATTATTGTTCTGGTGGCTTTAATTCATATTTCAAACGAATAGATCAGAGCAATAATGTTCTCGAATCCGAGTATATTATTGTTTTGATCTATTAGATTTCTAATGCCTTCGGAATCGAAGGTATTAGAAAGCTAAACATAAAGGTAAACTTACCATGTGAATATACTTGTCCTTTGTCATTATTTTTTGAATCAAAATAGATGATGTCTTGTTGATAGCACGGTTTAGTTTGATATTGGCAGCGGCAGCAGAAATCTCCTCACCATCGAAAATCAATTCCTCTTTTACAGCAGAAAAGGCCATACCTCTAAACTGAAATGTTTTTTTAAAACGTCTGAATGTATTCAACCTATCAGTATAAACATTTAAAAACTCTCCGAAGAGTAGTCTATTGGCTTGTAATATTTCCTCAACATCGTCACTTTCTTCTAATAAATTTTGAGCTTCTTTGAAGCTGATGTCAAATTCTTGGGCAATTATTCTTGCAGGTAACATTTGAAATAAAAAAATCAGAAAAAACACCAAAAAAAACTATAAAAACACAAAAAAGTATCAAAAAAATCAAATTGATGTTGTTTGTTTGCTGACTAAGACAACAAATGCGTAATCAGCTGCGCGTTTTAAGCTTGGTAAATAGCTAGTGAAGCTTAGCTATTTACACGAAAAAGCTTGGTTTTTAGTGTAGATAAAAGCATTTTTAATCTAACTAAAAGATTTTATTTCAATAAAAATTTTATCTAAAAAATTTTTTTTATCGGATTCACCTTTAATAAAATAATACATTTTCAAAGGCCCTTTTATGAAATGATTGCGTTGCAAATAAACAACTTTTTGCAAATGTCAAAAGTTCTATTGGTCTACAAAACTATAAAATGGATTATTTTACTCGGCAAAGTACTTGGCAAACTCTCATTGTTTTATTGTTTTCTGTCCAATTCTTGGAATTGCATTCGCAATGCAAAAAGTCAATTTAACTGTTGGTGCTTTTTCGGTAAGTATAATAATTAAACTCTTTGGTTGCATCTTTAATGTAATGATATATGCTATTTGATATTGAAGGTGCCATTCGCTGAAGGATTCGTTGAAGAAGACGATCAAGTTGTTCCTAAATTGAAGTCTCTTAAACGATTTGCAGCCATTCTCTCGGATTATGGTCCTTTCAAGTAAGAAACTGTTGTGATTCTTATCAAATTGCTAACTATTAAAATGCATTAATGGATTGTCTTCTTAGTCTGAAATTCATTTTACCCAAGGAAGGACAATTGGGAGTGCTAACAGAAACTGGTTATCATGATGGAGTTTTGGGTTTAATGCAAGAAAATGTAAGTACAGTTCATGTGGCAATCAATGTAAAAATTACTGTTAGACTAAAACATGTAATGGTTATTCGAGCTTATGCACTTGAATTCGCACAATACTCAAATACTTGGATACTCAAATGGCTCCTGGTATTTTCACTCCAGTTATATCAGAAATGGACTATTACATCCTTACACATCTTTATTTAAATGATGCAAGTTCAGCTCTCATCTCAAGCTTGACTTCAGTACAAGCAATTCCTTTATTATTAGCTGTTCTAACAATATTAATATTGGAGTTAATTGCTGTTAAACACTTCAAAATTGAAGCATTGCTCACAGCCATCTTTAAATCCTTCGGTATCTCATTTTACCAGGATTTATCTCATCGTTCATCATGGCTTTGCCTGATTCAAATGCTAATTTTAATGTTTCCAGTATTCATCTTCAATTCTGCATTCAGTACCCAAACGATTGTAGGAACTACGGACTATAAGGTTGATACATTAAAGGATGTTATTGAACAAGGAAAGATACCACGTTTCCTCGAAGGTATTTCAATGTATGACTTCTTCAAAGGCAAAGTCAATAAAGACTATGCTGAGATCTATGAACGAGCAGTTGCCAAAGGATTTGGTGAACCATTTCCATTAGGTCCCATTACCGGTGTTGATAGATTAGACAAGATGGTCACTTTCGTTTCTGGCATTGGAAGGAAACTGGCACCATTGTCAGCTGCTGGATCTAATTTACTTAAACCGAATCTTATTTACTTCATCTGAATCACTCAAAAAAAAGTATAATACTTTGTGAGTGAATTAATTTATTGTTATTTTATCCCAAACACTTAATTTTACCTTTCTAATTTTTACAGATCTCGTCGAATGATCCAAGGTGGCATTTTTGCGAAAATAGAAGGCGACATTTACATTGACTTTATACTCTCCTTTTATCCTGCAACCTTATACGACTTTCACAAGTCTCAAGCTCCTCGTAAAGGCGATGATCTCAATTGGAAACCAGTAAATTACAGTGGACTCGTTCAAATATTTCATTTACTCATCTTTATTTTAATTCTGTCCATAGTTGTACTGCTTGTTGAGTTAATCATTGCTTTTTTAACTCGATCCAAGTGAATTGGACGTAAATGTATTAAAACTATTAAAAGTACAGTAAAAAATAGGCTTCCATGATTGTACAAAAAGTGATTCTTGTTCCAACTTCAAACTCAATTTTCTCGAAAACTGTCCATCAGAGAAATCTTTAAATCTTTTTTATGCCCCTACAAGCTAACAGAGTCTAAGTTTGAAAGAAATTTATTTTTACCCGTCTTTGCCCATTTGTGTCAACTTGTGAATGAATATGACAATTGTGTTGTGTCTTTTAGGTAACTCATTTTAGGTAGTCTCATTGTGTTTCCTCAGTGTCTCTTCCCGTTCAACCAAAGTCTTGTGGTGCATACAAACTATTAGAGAGATCGTGTACCGTCTATACCTATACCTCTTAACCTCGTTACCTGACATTAGTAGGAATTTGCGCGATGATATGTTATTGATAAAAATGAGGTGTCAAATAATCAATATTAAAATGCAATTTAATTTTATTGATACATATTAAGAAAAATACATTTTCAATGGTCTAGTGGTTAAATAATTACAATGAAAATAGTTTTAAAATTGCCAAGATTATCGTTGCAATATAAAATATTATCATTAACAATCAGTATTTCTATATCCTCCATTACCGAACTAGTAATCAAAATGTTCAAAAAAATATTTACATTCACATAATTTACTTTATTTAAACATATCGATAAAATAATACATTTTCAAAGGTCTAGTTATGAAATGATTGCGTCTAAAATAAATAACTTTTGTGGATGTCAAAAGGTCTGTTGGACTACAAAGTTATAAAAGGACAGTTATTTTACTTCGCAATTCATTTCTAGTTTTCACTGTTTTTTAATCGTATTCGTACAACTGCAATCGAGATGAAAGAAATCAATTTAACTGTTGGAGCTTTTTCTGTAAGCAATTTAACTGTTTGGTTGCATCTTTGACTTAATATTTTGTATGTTATTGAAGGTGCCATTTGCCGAAGGATTTGTTGAAGAAGATGATCAAATTGTTCCTAAATTGAAGTCTCTTAAACGATTTGCAGCCATTCTCTCTGATTATGGTCCTTTCAAGTAAGAAACTTTTCTCTCTAATTGTAAATTAGTTTTCGATTGATTGTGATTTGTGTTATGCAGTTTGAAATTCATTTTACCCAAGGAAGGACAATTGGGAGTGCTAACAGAGACTGGTTATCATGATGGAGCTTTAGGTTTATTACAAGAAGGTGTAAGTACAGTTCATGTGGCAAGTGAGTTCGTACAAGTCTGTCATTTCGATACACAAAGAAAATTTTCTTTCTCTTTTGTACTTTGATTTAACTTTCTTTTGACTCATGAACACTAGAAGGTTGATATGTGCTTATTGCCATTACCGTTGGATACCCAAATGGCTCCTGGTATTTTCACTCCAGTTATATCAGAAATGGACTATTACATCCTTACACATCGTTATTTAAATGATGCAAGTTCAGCTCTCATCTCAAGCTTGACTTCAGTACAAGCAATTCCTTTATTATTAGCTGTTCTAACAATATTAATATTGGAGTTGATTGCTGTTAAAAGTTTCAAAATTGAAGCATTGCTCACAGCCATCTTTAGATCCTTCGGTATCTCATTTTACCAGGATTTATCTCATCGATCATCATGGCTTTGTTTGATTCAAATGCTTATCCTAATGTTTCCAGTATTCATCTTTGGTGCTGCATTCAGTACCCAAACTATAGTTGGAGACAGGGATTACAAGATTGATACATTGAAAGATGTTATTAAACAAGGAAATATGCCTTTTTTTATCGAAGGCATTTCAATGTACGACTTCTTCAAAAGTAAAGTCAATAAAGACTATGCTGCTGTATATGAACGGGCCGTTGCCAACGGATTTGGTGAACCAATGCCATTAGGACCCATTGCCGATAAATATAGATTAGAAAAGTTGGCCACTTTCGTTTCTGATATTGGAAGGAAAGTGGCTCCATTGTTTGCTGCTGGATCTAATTTACTTAAACCTAATCAAGTACAATATTTTTCAGCAAAACCTTTTCATAAATCATTACAAGCAATGCTTTTCAGTTATAATACTTCCGAATCCCTCAAAAAAAGGTTTGATACGCTGTGAGTAACTTATTGTTATCAAATCGTCATAAAATTGATTCCAAACACTTAGTTTTATCCTTTCAATTGTTACAGATCTCGTCGGATGATCCAAGGTGGCATTTTTGCGAAAGTAGAAGGAGATATTTACGTCGACTTCATTCTTTCCTTTTATCCTGCAACCTTATACGACTTTCACAAGTCTGAAGCTCCTCGTAAAGGCGATGATCTCAATTGGCATTCATTAAATTACAAGGGGTGCTATAAAATATTTTATTTACTCATCTTTATGTTGATTCTGTCCATAGTTGTACTGATTATTGAGTTGATCGTTGCTTTTCTCACCCGATCCAAGTGAATTGGACGAAAAATGTATTAAACTATTAAAAGTAAAGTATTGGCCATAAAGCTTTACTGGAAAGCTCCAAGTTCATAACTTTACTATTCAAAGAACGGTAGCACCTACAAGCATCATTCTTTCAATCAATTTGATTCTTTACTAATAAATAATTCAATGCAATTTAATTGCTTTCCATTAGCGCATTTGGGGCATGATATTTAGGTAGCAAATGGACGAGCAACAACTTATTTAACAAAAAAACTCATCTCAACCCATGGTAAATAAACCAATTTTCTGGTTAAACTTGCAAACGTAATGCAAAAAGTACTTCCAAAGGCTCGAACATTCGAGTTGAGAGCTGCGACTTTGTGAATTTGTATGGACATAAAAACTAAATCCATTTGTGTGATTTAAAAGTTTGTCTGATCCATAGTTTTCGGGAAAATCGAGATCCAAGTTGAAACTTCGATCGCCTTTTGTTTAGATATGAAAGCAGATTTTAAAGATGTAACTTTTGATGACAAACTAGAAAATGGTCTTATTTTTGAGAAAAACATGTTCCGTGTCTGTAAACTAGATCAAGCTCAATTTTCAGTTAAACCAATCTTTTTTTGTGATTGTAAGAGTTAGAGAACTGAAACTTAGTATGTAAATATTGTTGATACACATCAATGACCAAAAACTTTCTTCAGTTTATCAACAGTTATCTTAATTTTGACCATTGACCTAAAAAACTTTGAGCTTCGGTATTTCGGGAACGGTATGATCTGAAATCATTATTCTTTGGCCAAACATTAGATTTCATTAGGGACTATAATATTTTGAAATAGAAAATTATTCAAGATCCTGAAAAAAAATTTAATGCATTTTATTCCTTATGTTACCAGATTTAAGACTTGATTTATTAAGTTGAATGTTTAGTAAACATAAATCTTATGAATTGGCAGAGTCTTCATTAATAAATGAATTAGATGAAATTTTATTCAATATTCAGTCATAAAATGTTATAGCCCATAATGAAATCTAATGTTTCGTAAAAGAATGATGACTTTAGATGATGCCATTCTCGAAATATTTAGGCTCAAAGTTTTAAGGCCAATGGCCAAAATCAAGAAAAGTATTGTTAAATTGTTGGCAGTATTCAACCAATGATGTGAGTTAACAGTTTTTATGGGCAAATAATAAGTTTCATCCCTTTAACTCTTCATAGAATGCGATTGGTTTAACTGAAAATCGAACTAAACTGTTTTACAGAAAAAGATAAATTTCATTTTTCAAAGGAAGTACATTTTCTGTTCACCATCAAAAGTTACATCGGGAAAATGTGTTTCATGGAGAAATCTGCTTCCATAATTGTACAAAAAACGATTCAAGTTTCAAATTCGAACTCGATTTTCTCGAAAACTGAGGATCAGAGAAACTTTTAAATTGCACGAATAGATTCAGTTTTTATGTCCTTACAAACCAACAGAGTCTTAATTGGAAAGAAATTAATTTTCAAAAGTTTTTGCCCGTTTGTGACAACTTGTGTCAACTTGTGAATGAATATGACAATTGTGTTGTGTCTTCAGGTAGTCTAGGTCTAGGTAGTCTCATTGTGTTTGCCTCAATGTCTCTTTCCGTTCAACCAGTCTTGTGGTGCATAGAAACTATTAGAGAGATCATGTATCGTCTACACCTCTTACTTGGCATTAGTAGGAATTTGCGCGATGATATGTTATTGTGATATAAATTAGGTGTCAAATAATCAATATTAAAATGCAATTTAATTTAATTGATACATATTAAAAAGAATACATTTTCAATGGTCTAGTGGTTAAATAATTAGAATGAAAATAGATTTTGAAAATTGCCGAGATTATCGTCACAAAATAAAATATTATCATTATCATGTCAGGATTTCTATATCCTTCATTACCCAAATAGTAATCAAAATGCTCAAAAAATACTTAATTGTATTTACATTCTCATAATTTATTTTATTCAAACATATCAATAAAATAATACATTATCAAATGTTTATGAAATGATTATGAAAGGATTGCATTGAAAATAAATAACTTTTTGTGGATGTCAAAAGGTCTGTTGGACTACAAAATTATAAAAGGACAGTTACTTTACTTGGCAATTCATTTCTAGTTTTCACTGTTTTCTAATCAGATTCTGAAAACTGAATTCGAAATGCAAAAAATCAATTTAACCGTTGGAGCTTTTTCTGTAAGAAATTAATCTCTCTGATTGAATTCCCATTTAATGTTAAATGCTGTTTGCTATTGAAGGTGCCATTTGCCGAAGGATTTGTCGAAGAAGATGATCAAGTTGTTCCTAAATTGAAGTCTCTTAAAAGACTTGCAGCCATTCTCGCGGATTATGGTCCTTTCAAGTAAGAAACTGTTGTGATTCTTTTGAAATCGCTAGCTATTAAAATACATTAACGGATTGTCTTTTTAGTCTGAATTTCATTTTACCCAAGGAAGGACAATTGGGAGTGCTAACAGAAACTGGTTATCATGATGGCGTTTTGGGTTTAATGCAAGAAAATGTAAGTACAGAACATGTGGCAATCAATGTAAAAATTTACTGTGAGATATCAAAAGACTAATGCACTTTAATTCGTACAAGTCTGTCATTTCGATACACAAAGAAAATTTTCTTTCTCTTTTGTACTTTAATTTAACTTTCTTTTGACTCATGAACACTAGAAGGTTGATATGTGCTTATTGCCATTACCGTTGGATACCCAAATGGCTCCTGGTAATTTTACTTCAGTTATATCAGAAATGGATTATTACATCCTTACGCATCGTTATTTAAATGATGCAAGTTCAGCTCTCATCTCAAGCTTGACTTCAGTACAAGCAATTCCTTTATTATTAGCTGTTCTAACAATATTAATATTGGAGTTAATTGCTGTTAAACACTTTAAAATTGAAGCATTGCTCACAGCCATTTTTAGATCCTTCGGTATCTCATTTTACCAAGATTTATCTCATCGTTCATCATGGCTTTGCTTGATTCAAATGCTCATCTTAATGTTTCCAGTATTCATCTTTGGTGCTGCACTCAGTACCCAAACTATAGTTGGAGACAGGGATTACAAGATTGATACATTGAAAGATGTTATTAAGCAGGGAAATACACCACATTTTATAGATGGCATTTCAATGTATGACTTCTTCAAAGGCAAAGTCAATAAAGATTATGCAGAGATCTATGAACGGGCCGTTGCCAAAGGATTTGGTGAACCAATGCCATTAGGACCTATTGCCGATAAATATAGATTAGAAAAGGTGGCAACTTTCGTTTCTGGTATTGGAAAGAAACTGGCTCCATTGTCTGCTGCTGAATCTAATTTACTCAAACCTAATCAAGAACAATATTTCTCTGCAAAACCTTTTCACAGATCATTACAAGCAATGCTTTTCAGTTATAATACTTCCAAATCCCTCAAAAAAAGGTTTGATACGCTGTGAGTTAATTAAGTTATTGTTATTAAATCGTCATAAAATTGATTCCAAACACTTAAGTTTACCTTTTTAATTTTAACAGATCTCGTCGTTTGATCCAAAGTGGGATATCTAAAAAACTAGAAGGAGATATTTACGTTGACTTCATTCTTTCCTTTTATCCTGCAACTTTATACGACTTTCACAAGTCTGAAGCTCCTCGGAAAGGCAATGATCTCAATTGGCAATCATTAAATTACAAGGGGTGCTATAAAATATTTTATTCACTCATCTTTGCCTTGATTCTGTCAATATCTGTATTGCTTATTGAGTTTATCGTTGCTTTCATCACTCGATTCAGGTGAATGGGATAAAAAATATATTGACTACATGTATTTAAACTATTAAAATTACAGTATCCGACGGAAAGCTTCAGGTTGTAACATTATTATCTAAAGATCGTCATTTATTCAAATCAAACATAAAAATTGTATGAGATGATTTAAACAATAAAAAAATTGTCAATGTATCGCAATTTTCCGGTTCTATGGTAATCTGTAAGTTGATCCGCTTTGACTTTAACAATTTTTGGTTTGATTTGACAATTGTTAACATGCTGCTATTAGTTAATGATAATTCTGGCATTTCAGATGATGTCAATCAAATACGGTTGCTGAAAAATCAACTTGAAATCCTGACCAAACATGACCAACAACTCTTAAAATTTTCTGCTTGAACAAAAAATGATAAAAATGCTTTTTATTAACAAGTTAATTCCTAGATTAATTAAATATTGATGTACTCAAAGTGATGAATTGTTTCTGTGTAAAAAGAGTCAATTTCTTGAAATGAAAAGCGTATTGAGTGAAGTGAATACAGATGAACCAGATTCTGATTGAGTTGTGTAAGACGCATGACAAGTGAAAAATTTGGTTAAGCTGTGTAACCGCTTCGCCGATCAATAAATGAATTGAACAGTTTTCTTTTTGTTTTGCTCTTCTGATGTGCTTTAATTTCAATTTTTAATTAATTTCAGCTTGATTGTGATATTTTATCAATTTGACATCACTTTAATTAATGACTCAATGGTAATATTCAACCATCGTTAACTCTAGAAAATGTGCTTTTATTTGTTTTGGTTCATCAAAGGTCTTCTTTAATTACTCTTATGCTTCCTCTATTGCAATATTAGTCGTCTGTCACTCCTTTTCCTAAAATCATTAAACTTCTGTGTGCCAATTATTCAATGATTGACTTGCTGGTTTGGATTTACTCGAGATTTACTTGAGATTTACCGTTTAAACTATAGGTAAGTTAATCCACATATGTATTTTGTGCTTCAATGTTTCGAGTTTATGTGTAACTCTCATGCTGGTGTGTTATCTTTCTCATGAGATGAAGGTGAATTTCATGAATCTTTAAGAGATTATTGTATGTTGACATTTTCAGTTTCGATTATTATTAGAATTTTCAATTTTTCCCTTTCTTCATCTTGCAACATCTTCCGGTAGATCAATCATGATTACAATGTAAATATCCAGATTGTAGTCTAATTTTGGAAGTAACCTTGAAGTCTAACAGGCAAACTGAATAGCTTCCTTTTCCTCCTGTGCAACCTTTTTTGCTCTCCTTCGATTCAAATGCCATGAACTAAATGAATCATGCAATTATTCATCTTTCTCGAACGCTCAGATTACTCTTCAGCTTGATCAATTTTGAGTGACATCCAAACGCCAAACTCACATTTCAATCAAAAATTGGTACTCAACTTGATTCAGGGTATTTCTGGTTTTGAGTCCATCTTAAATACATCAATTGATTATACCAATCAACTCAGGAGATTGATTATAGCAACATATCATGTACCAATCTGATGAAGCCATTGAAAATGCTTAATTTTTGGAGTCCATCCAAAATTTAGATATGAATAATCACCCGAATCTGGGTTGTGAAAGTCAAATTGTTTAAAGTAAAAGAATTGAGAAAGAGTTGGTCGGTTAAAAAATTCTTAACTTATTTTCTCGAGCTACAGTTTATTTAATGTTACCATGGGTTAAGTAAACCATTTTCATCACGAGATTTTGAGCTTAACGACACTTAATTATTCATAATCTGGAAATATCACAAAAAGCTTGATGAAAAACTAATAGTTAGCAGTTTTTATATGTAAACGAACTGTCAGGGTCATTAGCAACAACAACCCAAAGCTTTATTGTATTAATAGTTAACTTGTTTTAATTGTACATTTACGTGTTCATATTCAAGCCAAATGAAAGCAATCAACAATAAAGTTACAGTTGTTAACCCAATAATACATGATAAGCCCAGCCTATCCCAATCTTCATCCTCATCCTCATCTTTACCTCTCATCTAGAGGTATGAATCATATAAGTCAAGCGCAAGTCTGTTGATTTTCTTTGTTGGTTTCTATTATTTTAACCAACCATTTGTCCAAATAGCTAGAGGGGCAAGATTCACAGAGAAGTGTGAGTTATTTTTATCGAATTGTGTTGGATATTTCTCGAAACCTAACATAAAGTACATCATTGATCCTTGTTATAAATCAATCCTGCTAAATTTTTCTTTTTATTGTTGCCTCTTAGATCTACGCATTGGTTAAAAGACTATGAATATTGGCCGATAAAACAACTGACCTGACAAGATGATAAATAGCTTCAATCAATCGACTATGTCATTTGAATCAAGCATCTCTCAGAGGGGAGATGATGAACTTGACACCTGCTCGATAATTAGTTTTGGATCCCACCGGTCAAATAATAAGGCCAGTTCTGCTTATAAAAACCAGCAACAATTGGAGGTCAAAGTGGAGACAGTTTATTCGCTTCTCTTTATGTTAACATGTAATAACATCAAGGAAGAGATGTGTAACAAGTTTTATTCAATGTCGCTGGACAAAAGGATCTCATTGGAAATGCGAAGTCATGGATGTATTCCTTTATTGATTCAATTGATTCATCCAATTGGAGAAGATACAAGGTACCATGATGAAGATAGAGTTGACTGTTTTGCCGATAATCTTGATAGTGACAGAGAGAATAATGGTGATTTTGATTATGATGATAATGACGGTTGCAATGGTTTTCATTTCGGTTCCAGATCAAGAAACCCAGGAGAAGAAAATCTTAAAGAATTGGAAATACGAAATAAAGCTGCAATTGCTCTGAGAAATATTGTAAAATACAGTGAAGACACCAAAGCCGGTAAAAAGGAAATAAAAGTGCTTCAACTTCTGGAGGAAATTCGAGGGTTTTGTGACAAATTTAAACGTGGTAAAGGAGATTTAAGTATTTCTATGGATCATCCAAGTGAAGCAACATCTCATTTAATGAAAATTTCATTTGATGAGGAACATCGAGTCGCTATTTGTCTTCTTGGTGGACTCCATGCAATCGCTGAATTAATATTTTTTGATACTAAATATCATGGAAACACAACATCACCGCAATGCATTACTGTGAGACGTTATGCTTTCATGGCTTTAACCAATCTTACATTTGGTGATGGAACCAATAAATCAATTTTATGTTCCAATAAATTATTTATTAGAAGTCTCATTGAACAATTGTATTCGCCATCAGAAGAGCTTCGTCAAGTGACGGCTTCAGTTTTAAGAAATTTATCCTGGAAAGCAGATGATCAAGGAAAAGACACTCTCCGAGAAATGGGTGCAGTTCGTATGCTCATGAGAGCTGCTCTTGAAGCAAGGAAAGAATCTACTCTCAAATCAATTTTAACAGCTCTTTGGAATCTGTCAGCACATTCAACAACGAACAAAGCAGAGATTTGTGCCGTTGAAGGTGCTCTTAAATTTTTGGTATCAACTTTGAATTACCAATCACCCAACAATACCATGGTAATAATTGAGAATGGTGGTGGAATACTGAGAAATGTTTCAAGTTACATTGCTCGGCATGAGCATTTACGAACAATCCTTCGAGAGTTTGATACTCTTTTCATTCTCTTAGAACAGCTCAAATCACCTTCTTTAACGATTGTCTCTAATGCTTGTGCTACCCTTTGGAACCTTTCCGCTCGCTGTCTTCAAGATCAATTGAAACTCGTTGAATTGGGTGCCATTCCCATGCTGCGAAATCTTGTCAACTCAAAGCACAAGATGATCTCAATGGGTTCAGCAGCAGCTTTGAAAAATCTTTCCTCGGTGAAAAATTTTCATGAAGCTGATTCAAGCTGTTCCTCGTCCTCACGAAACTCGTCTTGTTCACCTAATACAACCAGCACTCCTACCCTTCTTGCTCGTAAAACAAATAACTTTCGACCAGAATTGGATGACAGTTTGTCCGAAACTTGTGATAACCTTGAATCTCCTAAATCAAGTCCTGCTCATGTTCGTCGATTTCAACCTCCACCACCAATATCCAGATATGATTTGCCCGATCGAATGTACACTTCATTCACTGTTCCCACCTTATCAAATCCCTATCCTTACATGTCCAAATCATCAAGTAAGGATAGTCTTGGAAGCACACATTCAGAACCAGTTTATTATCCATTCAATCAAACTCACAATTTACCCAATAATAACGGCCAAATTCAACTTGCACCAACTCTTTCTCGCTCATCATCTCATGGTTTTAATCCTCCTTTGCCTCCAGTCTCACAAAATATATCATCTTTCTCCAACGACTTGAGTCATCTTTTCCATGCATATCCAATCAAGGTAGCTGGTGATAACTGGGAAAAAAATCAACCTTCAACTCTAGTGAGAACCAACTCTGATTCATTTGATAAAACAATATTGGAAAATGCTCAGCGTAATGTTGAAAGTCTTTTATCTTCACAAAAAGGACAGTTATTCACTTCATGCTTAAACTCACTTCAATCAGGAGTCAAAAGTGCAAGTGATGACAATGTAACTCTAGCTACAAAAGATTCACCAAATGAGCAACCAAGACGTAAACTAAGCGTTGATGGCTCAGAAAGCGAAATTGTTAAACAAGCTTCAGACTGTGAAGGACTAGATAAGCTTACGAAGTCGATATCTGAGGGTAGATCCCTCAATAGACTTACCTACACTTGTTCAAGACCCACCAATAAACCTACCGAATTTAAATCGCCATGCAATCTGATTGAACTTCCATCTATAAACTCTAAAAAGGTTAAAAGTGAAATAATTGAAGAGGAAAATGAAGAAATTTTGAAGAAAGAAGAAACGGTGACAAAAAGTTCAGATGATAATGAATTAATTACTAATCCAGCTCAAAACATTTCCATCATTTCTCAAAATCAATCGATTAGTTTTGGTGACAATTGTATTACCTCAACAGATGTAACGCCGTTAATGTTTTCAAGAACAAGTTCACTTGGTTCAATTTCGGGCTTAGAAGCAAAATCAAATGCTACTTCGCAATCATCTGTTCGCTCTGAATTCAGTAAAATTGCCAGTGGCCCTGTTTCACCAACAGATTTACCGGATTCACCTACTCAGACAGAATCTTTAACATGTTTGTTAAACGGTTATCCTGATGACAAAATTCAAACAAATGTGCAATCATTTCAACCATTTGATTTAAAAGCTGTTGAAAAAATCCATTGTTTTGGTGCAAAATCGTCTGAAGAGCATTTAAAATCAAATCAAGAGAAAATTTCCGGACTTATTTCTACTCAAATTAATGAATCTATTTGCACAAAAGTTGAAAAAGCTACTCAAATCATTAATCAAGTCCAAGAAGCTTGTAACCGTGGGATCGCTGAGAACAACATGGATTCAATGAAAGGAAGCAACAGCAATGATATTCTTAGTCAACCAATTGCTCATGAATCCATCTCATTGTATTCACTTGAATCTAGCGACATCAACAGTATTAAACCTCCTTCATGTATTGATGAGGCTTCATTAAGCTTGGAATCATCCAATTTCCAATCCATGGAGTTCACTACCAAACCTGCTCCTCCAAAAGTTGTTTCAACCATTTTATCTGCCCAAGCTCGTAAAAATGGTAACATTGAAGGACTTTTAGAAAGCACTAATCCACCCTCTGATATGGATGCCATCTCTGGCCTTTCGAGTAGCTGTGGATCTATAAACTCTATAGATTCTGAATTAAATGATTTGACCTTTCCTGTGGTAAAAGAGTTTGATTTGGAAGCAACAAAGTTGATTGCTAAACAAACCCAAGACATTATTCAATTGACAGAATCACATAATGATCCATCAAACGTTCCTCCTAAACCAACTTTACAACGAACTGATACCTTCAATTGTGATGGACAAAATGAATCCGAAGATGATTCTAAGGCAACCTATGTTTGTTCCCCTCGAAAAGCACGGATTGTTAAACCAGTTCTTCGAATTCAACCTTCAAATAATCAAAACAATAATGATCATGGCAATTCTTTTATAAGACGATTTAACAGCTCATCATCATCTTCATCATCCACAGTCAATCACTCATCAAACGACTCGATTGTCACCAAAAATAAATCTATAGTCATCAAAAGAACTAAGACAACAACTCTTCGTGCTAATCGATCAAAATCAACACATGAAGTTCAAAATGAGAATAGTAACACTGGACATAGCACTTCTGTTCCAACAACACCGGTTAAAAAGGCATCTTCCAATGGCAACTTTTCCTCGAAAACTTTTGTGGTCCGTAAAAGAGTTGGTAACATTCCAGGTGGAACTTCAGAAAATGATAATTGTAGTAATATTAATACCATTAACGCAAGTGGAATTAAAAATCGTTCAGTTTCAACAAATAAAATGTGCAATTCGGCTTCCATCCATAATATTGATAAAATGAATGGAAATTTTCAATCATCTGTATTATCTGGTCATAACAATTCATCCACAATCTCATCTTTGAACAAAAAGACTCCAGTCCAGAGTAAAATTGCTTCCCTTTGGAAACGCTCTCATCCAGAGAAAGAAAACGTTACAACTCAAGGTTATGTTCCTCCAAAAGGTGACAACAGTTCTAACCTGGTTAAATCAAACAAGGCAACTGGAACTGGTAAAACGATACCAACTTCATCTACAACAATAACGTCGCCCTCAAATTCAACTGCTAATAATTCATCACCGGCAACAGTAACTTTAACTCGGAGTTCAACTTATGAGAAGCTTCCCACATCGCCCAGTGAAGCTATTAAGATGCAATCTAATTTACCACCTTCACGAAAAGAAACCAAAGAGATGCCTAGTCGTGTACCTTTGACCAAAAATCGAATAAGACCAGCTCAAGATCAAATAACAGCTACTTTAAAGCAATCAAAAATTGTGCGATTAGAGAAGCGAAAAGCATCACTGGTAAATTGATTGTAATCAACAATTTAAGAGGAAATTGTCAAAACAATGCGGAATTATGACTAATTTTCAGATAAATGTCCATTGAATGTGCAAAGTAAATTATTGTAGAGTATGAAGCAGTTTGTTTTTATACCATTTTGTGATGCTAACCAAAGCTAACCAGCAGAAATGGCAGTTGAAGGTTACTTTGAAATCTTCTGATTACTTTAATGTCAACTGTCATCACTAGTCAGTGTATATCAATTGTAATCACCTGAAACATGAAAAAGAACCTCCAATACTCATTAAATACCTTCTGATTACATTGAATACCTTTAATTTAACCTTCCAGATTTCCATTGACATCTTTGTGAATTGAATTTGGTGAAAATGTGAAAAATTAAGGTTGGTCTCTTTGATAAGATTTGATGAAACTTTTATCCATTCAATGGGAAATGTCTTTCAACATTAATTGAGTGTAATTTTTCACGCAATCAGTTCTTGAACTATTGATTTTAAAATATGCTTTTATAATACTTGCAATCCAACCATTAAATAGTGTAAAATTGACAAAAAATCAAATTTTAAAATCTTAAATACTATTACAGATTCTAGGATTTCTTTAAATGAGTTGAAAAAGAATGAAGATATATATTAATAATTCTGTTTAGACATGAAAGTAAAATCATTGATTTAATGCAACCAATTCTCTCCAATTTTAATTATTAGCTAAACCAAAAGATTCAAATCATCAGCATTTGAAATAAACTTTCCTTCGGATTATCGATGTATTTTTAAGACAACAATTCATCAAGATAATTCAGATGCACCGATACAACCAGGATTGATTGCTTAATTGAATTATTAACTCAAATCATAACCCAAGAAACAAATTTTGTAAACTTGATGGCAATAAAGCTTCAAAGGGCAAGGAAGAAAGATGAAGAGTAAAGGTTAAATTGAAAGAGAAGAGGAGAAACTTGAAGATAAAGTGGCGAGGCGAAATTGATTTCTTCCCTGTTAGAGAAATATTAATCAACATTTATTTGAATGTTTCAAGAAGGCCTAGAAAGAAGAAAGGAAGAAAGGAAGAAAGGCCAGAGTTAATATTTCTTGGTGAAAGAAGAAAAAAAAGTAAATGATCAACCATGAAATTAATATAAAGTTAATTTCAGGTTATAATATGAAGCCTTCATTTCAAGTTGTGACAATTTCTAACTCCTAACCAATATAGAAAAGTGATATTACAATCAAGTGAACTTTATATTTCTCTTTCATCCTGGACTCATAGTTGGTATAAGAGCGACCAAATAAATCAATTAAAGCAAGTAAATCAATAGTCAACCTATTAAAGGTTAACTAAAAAAATTAACAAAAGTTTATAACAAAAGTCAACCAATTTTTACAAAAAATAATCTCTGACAAAAATTATAACAGCCAATTGAAGCGTTTTAAGATGTTGTATCCAATTTCATCCACTAGATGGAAGTAAATCTGTCTCCATATACAGTAGAGTACTCCATAACTTGGTAGAATTTCGTGTTGGCGCCACCTATTGGATTTGACCATTTAATTGAATTTTCTAATTGTTTTAAGCAAAATTACTCAAATTCAAGTACAAAAGGTTGAATTAGCGAGTCAACTTTACTAGAATTATTAGAAATTTCTTGTTAAACAAATCGGAATAAGTCAGAAACTCATTATTTTGATTATTCAATAGAATAGAACATTTTCGCATCTCTACAAAAGTGAAGAGCAGCATTGAAAAAAAGACATTCTAGTTATTAGAAGAATAAACTGATTAATACTGGAGGAAAACCATTTTTATGTAATGTCGACTCGCTAATTCAACTTTTTTGGCTAAATTTCAAGCTATTTTGATTAAAACAATTAAATAATTGGATAAAAATGGTTCTGAAATTGTTAATCCAATAGGTGGCGCCAACACGAAATTCTACCAAGTTATGGAGTACTCTACTGTATTTTTGTTTTAAATTCAAAAAAATTGAATTAAAATCAGTTAATTTTGGATTTGTTGTGATTCAAGATACATTTTAATGTGATACTGTCTTAGCAATTTCATCATTTTAATATTTCATTGTAGTTAAGTTCAAATCAAATGAGGTAAGCCAAGATGTTAACATTTGAAATTAAAATACTTCAACATGCTTGACCGTTTAATAAAAACGCTCATAACTAGAAAAAATCAATTTACAGATGGACGCCTGAGACTGGAACCTTTCACAGTGAATTAAACAACCTTTGCCATCTTACCTCTTATTAACTTTGAAGTTATCAACTTACTATCGTGAAAAACTTCACCCGAGTTGAATAAAATTTCATTGTTGGACTAAAGGCCCAAAATTCAAGTCACTGATTCCAATGGAGACGAAACAAAAAAGGACAATCGTCGAATCGGCCTAAGATCTAGAATAAAATGAACCATATATCAATCGAAAGCTTATGTTGTGTAGGGTCAATACGGCGAAAGCCAAAACAGAGAATGTTTGAACAGAGAAAGGCGAAATAGCAAAGGGCAAAATAAAGAAGCTAAATAATTAAACTGATTGGAGTATTTTCTGAAAATTAAGCACAATGCATTGATTGCCATAAACTGAATTTGCTCAATCAAATTCTTTCCTCAATCATGGATAATTACGAACTGAATAAAACTCAATAAAAGAAAGATGAAAATTTTTGCTTCTATACGACAATATACGATGTCTTTAGTGCATTTGACTTTCTCTTTTTTGTTTACACTGTTTTGTCCTTCTCGGTTTTGAGTCCTAACCACCAACTTTAACTCGCCCATAATTAATGCCGTAGACCGAAACTGGTTTTCTGGTCAAGATATTAGTGGTATATGGTCAGTTTATTTTGAATTTTGGTAGTTTTGCCTGCAAGTGTTGAAATCCATTTGACTCAATAAATATTGTGATTCAATCTACACATCTACACCATCTACACCAATATACTTTATAATATACTAAACCTATAAAATATATAAAGTCAAAACATGAAATTTTTGCGTAAAGATTGTGGCCAAACTGAAAGGATTCTGAAGAAAATTTTCATATAGCCTGAAAGCTATGATTAAACTCCATCCACGAAAAATAGTCCAGAGCTCGAAACTGAGGTTACTGAGAAATTAGTGTCCAAACAGGCTGAGGGAAAAAAATGCAGAATCCGTATCTCTTACTATTGACTTAGGGGGAAAAACTTTTTGGTTATCCAGGTTGATGGTTTATTGTTGCATTAGAAGGATAAATAAATCAGTTGTATACCTACACAGCCAACAAAGTTTCAAATCTCAACACAAATTTTTTTAGTTTTTCTCATTGACAATGGTTTTTCATCAATAATTTGAGTCTCTGATTCATCTGAATTTGGATTGGATTGTATTCAGTGAAAGAAATTTACGATCAGTCATGATCTGGCTCAGCTTGTTTAAATAATAATAACTTTGATTTTTTATATTTTAATTTTGTCTAATTTTCTCTCAAAATTATTGATATTACAGTCACCCTTCTGAAACTGCACTTCTCGGGAAATAGCTTATTTACACTATTGGTCGGGCAACATATTTCACGATTTTCAATCTTCCTTAATAGACCAAATTTAACCTAAAATGTTGCTTTAAGCTGATTTCGCGAGTTTTTGGATTGATATTTCACGAAAGAAAATTGAATTAAGTCAATTGGTAATTAAAAAAATTGAATCAAAAATCGACGAAATGCGAAAGTAGATCTAACTCCTCCTTAATAGGGTCCATTGAAAAAAATAAGTGCAGTTTCAGAATGGTGCAGTTTCGGAAGGGTGACTGTAATTCAGATAAAAGTAAGTTTTGATTATATTAATAACAATTTTTCAAGTTTTCAAATTTAAACTTATTTTCTATGGGATTTTCACTAACTGTTAGCTGTTTTATCTCTAAGTTACGTTTTCCTTTATCCTCTCGATGACGCACTTAATTTGCAATTTGACCTCAATTTTTACTTTTCAATCAAAAATTCGAAAAATTTTGTTTTCGTTTCCTAATTCCTTTTCACTAATTCAAAAGCAATTAAAAAAAATAATACAAAAACAAAATGTAATACAAAACATTTATTTGTTCGTTTCTAACTTTATTTAGATCAACTCCAAAAAATTCAACAGTGGAAATCCAGTTTGAAAGTTAGCACCAAGACTGAGTTACAATAACTGTGATTAAAACTTTTACAAAACTTTTCTTACTCAAATCACATCAATGATGAACACTCTTTAATGGTGAAACTACTCACACGGTTACATCTCGTTTCATTTTAAGATCGGTATGATATTGTAAATCAAGAAGACTTCGATAAATAAATAAATCTATCTGGAAAAGCGAAAAAAATATTGAACTGTAAAAGTATAATTTTGCAGGCAAACATTAAAAGCGTAACCTCAACTATTATTATCTGCAGACAAACCTCACAACTACTCATGAAGCTTACTTTTGAAAACCTCAATCAGCTTTCAGATTCCATCTGAACCTTTTTTTGATCGAAATCCAATTTTGGACCATTTTTGATTTAACCAGTTTCATAAGCATTGTCTTTTAATGGAGAGACACTTAAAGTGGAATAACTAGGAAATGGGTTGAATAGCAAAATGCTCATGGGAATAAAATGGTTTCTCTTGTTTTACTGTTTTACTTTACAAACTTGTCACAGCTTTTCAACACTCATTTTCAACAAAATTATCGATTATTTATCAAATATAAACTTGATCAAATGTTATTGCGATAAATATGAAAAAAATAATTCATTTCTTTTCTACTCATTCTCTAGCCAATATCAATCCAGCAACTTTGGACATTGGTTTTGGTAGAGTTTCAAGTTACCCTTCAAAATGATACTTTCACCATTACTGCAACCCTAAAGGGTGATTATTGAAACAATTTTTACCCTGAAATCGAAACTTTTGTTTCTTTCTTTACTTCATCGAAACTTTACTTCATATTAACTGTTCCTAACATGATGGATATCAAGTGAAACTCGTGATTGGAATTGATCAGTATTACTTTGTTGATAAAAGTATCTCTTTTCATTTTGACGTTTATATCAAAATAGAGAGGAAAAATTTTATATCTTTTTATAAGGAAAAGAGCTTTTGCTAGCTTTTTTATTCTTGGGTAAATATTATCAATCAGATGGAAGAATTTTTTGCAATCAAGAAAAATATAACATCTGAAAAATATCAACATAATATCAAACTCAATTTCACTCTTCTCAGGGAAGAGTTAATCTTATGAGAAAAAATAGTAAATAGGTTCAATGGGTTTTGCTTGATCATGAACTTTCATCAATAGATGAATCTCTCAAGAGTCTGTGGACTGTTTCCTTCATTTCAATATCAGAGTCTCAATTTTCTCAAACAAGTCAACAATCAATCGATTAGTCAAGTAAACATTTTCATTATTTCAATATTTTCAATTCACTTGCATCTCTAACTCAAACTTATAAGAGATGAATGAACGAATAAGCGCCTAAACGAATCAAATGGAACTTTCACCAAAAGCCATCGAATCACACATTCTTTTTTGTGGCAAAAGATGAGTCCTAGCTACGATCACTTAAAATGTAAAAGTGCTAATAATCACTTCAAAATGCAATTTTTTTCTGTTTCTCGCTAGTTTGTATAACTTGGATAAAAGCATCGAATCATTTTCATCGAGTTAGTTGAAAACTTTTTTGCTCCGAATTTGCACATTTGATCAACAAAATTGCTATTTGAAGTGATTAGCACTTTTACATTTTAAGTGATGGTAACTAGGAAAGGAAATAAATTTCTATTTGGTTTTCGAGAAAAGATTAGATGTGAAACTTTGAATGATGAGGTTCGATCTTGAGAGTTACAAAATTGAAGGAGATGCAATTGTTGATTCTGGTCACGTTCAAATGTTTCTCCATCTGATGAAGCTCCTTTGAAGCAGAAAAAAAGTCCCAAATTTATCATCCAAAACAAAAACTGCATAACAAGCTGATTGAGCAAAGTCATCTAGAGATGCTTACAAACCTTTATCATCAAACTTTCCTTTCTATTCCCAGATACTCTGAGGAAGACGTTTCTCTTCCGTTTCCTATTTACCTTAATCATCTTCTTTGTAAACTCTTGTTTTCTCACATTCAACTTCAATTGACCAAAAACATGAGTAGCAAAGTTAGTTAATTTAGAGCCTAATTGTTTAACCAAACTTATTGATGATATAAAACGAGCACGAGAAAAATCGAAAAATATGCTGTACCTGACTTATGCCACACTCGGTATTAGTTTGTTAGACAGAAAGGTCAATAAAAGATCAAAATCTCTTGAGTTCATGTTCATTCTAAAGTATTGAATGTTTCTTGCGATTCGAATACACGGGAGAATTTAATTTCTTTCAGTTTTATCTCAGTAAATTGTGCGACTTGGAAATACGCATTCTCGGCTCAACTTATCTTCTTACCTGATTCCTTAACTGCTTCAGTTTTGGTCTTAGTTTATGACATTCAACTCTAGTCTATTGCAAGTAATCACAGCAAAAACAATGAAACTCGTCGAAATCCTGCTGTTGAACCTTTTTTGATATTCAGTGTTGTGATAGTTTCAACATTTTTTTAACCTTTTACAATTTAAACTCATTTTTACCTCTTTCTGTGTAATTAGTTCAATTCAATGGAATCAATCAAATTGGATTATTTTTTACTTTTTTGCATCATATTAACGGTGAGTTTACCGTCATTGATATTTTGATTAAACATTTCATTGACAAAATGAACACAATTGGATGTAGAAATAAGACATACATTGATCTATTTATTCAGATGCATCAAAGTTTGTTCATTGGGTTATTCACGAAACCAATTTTATCAAAAAGAAATTTTCTCAAAATTGTAGGTTATTGCTGTTAATGATTACAATTGAAACAATTTAAAATTCTGATTCTTTAAAGGTTTACCACTTAGATGATAATGATGTTGAGGGTGAAAAATGATTAAGATGAAACAGATTGATCAAAGGACTCACTGAAGATGAATTAATATGTAATCCAATGTATTCAAAGGTTGCTCGTTATTCAGTGGTTTCATGTATTCAATGAGTCGAGACTCAACTTGAGATGATGATGAGAAACACCAAGAGAGTTGAAAGCATGATCTGAATGAAGTTTCACTAACAACTTTTTTATTCAAAGAAACTGTTATTGGGCTGTTTTTTAATTTTCACCCATTTCCATGAATGAACCTTTTTCAATGGAAATGATAATGGTGACGATAATGACGATGGAAGAAGGAAAACAAAAGTTGAACTTCATTGTAAATGTATGGCAAGTAAGTGATGAACGTGCTGAGGAAAAAAGATGAACATGAAAAGATGAGCATGTAAATTGTCGAAGATCCTTTTCTTTCTTCGAACATGTTATTCAAATTTTTACCCTGAAAAGCTCATGAACCATCACCTTGATCATCTCTTTGTTACAAAATTGTCCATTTTCTTGACTAATCATTTTACTCTAATGTAGTCTTTTCATGACAAATTGCCAGTAATGGGTACTTTTGTCATTTCAGTTTTATATTCAACTTGAAAATTTGATGCCAATTCAATGAAACCAACAGAATCAATGGAAATTTTTTCTCCCTTTCATGATGTTTTCGCTGATAATATAATATCTTCATCATCTTCTCATCCTTCACCTAAGCTGCAATCAATTTTACTTTGCAATAACTTGGATACTCACTGTTTTCATCTTAAGATGGATCATGAAAAGGATGAAGATGAGGTTGTGTCCATTTTTACCTCTCAATTTAATTTAACTTCCGGAGCAATTTATTTTTTCCTTTCAATTTTCAAATAATTTCGGAAGTTTCCATTTATATAATATTTACAGGTTCAGATGCATCTAAATACCGTCATTGATATTTTGATTAAACATTTCATTGACAAAATGAACACAATTGGATGTAGAAATAAGACATACATTGATCTATGGCGACAAGGGCGATAAAGGAGATACAGGGCCACAAGGATTACCAGGTCCTCCTGGTCCTAAGGTAATATACAAATTATCTCATAAAGTAATGAAGTGACTCTAGATGATGAAATGGTTGAAATAGTGCATTTCCTTTATTTGTCACTCTCTCCATTTCACGATTTTAAAGATCCAATGAACCAAATCATTCCAAACCTATCTGTTGCTAACGAGTTTCTAATTTAAACTTTATCGATAGGAATCGGCAAAGTTTGTTCGCAGTTTAGATCGAATTTCAGATCCAATCCATTCTCGATTGGAGGCACTAATAGCTACTTTCATCATCTTACACTTCACGATTTGAAAAATCGAGGAAATAATTATTCTTTACAGGGCCGTGATGGTAAACCAGGAGTTGAAGGACCACCAGGCCCTCCAGGTCCGCCTGGTCCTCCTGGATCTTTATCGAGATTCGATGAGTGGACTTTAAGTGATTCAATGTATCAAACTGTAAGAAAATCTTAAAAGCAAATAATCAACATCGAATTTAAAAGACAAAAAGATTCAACATTCAACATTTGTCATTTATTAACTGTTTATTTGAACATTTGACCTTGACTTTTTTATCAACTTTTAGGGTTCAAGTGTAATGGGTCCTCCCGGTCCAATGGGTCGACAAGGTCCAAAAGGTGATAGAGGTCTACAAGGCGAGAAGGGTATTAAAGGTGATTTAGGACACAAAGGAGAGTCAGGTCATCGAGGAGGCAAAGGTTCTAAAGGTGAGCAATGACTTGAATCAAATCATTATCATAATCAGTGATTATGAATCAGATAATTGGACAAAATCTAGAGGCAAAGTCTTGATGAAAATTGATAGACTATCAATAATTTGTCTTCATTGATACGAAGTGATGACAGTCATAAATATCAGCCAAAGTAACCTGTTTTTAACAGAGCTTTTGTTGAGTGCTTTAAGGCTTCAACAAAACGTCAACTGGTTTCAATTTTAGCTTGAAATCGTTGTTTCTACTGTGAAATGTATAAACTAATGAAAAATTCACTTTTCTTGTGATTAAGGTGACTCAGGGGAATCAGGGCCTGCAGGACCAACTGGCCCCATCGGACCGAGTGGAAACAAAGGAGAGAAGGTGACTATTTAAGACTGTGGTTTGACAAAATGTTAACACTGGCTTTATTTCAGGGTGAACCTGGTGAATGTCAACAAGCAGTTTCCTTGAGACACTCTCATCGGTTCGAGATTGACGATCCTCAAGATATCGAAGAGTATTCATATTCAATAGTCGGACCAAAGGGTGATATTGGTTAGTTTGAGTTTTCGGTACAGTCAAGAGTCAAGTAAAAGAAAGATATGACTAAAGTTTTTGAATTTATTTAGGTGAACCTGGACCAATAGGAACACCAGGCACGAAAGGGGAAAAAGGTATCAATATTATTAAATTGACATGAAAAGGAAGAAAAGTCTTGAAAAATTATTTATTTAACAATTGAATGAAGGTGACATTGGTTCTAAAGGTGATAAAGGTGACCGCGGTGATGAAGGACCAGAAGGTCAGAAAGGATTAAAAGGTGATCAAGGTGAGCGAGGTCCGATTGGACCTCCAGGAGTAGTTGTCGATGAAAAGGGAATGGTCATCAAAGTAAGTTGGAATCATATTTCGAAGCATAAACAAATTTTCTCATGTTTCTGTTCATTGATTTAGGGTGAAAAAGGAACCAAAGGGGAAAGAGGACGAAGAGGTAATTAGTAATTTTCATTGAAAGAAAAGTTGAGATTAATTTACTTGAACAATCATTTGCAGGTAAAAAAGGATTAACAGGTCCAATCGGTCCTCCTGGTGCTCCTGGAACTGTTGATATATCGCAAATTTGGGTGAGTTTTGGTAGAAACAAAGAAAAACATTTCAAATCTCTTATTTATGGTCACTAAAACTTACTTCATACAGAATCAAATAGAGGTACGTTATTCGATATTTGATATAATCCAAAATTTCTGACATTCTTTCATTTCACCTGAAGGAAAAGATACAGAAACAACAGCTGGCTGGTCCGATAAAGAGTGAAATAAAGGGAGAAAAAGGAGAGCCTGGACTACCGGGACCACCTGGAATTGTTCAAAAAGAGGTGATTATTTGATCTGGGTTGAAAAGTTCTGATACGAAGCCATATTTCTTTATAAATTATCACAGGATGGTGTTGTGTACATAACAGGCCCAAAAGGTGAACCGGGTCCACCAGGTAAGCCAGGAATGGATGGATTTCCTGGTGAACCTGGTCTTAATGGTGTTCCTGGCGATCCAGGACTCAAAGGGGATAAAGTGAGTACATATTTGGGCGATGCTTGATTTCCAGATGAAAATAACTGATTCTGTTTTCTAACGCATTTCAGGGTGACCAAGGTCCTCCAGGTCCACCAGGAAGCTATGATGACTTGGAATCTGCTCTAAAGACATTGACTTCATTTAATAGTCCTGGTATGAGAATCTTAATAACAGAATAATAGTTTAAACTTCAAATGTCCTCAAAGTAATGAAAATGAGTTTCAATTGAAATCTAGTTGCGAGTCCAGGTCTTCCAGGCCCACCCGGTCCACCTGGTAAAGGCTACCCTGGATCAGAAGGTCCACCAGGACCGAGAGGATTTCAAGGTTTGCCTGGGCCACCAGGACCTCCAGGACCACCAGGAGAACTCGATTTGTCATGGCTTGAAAACAGTTTAGGTGGACCTAAAGGTTAGCCCAATCAAGATGATAAAAAATGATTATTAATAGTTTTGTCTTGATAATCAGAAGTAAATCGAGATCTGAAGGATATTAAATCGTCCATCAAACAAGCTTCAGGTAAACTTATGTCTTTATCTCATTGAAAACAAATTAATCGCCGAATACCAACTTTTTAGAGATAATAAGAGGACCTCCAGGACCACCTGGGCCACCAGGTCCTCCTGGGTCAGCCGGACAATATGATTCACAGGATTATAAATCAACAGTCGTGCCTGGAGTAAGTTCGAGATTTCAGTTCAGTTAAATTAAATTAATATTGTATCAAAACTTTTTAGGCTGTAATCGTGAAAGATATGGCCTCACTGAGACGAATGACAACTATAAACTCTCCAGGAACACTTTGTTTCATAACTGATGAACAAGCACTTTTAATCAGAGTCAATGGAGGATGGCAATATGTTTCTGTAGGTCAACCAAATCACCTTTTGAAATTTACTAATTGTTTTTTCTCTCTTTTATAACCAAAGCTTGGATCAATGGTAGAGACAGAGTCTGAGAATAGTCAGGTAATTTTTATTCAGGTCTATTGTTGCCCTTTTAATAAACTCCAAGTTCTTTTCACAGCCAACAACACCGCAAGTTGCATTCAAGCCCAGATTTGACCAAACACTGGACGATAGGATTGAAAGAGTTGGTTGATAAAATTAACCTGAAAATTGCAAATAATAAAAAAACTTTTGTTCTTTCCTCGATTTAACAGACTCAGAAGAAACTTCGAATGGTAGCTTTGAACCAACCATATTCTGGTGATATGCACGGTATTCGAGGAGTGGATTATGAATGTTACCGTCAATCGAGACGTTATAACTTGAAAGGAACATTTAGAGCCTTTTTGGCCTCAAGGTTACAAAATCTGGATAGCATTGTTCGAATGCAAGATGCAAAACTTCCGATTGTTAACTTAAAGGTGTGTAATGATTGAGAATTTGATGATTTGAAATTCAATTTTAACTTAATTTATCATGAAGGGCGAGGTACTTTTCAATTCATGGCATGATTTGTTCATTGGATCTGGTGCTCCATTCCTCTTCCCTCCAAGGATATATTCATTTGATGGTCGGAATGTGCTGGCTGACAGTAACTGGCATGTTCAAGTTTTTCGATTCAACTTGTTAGCAAAATTCTGTTTCTCATCAACTATTTTTTATTTTAAATTCAGGCCTCAAAAGTTGATATGGCATGGTGCCAATAAACGAGGAGCTCGAGATGTCGATTCATACTGTGATGCTTGGCATTCCAACAACCAGCAAAAATATGGATACGCAAGTTCCCTTCTTCATGGTAAATTATTGGATCAAGAAAAGCATGAATGCTCAAGTCAATTTATTGTGCTTTGTGTGGAAGCTACAAGTCAAGAAGACAAGCAATTAGTCCGAGATAAGCGCGAGATTGACCCTAAAATCGATGATGCATAGAGTCACGGGTCTCTGTGGTTAATCAAACGGAAATATCAAACATTTAAATCAATAATCATTCCAAATTTTGAGTTATATTCGATCTGATGAAGCAATAAAATTTTCTAAGTCTAATAAACGAATTTCTTTTGATTATTCGAATTGAATTGGTTTCTGCATATTGCGAGTAAAACTCATTTAGTTTATCGGTTAATATTTTACGAAGCTAACATGCTAGGCAACTCATACTATTATAAAGGGTGTAACAAGTTATAGCTTGCAAATGAAGGAGGTAACAAGAAAATTTAACTTACGTTATCTTTAAATATAGTGCATAATGAAATCTAATGTTTCGTAAAAGAATGATGACTTTAGGTAATGCCATTCTCAAAATATCGAGGCTCAAAGTTTAAAGGCCAATGGCCAAAACCAAGAAAAGTGTTGTTAAATTGTTAGAAATATTCAAACCATGATGTTTGACCTGATGACCTAACAATTTTTATGGACAAATAATAAGTTTCAGCCCGTTATCTTTTACGATCACAGAATGCGATTGGTTTAACTGAAAATCGAACTTTTCTGTTTTGCAGAAAAAGGTGAATTTCATTTCTCAAAGAAAGACAATTTTCTGATTTGTCATCAAAAGTTATTATACATCTTTGAAATATTATAAGTTTTATGCAAAAATATACTTCCATGATTTTACAAAAAGCGATTCTTGTTTCAACTTCTAACTCAATTTTCTCGAAAACTGTCCATCAGAGAAATCTTTAAATCGCACAAATGGACTCATTTTTTATGTCCCTACAAGCTAAAAGAGTCTAAATCTGAAAGAAATTATAGAAATTATTTTTATCCGTTTTTGCCCATTTGTGTCAACTTGTGTCAATTTGTGAATGAATATGACAATTGTGTTGCGTCTTTTAGGTAACTCATTCTAGGTAGTCTCATTGTGTTTGCCTCAATGTCTCTTTCCATTCAACTAAAGTCTTGTGGTGCATACAAACTATTAGAGAGATCGTGTACCGTCTATACCTCTTACCTGACATTAGTAGGAATTTGCGCGATGATATGTTATTGATATAAATGAGGTGTCAAATAATCAATATTAAAATGCAATTTAATTTTATTGATACATATTAAGAAAAATACATTTTCAATGGTCTAGTGGTTAAATAATTACAATGAAAATAGTTTTAAAATTGCCAAGATTATCGTTGCAATATAAAATATTATCATTAACATGTCAATATTTCTATATCTTCCATTACCGAACTAGTAATCAAAATGTTCAAAAAATATTTACATTCACATAATTTACTTTATTTAAACATATCGATAAAATAATACATTTTCAAAGGTCTAGTTATGAAATGATTGCGTCTAAAATAAATAACTTTTGTGGATGTCAAAAGGTCTGTTGGACTAAAATTTTATAAAAGGACAGTTATTTTGCTTCGCAATTCATTTCTAGTTTTCACTGTTTTTTAATCGAATTCTGACAACTGCAATCGAGATGAAAGAAATCAATTTAACTGTTGGAGCTTTTTCTGTAAGCAATTTAACTGTTTGGTTGCATCTTTGACTTAATATTTTGTATGTTATTGAAGGTGCCATTTGCCGAAGGATTTGTCGAAGAAGATGATCAAGTTGTTCCTAAATTGAAGTCTCTTAAACGATTTGCAGCCATTCTCTCGGATTATGGTCCTTTCAAGTAAGAAACTTTATCTCTAATTGTATAATAATTTAGTTGTCGATTGATTGTGATTTGTGTTATGCAGTTTGAAATTCATTTTACCCAAGGAAGGACAATTGGGAGTGCTAACAGAGACTGGTTATCATGATGGAGCTTTAGGTTTATTACAAGAAGTTGTAAGTACAGTTCATGTGGCAAGTGAGTTCGTACAAGTCTGTCATTTCGATACACAAACAAAATTTTCTCTTTTGTACTTTGATTTAACTTTCTTTTGACTCATGAACACTAGACGGTTGATATGTGCTTATTGCCATTACCGTTGGATACCCAAATGGCTCCTGGTATTTTCACTCCAGTTATATCAGAAATGGACTATTACATCCTTACACATCGTTATTTAAATGATGCAAGTTCAGCTCTCATCTCAAGCTTGACTTCAGTACAAGCGATTCCTTTATTATTAGCTATTGTAACAATATGAATATTGGAGTTAATTGCTGTTAAACACTTCAAAATTGAAGCATTGCTCACAGCCATCTTTAGATCCTTCGGTATCTCATTTTACCAGGATTTATCTCATCGATCATTATGGCTTTGCTTCATTCAAATGCTAATTTTAATGTTTCCAGTATTCATCTTTGATGCTGCATTCAGTACCCAAACTATAGTTGGAGACAGGGATTACAAGATTGATACATTGAGAGATGTTATTAAACAAGGAAATATGCCTTATTTTATCCAAGGCATTTCAATGTATGACTTCTTCAAAGGCAAAGTCAATAAAGACTATGCTGAGATCTATGAACGGGCCGTTGCCAATGGATTTGGTGAACCAATGCCATTAGGACCTATTGCCGATAAATATAGATTAGAAAAGTTGGCCACTTTCGTTTCTGATATTGGAAGGAAACTGGCTCCATTGTTTGCTGCTGGATCTAATTTGCTTAAACCTAATCAAGTACAATATTTTTCAGCAAAACCTTTTCATAAATCATTACAAGCAATACTTTTCAGCCATAATACTTCCGACTACCTGAGAAAAAAGTATGATACTCTGTGAGTGAATTAAGTTATTGTTATTAAATCGTCATAAAATTGATTACAAACACTTAATCTTACCTTTCTAATTTTTACAGATCTCGTCGGATGATCCAAGGTGGCATTTTTGCGAAAGTAGAAGGAGATATTTACGTTGACTTCATTCTTTCCTTTTATCCTGCAACCTTATACGACTTTCACAAGTCTGAAGCTCCTGGTAAAGGCGATCATCTCAATTGGCAATCATTAAATTACAAGGGGTGCTATAAAATATTTTATACACTCATCTTTGTTTTGATTCTGTCAATATTTGTGCTGCTTATTGAGTTGATTGTTGCTTTCCTCGCTCGATTCAGGTGAATGGGATAAAAAATATATTAACTATTTAAACTATTAAAATTACAGTATCCGACGGAAAGCTTCATGTTTGTAACATTATTATCTAAAGATCGTCATTCAAATGAAAATATAAAAATGGTATGAAATGATTTAAACAGATAGAAAAATTGTCAATATATCGCAATTTTCCGATTCTATGGTAATCTGTAAGTTGATCTGATTTGAATTTAACAATTTTCGATTTGATTTGAAAATTGTTAACATGCTGCTGTTGGTTAATTATATTTCTGGTGTTTCAGATGTTGTCATTCAAATACTTGAAATCATGACCAGACATGACCACCAACCTTTAAATTTTTTATTTATCAAAGAATGATAAAACTCCGCTTTTTATTAACAAATTATTCCCTAGATTAATTAAATATTGATGTACTCGAAGTAATGAATTGTTTCTGTGCAAAAAAAGTCTATTTCTTGAAATGAAAAGCGTATTGAGTGAAGTGAATACAGATGAACCAGATTCTGAGGTGAGGGTGTTCTTTGTTCGCAGGGCACGCGAACTACAAAGGTGTATGATAGATAAAATACAAGTTTTCATGTAGAAAAGACATGAATATGAGATTTACAATATGAGAGGAAATTACAAAAGACTACAATTTGCAACGGGATGAACCTCTTCCGAGAGACTGATTAAGTTGTGTAAGACGCATGACAAGTGAAAAATTTGGTTAAGCTGTGTAACCGCTTCGCCGATCAATAAATGAATTGAACAGTTTTCTTTTTGTTTTGCTCTTCTGATGTGCTTTAATTTCAATTTTTAATTAATTTCAGCTTGATTGTGATATTTTATCAATTTGACATCACTTTAATTAATGACTCAATGGTAATATTGAACCTTCGTTAACTCTAGAAAATGTGCTTTTATTTGTTTTGGTTCATCAAAGGTCTTCTTTAGATACACTCTTATGCTTCCTCTATTGCAATATTAGTCGTCTGTCACTCCTTTTCCTAAAACCATTAAACTTCTGTGTGCCAATTATTCAATGATTGACTTGCTGGTTTGGATTTACTCGAGATTTACTTGAGATTTACCGTTTAAGCTATAGGTAAGTTAATCCACATATGTATTTTGTGCTTCATTGTTTCGAGTTTATGTGTAACTCTCATGCTGGTGTGTTATCTTTCTCATAAGATGAAGGTGAATTTCATGAATCTTTAAGAGATTATTGTATGTTGACATTTTCAGTTTCGATTATTACGTATTAGAATTTTCAATTTTTCCCTTTCTTCATCTTGCAACATCTTCCGGTAGATCAATCATGATTACAATGTAAATATCCAAAGTGTAGTCTAATTTTGGAAGTAACCTTGAAGTCTAACAGGCAAACTGAATAGCTTCCTTTTCCTCCTGTGCAACCTTATTTTGCTCTCCTTCGATTCAAATGCCATGAACTAAATGAATCATGCAATTATTCATCTTTCTCGAACGCTCAGATTACTCTTCAGCTTGATCAATTTTGAGTGACATCCAAACGCTAAACTCACATTTCAATCAAAAATTGGTACTCAACTTGATTCAGGGTATTTCTGGTTTTGAGTCCATCTTAAATGCATCAATTGATTATACCAATCAACTCAGGAGATTGATTATAGCAACATATCATGTACCAATCTGATGAAGCCATTGAAAATGCTTAATTTTTGGAGTCCATCCAAAATTTAAATATGAATAATCACCCGAATCTGGGTTGTGAAAGTCAAATTGTTTAAAGTAAAAGAATTGAGAAAGAGTTGGTCGGTTAAAAAATTCTGAACTTTTCTCGAGCTACAGTTTATTTAATGTTACCATGGGTTAAGTAAACCATTTTCATCACGAGATTTTGAGCTTAACGACACTTAATTATTCATAATCTGTTCTTATATCCCTAAAATTATTGACTGAATTGAATAAGTACAACTTATTCAAAAGCGAAGTAAAAGTCACTAGTAAAAAATACGACAGAACTTTCTGATACCCCTAATAGTTAACTTGTTTTAATTGTACATTTACGTGTTCATATTCAAGCCAAATGAAAGCAATCAACAATAAAGTTACAGTTGTTAACCCAATAATACATGATAAGCCCAGCCTATCCCAATCTTCATCCTCATCCTCATCTTTACCTCTCATCTAGAGGTATGAATCATATAAGTCAAGCGCAAGTCTGTTGATTTTCTTTGTTGGTCTCTATTATTTTAACCAACCATTTGTCCAAATAGCTAGAGGGGCAAGATTCACAGAGAAGTGTGAGTTATTTTTATCGAATTGTGTTGGATATTTCTCGAAACCTAACATAAAGTACATCATTGATCCTTGTTATAAATCAATCCTAATAAATTTTTCTTTTTATTGTTGCCTCTTAGATCTACGCATTGGTTAAAAGACTATGAATATCAGCCGATAAAACAACCGACCTGACAAGATGATAAATAGCTTCAATCAATCGACTATGTCATTTGAATCAAGCAAGGATCAAAAGGATCTCATTGGAAATGCGAAGTCATGGATGTATCCCTTTATTGATACAATTGATTCATCCAATTGGAGAAGATACAAGGTACCATGATGAAGATAGAGTTGATTGTTTTGCAGATAATCTTGATAGTGACAGGGAGAATAATGGTGATTTTGATTATGATGATAATGACGGTTGCAATGGTTTTCATTTCGGCTCCAGATCAAGAAACCCAGGAGAAGAAAATCTTAAAGAATTGGAAATACGAAATAAAGCTTCAATTGCTCTGAGAAATATAGTAAAATACAGTGAAGACACCAAAGCCGGTAAAAAGGAAATAAAAGTGCTTCAACTTTTGGAGGAAATTCGAGGGTTTTGTGACAAATTTAAACGTGGTAAAGGAGATTTAAGTATTTCTATGGATCATCCAAGTGAAGCAACATCTCATTTAATGAAAATTTCATTTGATGAAGAACATCGAGTCGCTATTTGTCTTCTTGGTGGACTCCATGCAATCGCTGAATTAATATTTTTTGATACTAAATATCATGGAAACACAACATCACCGCAATGCATTACTGTGAGACGTTATGCTTTCATGGCTTTAACCAATCTTACATTTGGTGATGGAACCAATAAATCAATTTTATGTTCCAATAAATTATTTATTAGAAGTCTCATTGAACAATTGTATTCACCATCAGAAGAGCTTCGTCAAGTGACGGCTTCAGTTTTAAGAAATTTATCCTGGAAAGCTGATGATCAAGGAAAAGACACTCTCCGAGAAATGGGTGCAGTTCGTATGCTCATGAGAGCTGCTCTTGAAGCAAGAAAAGAATCTACTCTCAAATCAATTTTAACAGCTCTTTGGAATCTGTCAGCACATTCAACAACAAACAAAGCAGAGATTTGTGCTGTTGAAGGTGCTCTTAAATTTTTGGTATCAACTCTGAATTACCAATCACCCAACAATACCATGGTAATAATTGAGAATGGTGGTGGAATATTGAGAAATGTTTCAAGTTACATTGCTCGACATGAGCATTTACGAACAATCCTTCGAGAGTTTGATACTCTTTTCATTCTCTTAGAACAGCTCAAATCACCTTCTTTAACGATTGTCTCAAATGCTTGTGCTACCCTTTGGAACCTGTCCGCTCGCTGTCTTCAAGATCAATTGAAACTCGTTGAATTGGGTGCCATTCCCATGCTGCGAAATCTTGTTAACTCAAAGCACAAGATGATCTCAATGGGTTCAGCAGCAGCTTTGAAAAATCTTTCCTCGGTGAAAAATTTTGAGGGTAGATCCCTCAATAGACTTACCTACACTTGTTCAAGACCCACCAATAAAACTACCGAATTTAAATCGCCATGCAATCTGATTGAACTTCCATCTATAAACTCTAAAAAGGTTAAAAGTGAAATAATTGAAGAGGAAAATGAAGAAATTTTGAAGAAAGAAGAAACGGTGACAAAAAGTTCAGATGATAATGAATTAATTACTAATCCAGCTCAAAACATTTCCATCATTTCTCAAAATCAATCGATTAGTTTTGGTGACAATTGTATTACCTCAACAGATGTAACGCCGTTAATGTTTTCAAGAACAAGTTCACTTGGTTCAATTTCGGGCTTAGAAGCAAAATCAAATGCTACTTCGCAATCATCTGTTCGCTCTGAATTCAGTAAAATTGCCAGTGGCCCTGTTTCACCAACAGATTTACCGGATTCACCTACTCAGACAGAATCTTTAACATGTTTGTTAAACGGTTATCCTGATGACAAAATTCAAACAAATGTGCAATCATTCCAACCATTTGATTTAAAAGCTGTTGAAAAAATCCATTGTTTTGGGACAAAATCATCTGAAGAGCATTTAAAATCAAATCAAGAGAAAATTTCCGAACTTATTTCTACTCAAATTAATGAATCTATTTGCACAAAAGTTGAAAAAGCTACTCAAATCATTAATCAAGTCCAAGAAGCTTGTAACCGTGGGATCGCTGAGAACAACATGGATTCAATGAAAGGAAGCAACAGCAATGATATTCTTAGTCAACCAATTGCTCATGAATCCATCTCATTGTATTCACTTGAATCTAGCGACATCAACAGTATTAAACCTCCTTCATGTATTGATGAGGCTTCATTGAGCTTGGAATCATCCAATTTCCAATCCATTAAGACAACAACTCTTCGTGCTAATCGATCAAAATCAACACATGAAGTTCAAAATGAGAATAGTAACACTGGACATAGCACTTCTGTTCCAACAACACCGGTTAAAAAGGCATCTTCCAATGGCAACTTTTCCTCGAAAACTTTTGTGGTCCGTAAAAGAGTTGGTAACATTCCAGGTGGAACTTCAGAAAATGATAATTGTAGTAATATTAATACCATTAACGCAAGTGGAATTAAAAATCGTTCAGTTTCAACAAATAAAATGTGCAATTCGGCTTCCATCCATAATATTGATAAAATGAATGGAAATTTTCAATCATCTGTATTATCTGGTCATAACAATTCATCCACAATCTCATCTTTGAACAAAAAGACTCCAGTCCAGAGTAAAATTGCTTCCCTTTGGAAACGCTCTCATCCAGAGAAAGAAAATGTTACAACTCAAGGTTATGTTCCTCCAAAAGGTGACAACAGTTCTAACCTGGTTAAATCAAACAAGGGAACTGGAACTGGTAAAACGATACCAACTTCATCTACAACAATAACATCACCCTCAAATTCAACTGCTAATAATTCATCACCGGCAACAGTAACTTTAACTCGGAGTTCAACTTATGAGAAGCTCCCCTCATCGCCCAGTGAAGCTATTAAGATGCAATCTAACTTACCAGCTTCACGAAAAGAAACCAAAGAGATGCCTAGTCGTGTACCTTTGACCAAAAATCGAATAAGACCAGCTCAAGATCAAATAACAGCTACTTTAAAGCAATCAAAAATTGTGCGATTAGAGAAGCGAAAAGCATCACTGGTAAATTGATTGTAATCAACAATTTAAGAGGAAATTGTCAAAACAATGCGGAATTGTGACTAATTTCAGATAAATGTCCAATGAATGTGCAAAGTAAATTATTGTAGAGTATGAAGCAGTTTGTTTTTATACCATTTTGTGATGCTAACCAAAGCTAACCAGCAGAAATGGCAGTTGAAGGTTACTTTGAAATCTTCTGATTACTTTAATGTCAACTGTCATCACTAGTCAGTGTATATCAATTGTAATCACCTGAAACATGAAAAAGAACCTCCAATACTCATTAAATACCTTCTGATTAAATTGAATACCTTTAATTTAAGCTTCCAGATTTCCATTGACATCTTTGTGAATTGAATTTGGTGAAAATGTGAAAAATTAAGGTTGGTCTCTTTGATAAGATTTGATGAAACTTTTATCCATTCAATGGGAAATGTCTTTGAGCATTAATTGAGTGTAATTTTTCACGCAATCAGTTCTTACAGCTATTGATTTTAAAATATGCTTTTACTTGCAATCAAACCATTAAATAGTGTAAAATTGACAAAAAATCAAATCTTAAATCTTAAATACTAACAAGGGAGGTAACCTCGTTGGTACGGGCAGATCAAAATGAAAGTGGGTTTAATGGAAAGCCCGTACCAGAAACCCCTTAAAATCATTAATCTCCCATGGAGGAAATTGATCTGAAAAAAGTTACAGGGCCACAAATTCGAAAAAATAGCAAAAAACCACATAAATGTTTGTATTGAAGCTTCATTTTAAAGAAAGTTTTTTTTCATATTTGAATTTTATCCAGAAATTTTTATCGAGTGTTTTTGAGGTTTTTTGTGATTTTTTTGAAAACAAAAAAGTTTAGGAATAAACTGATTTCAGATTTGCATCCCCCATGATCAATTACACCTAAATAGTTTATTTTGATAAAAATATCTATCTCTACTTCGATTTTATTAATCATTTTGACCTCCGTGATTAAAACATTTGCGACCCTGTAACTTTTTTCAGATCAATTTCCTCCATGGGAGATTAATGTTTTTAGGGGTTTTCTGGTACGGGCTTTCCAATAAACCCACTTTCATTATGATCTGCCAGTACCAACGAGGTTACTTCCCTTGTAAGATCTACTTATTACAGATTCTAGGATTTCTTTAAATGAGTTGAAACAGAATGAAGATAATTCTGTTTAGACATGAAAGTAAAATCATTGATTTAATGCAACCCATTCTCTCCAATTTTAATTTTAATTATTACCAGAATCAAAAGATTCAAATCATCAGCATTTGAAATAAACTTTCCTTCGGATTATTGTTGTATTTTTAAGTCAACAATTCATCAAGATAATTCAGATGCACCGATACAACCAGGATTGATTGCTTAATTGAATTATTAACTCAAATCATAACCCAAGAAACAAATTTTGTAAACTTGATGGCAATAAAGCTTAAAAGGGCAAGGAAGAAAGATGAAGAGTAAAGGTTAAATTGAAAGAGAAGAGGAGAAACTTGAAGATAAAGTGGCGAGGTGAAATTGATTTCTTCCCTGTTAGAGAAATATTAATCAATACATTTATTTGAATGTTTCAAGAAGGCCTGGAAAGAGGAAGAAAGGCCAGAGTTAATATTTCTTGGTGAAAGAAGAAAAAAAAGTAAATGATCAACCATGAAATTAATATAAAGTTAATTTCAGGTTATAATATGAAGCCTTCATTTCAAGTTGTGACAATTTCTAACTCCTAACCAATATAGAAAAGTGATATTACAATCAAGTGAACTTTATATTTATCTTTCATCCTGGACTCATTCAATTTCCAGTTGGTGTAAGAGCGACCAAATAAATCAATTAAAGCAAGTAAATCAATAAGTCAACCTATTAAAGGTTAACTAAAAAAATTAACAAAAGTTTATAACAAAAGTCAACCGATTTTTACAAAAAATAATCTCTGACAAAAATTATGATAACAGCAAATTGAAGCATTTGAAGGTAATGTATCCAATTTCATCCACTAGATGGAAGTAAATCTGTCTCCATATATTTTTGTTTTAAATTCAAAAAAATTGAATTAAAATCTGTTAATTTTGGTTTTGTTGTGATTCAAGATACATTTTTATGTGATACTGTCTTAGCAATTTCATCATTTCAATATTTTATTGTAGTTAAGTTTAAATCAAATGAGGTAAGCCAAGATGTTAACATTTGAAATTAAAATACTTCAACATGCTTGACCGTTTAATAAAAACGCTCATAAATAAAAAAATCAATTGACAGATGGACGCCTGAGACTGGAACCTTTCACAGTGAAATAACCTTTGCCATTTTACCTCTTATTAACTTGGAATTTATCAACTTACTGTCGTAAAATCTCCACACGAGTTGAATAAAACTTCATTTTTTGACTAAAGACCCAAAATTCAAGTCACTGATTCCAATGGAGACGAAACAAAAAATTTAGTTTCAAGAGATAAAACCAGGGAATGATTCCATTCCAACTCAAAAAGCAGTCTATTCGGTTGTTTCGTCTCTTTTTAATCTCTTTCAAAAACAGCTTTGATTAATCGAAACCTCAACTTTTTTAGATTCTAAACCTAACCCTTAACTTCAACTATACCCAATCAAATTTTCCTATAGTATTCTAATATTAGATTTGTTACTCAATTTAACAAGTTAATTCTCAGTCACACTTTTAATACTTACCTTATTCTAGTTTCAGACACCGATAAGAGTTAACTAAATCATGAAGTAACTGAGCATACAGGATGAAAGTGTTGGAAGATAAATTAAAAAATAAAACAACGATCAAATTAAATAAAGAAACTCTAAATTTCAAAGTCTAGTCGAATGTATCTGTTTGGATTTGCTCTTTGTATCGAGTATCTTCTGTCTGGATATCGGTATCTTCAATTTTGTATAAAAGATAAATAAAACTGATTTTGCCTCCAAATAAAAAAACGAATAAAAATTAAGCATTGATTAAAGACTCAATATAACATCAAGATTAATAAGCATCATTAAGAGTGAAGTCTGGATTTAAAAGAGAGAGAAGAAAGAAAAGAACTGAAAGAAAGTTTAAAGAAATGTCGAGAAATGGCGAGACAGTGAGGTGAGTAAGCAAGTAATGTAATAAGCAAAAAGCTGTGGATAAACAATTGATTAATTGGAAAGGAAAGAGGTAAAAAAATTAAACTTTCATCCAGATACGATTAAATGTTGGTGGATTAAATTGACCAATACGCATGGCAATTGATTTAAGCTGTACTACAACCGCTTCGCCGATCAATAAATGTACACATTAAACTGTACAGCGATCAAGGTAAGAATCTTGTTCTTTCTTTCCTCTCTTTTGATATCTCGCTCTGTCTGCGCAAGGATACACTTTTCAGTTTGTTTATAAATCTCTTTACCATCGCATTTTCATTGCGCAAATGAAATCGCCACCTCTCGATCGTTATTTTGTTGGCATCGTGTGCTTTATTTTGGTTAACACTGGATAAAGATATTTCCCTTCTTTCCTTTGTTCTGTTTCTGTCCTCTTTAGCTAACATTAATTTTTAGCTCTCTCTTTTTTTCTCGCTTTTTTGGTAACATCTTCGCCACTTTCATTGGTAAACTCTTGCAGATAAACTCTCTGTTTCTCCTTGTGTCTATCCATATCTATCTCCTTTACTTTAACCAGTTTTTTGCCTCGGCTTGTAATATTTAAAATCTAATGACAGTTCAACCTAAAGTATCCTCGTCTCTGTACCAGATTAATCAATGTAATTAAGTGTAACTTCAACTTCATTTTTCTACCTAAAATTTGTTCCATCCATTTCCCTTTCTCCTCTTTCTTTAACCGTCTTTATTTGTTTCCTTGTTATTAATTGTTTCTCTTCTCTCTCTCTTTCTTCCGATCATCAACAATAACCATCAACATCTCTACTCTAGACAAATTGTCTCATTAAGAAAGTCAATCATAATCTTCAATTTTCTTCTCTAAATGCTCACCTCCTTCTCATTGACAGTCGTGTCGTGTCTGTTTTACTTGACTCGTCTTTTAACAAAATGTCCAATAACCACGATTACATGTAATTAACTCACATTCTGTGTTTGTAATTAACTGATTGGTGTTCATTTTATTAAAAAAAAAGGTAAGTCTAGAAATGTCTTTCTACATGTTGTGTCTAAATCCCTCTCTTTTTTTCCCTAACCTCATGTTTTCATTTGGTTTATGTGTGATCCTCTGTGAATCCAACTTTTGGGTTAAAACTAAATGTAATCCAAACTGTTTAATACCGATTTACCTTATTGTTTCCCTTAATTTGTTCCTATCAGTAACATTTTTTCACTTATCCAACCTTGAGAGCAACTTAAATCAAACCCAAGCTGCTCCAAATTTTATACCAGTTGGTATTGGCCTAGGAGGTAAAACCCAAAGCGGTATTGTGCGTTTGTTACCGCTCTTTTTTAAAAATGCCTAACCGGAGGTTTAACAAGCGTAGGCATTTATTGTAAAACACAATTTATCCATCTTTTACCCACTGTTAATGATGTCGATATTGTTGCTTGTTTAAGTCAACAATTGAAGATGGCTACAAATGATCACTCATCAGCTTATGCTATTGGAAAAGCTTAAAGGCAAGAAAAAGGTTGAATGAAAAACTTTGTAAACTCATTACATTATTAATAGCTGGTCTATTGGCTAAATTGACTTCGCCATCTTGAATTTTCACCATTACCATCAACATATATAAATATAAATTTATATAATCATCATTTTATACCCTCAATGTGACTCTACTTTTTAATTACTTGAAGCTTGTCAAAACAGTTTTCTCACCTTTTTCAACTTTCAAATTCACCAGACAAATTACCTTTAAGATGTTACAGTTTAAAGCAAGATATCAGGAAAAAAAAACTTTGAACCAAACAAGAAAAACTCATAAACTTGTCGACTTCATTTTTCTCAATTCTTGTTAGAAGCCTGAAGAAACTTTATCATTGGTTCCTTAATCAAGTCAATTTACAACATTTTTCTCTATTGGAAAGCCTCAGAAGTAAAGAGGTAAACATTGAATAGATTTTAGTGAATTTACTGAACAAACTGAACAAAACAAAAAACGATCGGATAAACACGAACAACAACAAATCATCATTTTCCCTTCTTTATCATCTCTTGCAATGTTTCCAGTTAAATCGCAAAAATGAACCCTTTCCAGGTATAATAATGATCAAGCGAATCGACAAATCAAAAGATTGTCAAACCCAGAAAATCTGTTGATTTTCAAGTCATTTGAATTGTTGACAAATTGCAATCCTTTTCAACCAATAATTGCATCAAGTTAATGATTGAAACTTGTCTGTTCAATGTTCAATTTTATTGCTGTTAATGATTACAATTGAAACAATTTAAAATTCTGATTCAGTTAAAGGTTTATCACTTAGATGATAATGATGTTGATGGTGAAAAATGATTAAGATGAAACAGATTGATCAAAGGATTCACTGAAGATGAATTAATATCTAATCCAATGTATTCAAAGGTTGCTCGTATTCAGTGGTTTCATGTATTCAATGAATCGAGACTCAACTTGAGATGATGATGAGAAACACCAAGAGAGTTGAAAGCATGATCTGAATGAAGTTTCACTAACAACTTTTTTATTCAAAGAAACTGTTATTGGGCTGTTTTTTAATTTTCACCCATTTCCATGAATGAACCTTTTTCAATGGAAATGATAATGGTGACGATAATGACGATGGAAGAAGGAAAACAAAAGTTGAACTTCATTGTAAATGTATGGCAAGTAAGTGATGAACGTGCTGAGGAAAAAAGATGAACATGAAAAGATGAGCATGTAAATTGTCGAAGATCCTTTTCTTTCTTCGAACATGTTATTCAAATTTTTACCCTGAAAAGCTCATGAACCATCACCTTGATCATCTCTTTGTTACAAAATTGTCCATTTTCTTGACTAATCATTTTACTCTAATGTAGTCTTTTCATGACAAATTGCCAGTAATGGGTACTTTTGTCATTTCAGTTTTATATTCAACTTGAAAATTTGATGCCAATTCAATGAAAACCAACAGAATCAATGGAAATTTTGTCTCCCTTTCATCATGTTTTCGCTGATAATATCATCATCATCTTCTCATCCTTCACCTAAGCTGCAATCAATTTTACTTTGCAATAACTTGGATACTCACTGTTTTCATCTTAAGATGGATGAAAGGATGAAGATGAGTTTGTGTCCATTTTTACCTCTCAATTTAATTTAACTTCCGGAGCAATTTATTTTTTCCTTTCAATTTTCAAATAATTTCGGAAGTTGCCATTTATATAACATTTACAGGTTCAGATGCATCTAAATATATCCATTTACCTTTGAACCAGCTTACAACAGGGAAAATTAATCTTAATTGATTTCAACTTTTCTAATTGCCTCAACAATTGATTCAATTTTAATCTCAGCTTTCGATATTTTATAAAAACAAATTTAACCCAAAATTTTCTTTATCAAATTTTCATTCACTTTTGGTTAAACCCAATTTTGGGTTTCATTGCAATACCTAAATTTGGTTCAATTCAATGCAACTTGATGATTCAAACTTGTAAGTTGATATGATAAGCTGAATAATTGCGAGTTTAATCAAGATTATTTGCCAATAATTAACTGTTGAATTATTGATTGTTGATTGAATTTTGTGTTGATCATATTTTTTTGGTAACCAAGAAAAGGATTCAAGTTTAAAATGAATGTAACATTAAAGTTAAAGATTGTATTGTACTGAGAAGGGAAACAGATGAGGATGGATGATAAAGGTACCATGTTGATGATGAGAAGGATGAAGATTGGGATGATCAGGTTATTGAGAAGGACTTTGACAACGATTTTCATCCTTTCTCACTGTTAGTTGCTCTCCATCATCAGTCTTAATTGTGATGGGAATGAGAAGGAAAAATCGTTACTCGTTTCTCTCTCCATCTTCATTTGAACAAGTATAGAGTCTCTTTTTTCACTCGTAAAACTTAAGGACAGAAAATATTGAGACCATTAGAATTTGTAATCTCTAGAGGTAAATCGCGATTGATTGATTGGCCTTTTCTTCATTCTCATCATTCTCATCTTCTCCTTCATCTTCTACTTCCTCTTCATTTTCCTTCTTCATTCACCAGCATCTGAGAAGCAAACTTGAAATTGAAGGCAAAATTTGGACCTTTCAAAGTCTTTAAGGCTTTTCACTCTCCTCTATATTTAGGGTTCATAATGAGATGATGACGATCATCATCATCATGATGTTGGTGATGATAATGAGCTTGATCGTCTTCATGTCCAATATTGTTGACTGCCAATTGTATCTTGTAATTGTGATTGCAGCCATTTTTTAGTCTTCCTTTTTTTCTTGAATAAATTAAACGTTTTATTAGCTTTTGTAATTTATATTGATTGATTCACAATTAATTGAGTTGATTACATTAACCAAAATGAAACAATCAATTTCAACCATTTATAAATTGTAACCATAAACAATGTTTTTTTATCCCATTCAAATGTTTAGTTATAACGTCATAAATTGAAATGTATCATTACTTTGGTTATTAGATTTTTGGATTTTGATTGCTGTTTCAGTCTTTTTTAATTTCCAATTTAATCCATAATCTTACAGACAAGTTTAATCATTGAAATCAATCGATTTTACCCGAAAATTTTACTTGACTTAATTTGAAAAGGTTGATTTAAACAATCACAAATGAAAAGGTAAAAAAATGTCAATTAAAGCAGCAATAATAAACTCATTAACCATTGGCAATGGAAATGAAAAATAAAGAAATTTATTTTACATTAAATTTTTTGATTTTCATTAAACTATCGATTCCAGTGAACAGTTTCAAGTCTAAACTCATTTCTGGATTCACTAATTTAGTTTCAACTCAATATCTAAACCTTTGAAATGAATTTGCAGCACGATTTGAATCAGTTTTCAAAGTTGAAAATATTAAAAAATGTCAAACAATTAAATCGATCAGTTAATTGGTGATTAAAACTGTCAATCCAAACAATAGTAATGATTGAACCCAAAAAAACATGTAAACATATCGAGGTTAGATGTTTATTTTAATTGGAGTTGCTTTGATTAGCTATTAGCAATTTAAAGAAATTGCTTTTAATTATTCAACATTTGAATTTGATTGTTAGAGAAACAGACTTACAGCAATCAATACATGAGCATAAGTTGTTGGTGATTAAGATTGTTAAGATTGAAATTATAAACACAAGCGAGCACAAAAATGAGGGGAAAAAACAGGTTAATATGAATAAAGTACATGAAAATGAACAGGGAATGAAACAGGGAATGAATGAGACAAGAAAGATATGAAGGGAAGAAAAGTTCATCTTGCATCGAGGGAATCTGAAGAACCTTTACTATTCGTTTCAGGTTCTCAAATTAAACAGAACACTTTTTCATCTCTTTAATTGGGTTACTTAATTACATCACGTGATACAGGCTTCATTAGGGGCTGTGAAGAGGGAAGATGGAGAAGAGGAAAAGTGGATGATCAAGAAAAGGGTAACTAAGATAAATTAATTAAGCTGCAAGTTGATTAGTGAAGATGAAAGCCTCCAAGGAAAAGGTATCAAAATATGTTTCTCTTGGAGCGACTTATCGAGTTACTTTTACTCCCAGTTTGTCCTCATTGTCCTCATCATATTTATCCTCTTCACCATCATCTTAATCAACATGAATCAAGTTTTACTAATAACAGTTACAATAATAGTTTTGGATTGATGTTTGCATTTTTATTTACTTTTTGCTGTTATTTCCTATTTAAGACACTTTTCCCCAGTTAAACTGGGAGTGAATATTATTTATAAAAACTGATAATGGTAAATGTATTTGGATATTTATATATTGCTAACTGAGGAAGTGTTCAGTTTTCCGGAAGTGTTCTGAGCTTCTTCTTAAATCCTTTGACTTGAATGCTACATTTTTATTCATCATTCCCAGTCTCATCATTATCATTATCAATATATTATTATTTCTCATTATTATCATCATTATTATTGTAATCACCATCATCATCATCTTACTTTTAACCTTCATTTTTGGATCGATGAAAAGGCTGTGTGTTTAGAGGGAGAAATGATGATAACTGGGAAGAAATGGATAAAGATGGAGAAGTTGAATTTTGTTGAACAAAATTCAAGTTAACGGGTTAACCAATTGTATAATTCATTGTATAGGTTTTGTTATCTTATAAATTACGCCAATTCAACTCCCACTTGCATTGATCTTCATCCTTCTTCATCATCATCTTTGGATATCCCTTAAAGTGTCTGGACATGTCCTTAAGAAACGTGTTACATAATCGATGATGATGAGAGTTATGGCCAATCGATTAGAAGGGTCATTAATCATTTTTCAAAATGGCTGACTGAACAGCTCACTGGACTGATGAAAAGGTTTCTCCTTTGAGACATATTTTTATCCTTTCTTTTTATTTAGGTTTGTGTTTTTTTAAAAATAAACATCCAAAGATCCATGGATGATGAAAATGAAGAAAGATAAGAATGATTATGAAGATGAAGAGGAGGAGAATCGGCAAGATGGTGAGTTATCATCTTGTGAGGAGGTAAACTTGGTTAATAGCAGTAACAGATTTGCTTCCTGTTTGGGTGATGTATTGAAGCAATTAATTAAGATCGTCAAGCTAATTTGATAAATCAAACATTATTATCATCAACCTTTTTCTTTCTTCCTGTGATTTTTCACTTTATTCAAACGTTTAATTGGATAATTTCAGGTTATAGTTTCAATTATCATCGGTTCCTTCAAATTATCCAATTTTTCAGACTGAAATCCCTTTGATTTGTAGCTACTTTTTCAATGCTTTTTTTGTACAAAATGTTCAAAATTTATTCACTTTGCTCAGTGTTGATCAAATAATTTGATCAAGATTGATTGTCGTTGCTTTAATCATCTCATTTCAATATTAGATCGGATAATTGTTGTTTAAGGAAATGTGAAATGCTATTTTTTTCAAATCGATATTTGAAGTTTGATTGGAAACCGTTTTTGGTTGAAACTCAATTCATTTCAAACCTTTCATGTGACTGAAAACAGTTTGAGACTTTGATCAATTGTTTATTAAAATGAAGTGCTTTTGAAATATTAACTTTATTGTCATGCAATTAACAGGAAATCGGTGTTTTTGCTGAACAATTTAAGGTTAAATCATTAAAATCGTTTGCTTGATATTTGATTGTTTAATGGGTTAATAGAGTCTATTTATTTTTATTTTTCATTCAATAATACTTTTAATCAGATTTGTGTTAATATTGATAATTTGAAGAGCTAAAAAATAACAATTTAACGTTGACTTGTGATTCCATTTTTGATTCAATTGGTTTGGATTCACTTTGAATTTACTATTATTATCAAAAGTCATTTATATAATTTAAATCAATTTTGTCAATTGCTCAATAATGAAAAAATAGCTTTAATTGTTATTCCTTTTATTATTAATGAGGTGATTATTAATATTGCCATTGAAATATTGTATTAAATCTATTTTTGTGTGGTTTAACCATTAATTTTGTGCTTAGAAGAGGTTTAACCTTTTCAAATTAAACCTTTATAATTATTGAATTTTATCATACAATCAACCAGTTTTTAACCAAATTATTGATTGTTAATGAATGAAGGGTAAAAGTTATTCGTATTGCCATTATTGTTGGTTGAAAAGAGGTTTAACTGGAGTTGATTGTAAGTATTATTTAACTAACTGCTACGAGCAGTTATATGATTTACTATCGAGGGCGAAGCCCGAGATTGTTTTATCATATAACTTCGAGTCTGCAGTTAGTTAAAAGATTTACGTCACGACCAATTGATAAAATATCCAAATTGTGATTTGATTGGTGACCACAAAGACTCATCAACTAAAAATTGAAAAAGTCTAGATTGATAAGAAATTATTAAGTCCATTTTTATCAGACCTGTGATGTTTTTTGATGTTAACAATTGATGTTAACTGTGCTGGTTAAATGTGCTGTTAAACAAAATAACAGTTTGATTAAATTGCATTTAACCAGCACTGAGTGATGTAAATCCAAATAACAAATGCAGCAAACAATTAATTAAATATTGTCATGTTAATACAATTAGCAGATTAGCTAATAGTGAATCCTTTTGTCCGCAAATTATCGTCTACCAACAGTGTAACTGTTTAAATACAATTATCTTGTTGATCATTTAACCATTATTATTATAATAATTATTTGGTCTATGAAAAGATACCAGAGAATGAAAGATTTTTTTGTTTTCTTGACTTCATCTTTGGCTTTTCTTGTTAATCATCAGCAGTAGGCAATATCAGCATCACAGCAACATTTCTCATCTTTCCCATCACCATCATTTTCATCATCATCTTCTGGTTTCTCTTTACATTTAAGTAATTTAATTAGGTACGTGAGACGGTTATTATTATTTACACACGGTTAACCAACCCTTTCATCTTACACCCAAGTTGATTTACTTTGTTACCAAGAAGTTTTATTTTACTCCAAGGATGGTCATGATTGATAATAGAGTCACCCTTCACTCAATTATCTGAGCGACTGTTTTATATAAAATAAAATATAAATATCAGCTAAATATCTATATAGATATTGTTATTGAATTGTAAGTTAAAGGTGAACCTTGTTTGAGTTTTATCGGGTTAAACGAAAATCTGATTCTGGTTCAATCATTGCCATTGTTATTGATGAAAATCATTGCCAAGCCAAGTGAAAGTTTGGAGACATTTACAGAAAATTACTTTTGACGGAGACAGCTTTAAAGAATGAAGAAGACAGTGTTAATATTGAAGAGGACACTGGTCATAAAAGCAAGTGTGAAGAGTTAATCCTTTAAGAATGGGTGAGACAATGTTAAGAATGAAGAAGACAGTGAAAATTTTGAACAAGACAGTTGCTCTAGAATCAATTTTAGTTTGTAAGTCAGCAAGTGAACATAATTTTTTCGTGTTTCGATATGGCAAAAATTAGTGTTGAAGTTAAAAAATTGATTGTTGATGCTCATCGTAACAATAAGACATCATCAGAAATCAGCAAATTATTCAATATACCTGCCAGCTCAATTCGTTCAATTGTTCAAAGGTTCAAAAAGTACAAAGTTTATGAGCTACCTAAAGGACATCGAGGTAAAAAGTTGAACGATGAAATCAGTGCCAAAATATCTGAATGGTTAAATGAAGATTGTCAGCGGACTTTGGAGGATCTTCAAGATAAAATCAAATCGGAATTTGATATTGATGTAAGCAAACCAACAATATGCAGATACATCAGTGGGATTCATTTTTCTTTCAAAAGGATAACTCCAGTTCCAGAAAGACGGAATACTCCAGAAACAATTGCTAATCGCTACAATTATGCAATCAAGTTCATGCAAATGGATGTAGACAGAGATAAAGTGTTTTTCATTGATGAGACTGGCATCCAAGTTCATGCTCGAAAAGGATATGGATATGCTCCAGTTGGTCAACCAGCATATCTTACCGTTAAAGCTGTTAGAGGTAAATCTTATTCGATTTGTGCAGCAATGAATCATCAATCACTCTTTTATTATGAGGTGAAGGAAACCGCTTATAATTCAGCAAGTTTTGTCGACTATTTACGTGATTTCATTCAACATCTCAGCAATAATTCAATTCAAGGTGCTCATCTAATTATGGACAATGTACCTTTTCATCATACCGAAAATGTGCAACAATTAGTCGAAGATGCTGGACATAATCTTGTTTTTTTACCCCCATATTCACCTTTTCTCAATCCGATTGAAAACCTATTCAGTCAACTTAAACATTATGTAAAGAGACTGAGACCAACTACAACTGATCAAGTTCATGATGGAGTAAGAGATGCATCTCAGGTTATCAGTTCTGATGATTGTAGAAATTATTATAAGCATATGCAGTCTTATATTAATAAATGTATCCAGAAAGAAGTCATTCTTTCTTAAATTTGTGTCTTGTTCAAAATTTTCACTGTCTTCTTCATTCTTAACATTGTCTCACCCATTCTTAAAGGATTAAAGTTTCACACTTGCTTTTACGACCAGTGTCCTCTTCAATGTTTACACTGTCTTCTTCATTCTTTAAAGCTGTCTCCGTCAAAAGTAATTTTCTGTATAATGATTAAATGTCGCTCAACAATCATTAAACATTCTTGTAGGTTTAATTTTAAATTTCAACAATTGCCAGCCTAAATGAACTAAAATCAGATCCTTTTTTCCAGATAAGTTAAACACTTCACGTAGAGTTTCAGTTTTTCTTGGAGTTCTGTTCTTGTTTGCTTCCTTGTTATTTTCATTCTGCAACTTTTCCTTTCTTTACTCCTTTGTCGTTTTGATTTTTATCCTTTCTTTTTGCTTCTCTCTTGTTGTTTCTCCTCCATCTTTTCTGATTATCACAAATGAGGGTAAAACTTTTCAAGCTGGTGTAACCGTTGATGAAGGAAAATTCATTGATTGAATTTTTAGCAGCAAAATTTGGTCAACTTTGATCATGCACCATCGGGTTACCACAGTTAGATAAATTTAACAAGGTTACAATGGATTAAGTTTAATCTTGTCATCAATTTTACTTCTTATTGATACGCGTAGTCTTCATCCATTGATTAATTCTAATCACATCATCTTATTGACAATAATAGTCTATTGAGCCTTGACTTGTTCAATTTCTTGGGAATCTTTGTCTTTGTCTTTGCCGTTGTAAAATGACTTGAAAGTTTACCAGAACGATGTCCAATACAGAATGTTATTCACAAGAAAATGGCAATTCGTTTCTATTGAGCTCGACATCTTGAATTGGTATCAAATCAGTGCCATTTGTGAATCTGTGAAAAAATGAAAATAGAAATCAGTTAAATGAATAAGATTGCATGTAAATGTAAATCGTTGGAGCTTACCTTGCAAATTAAAAGTGAAAACTCAAATTACCGCTCAACTTGATAGTTGAATGACAAGAAATACCGGTAAGCTTGATCATGGTTACCTTTAATAGAAAGAAAAAGCAAAAGAGTGAGCAAAGGTGAGAAAAGAGTGAGATAGCAAGAGTGAGAAAAATCAGTGTAATCACGGGTTTACTATAATATATATTAAGTAACTACACATGGAACAATAAAAAAGGAGTTTTTAGCTATTTCCTTTAAATTGTTGATCAGCAAACTTTTGCGACATCTTTCAGGTAAAATTGTCAATTTTTTTACTTTCTCTGGTGTTCCTTTTTAACTTGTTTCATTTGAATTTGTTTCAAACTTCTTGCTAATATAACACTCTGTGTTGCTAACCTGAATTAAAGACCAGGGAACCTTGCCAACCCAGCGATTAACCAAAAATACAAACACACAACCAAATGAAAACAAAACACCCATAAGTTTCCTCGACCATCCTTTAACATTATACAGCCAACCAGAAGGAGAACCCAAATTGATAATGTGTAAACCTGTAAAAAGAGAAGAGAGAAAGAGAGAAAGAGAGAGAAAAAAGTTAGAATAGAAAAAAAAAGAAAGTTAACTTTGATGTTGACCGTTGACTAATTTTCAAGTTGAACACTGTTTTTACTTTACTCTAATTAATTATCTAACAATTGTGTCTATTATTTCTTTTAATTTGTGTAAAGGTCCATTGAAAAAGCAGACTAGGACACATCAAACAACAGTATCAATTAAAATCAACAAGAAACAAGCAAAGTGATAGAGAAAAAAGAGAGAAAAGAACAAGAAGGAAAAAAAAGTTTTCTCTACTTACCGAAAAATCTCACCAACACCTCCTATCTTCACAGTCATCATCCTAAAACAGCAGCAGTAGCCGCAGCAACCAGCAATAACGTATTATTTCTTCCATTGGTTCCATCATCAGCATGGTGAAAACGTGATAAATTTAGATCGACACACAAGAAAAGGAGACATCAAACACAAAAAGAAACAACCACGTACCATTTCAATGTAAGTTTACCATGTGTACTGTATAAGAGTGGTGAGAGGAAAACAATTGTTTGCTGTTTAAAATTGAATTATAATTTAAACCGAGTCCTCCTTGAACTTGTAATACATGAAACTGTATTGTTTGACCGAATTATCCAGATAACCATTTCAGTTATTCATAAGGTTCAAGACAATCAGCAAACAATTAAACATGAGTTGAAGTGAACAAAAAAGGAAAATTTAACCAACCAAATATAATGAAAAAAAGGCTCAAGAGCCAAACTTCAGAAAATTTGTGCAAAAGTTATGCGGGTCGTTTTACTGATAATAGATGGAGCCACCTTGTTAACTAAATGTACGGATTTTATATGTCATGCCTTCATTGTTGATAGAGTATGATTTTTGTTGGAAATAAGGCAAAACAAATTTTCCATATCACTCTGATTTTTTTTGTTAGTTTATCCAAACTATGGGCCTATTAATTGCCCTAAATTTCATTTTCCCGTTAATAGATTAGAATGCGAGATGGACGAGAATTACTGCAATGCCCGACTCCTGGGTGTGATGGAATGGGACACGTTTCGGGCAACTATGCAACTCATCGAAGGTAAGTTAACTTTCTTCTCAACTTGTGTAAGTCATCTTTTTTTCTTAGAGGAAAATAATTACACTAGTAGTCAGGGTTAAGTTAAGAAAAGTGGAGATTTTTTTCATAGTCGCCATCTAACAAGAAACAAAAGTACCTTTAAGATCGAATTTAATTTTTCATAGATTTCATTTTTTAGTGTCTCTAAAACGGTAAATGCTCGAGATGGCGACACTTAAAAATTAACTTAACTCTGACCCTTTTTTGTTAACTTAACCCTGACTACTAGTGTATCAGGAAATGGCAAAGTCTTTGGTAGTTTTCACCATTATTTTTGTCCATTTCAACCTTTTATCCAAAAATTATTATTCATTACAATTAGTTTAGAGATTAACTAACCATGTTCATCTTGTTTTACCCTGAGCCATTTCAATAGTTTTACCAAGATCTTTTGCTTTCACCGCAAATCTTTTTTTCTCTCCTCTCTTTTTCTGGTAATATAATTGTTTGTACAAAGTTTGTTTCAGAATGTTGATAATTCTTTTAACACATTCTATGTATTTTTTCTTTGCTTCTCTCTTTCTCTTTCTTTCTTTCTTTTTTCTTCTTTCTTTAGCTTCTGTCTCTCCTCCTCCACCACCTCCTATTTATCCATACTTTGACGTTACTTTTTTGTGCCAATTTTTAATATAGCTGGTGATATTTCTATTTATCATTAATTACTTCATATTGAATATTCTTTTTATTTTTCATTTTGTCCCTTTCTTCTTCCCTCTCTCTCTCTCTCCCTCTTTCTCGTTGATTATGCCTTCTTTCCCTAATGCTTTTTTGTCTCATCTCTCAACGATCTCTATGCTCACGCATCAATGCTGATGATCTGTTTTTTGTCATCTTATTCTGTTACGTGTACCTAACTAAACTTGACTTCTTGCTTTCTATTTCTTTATTCAGTCTTTCTGGGTGTCCTCATGCTGACAGATCTCAAGTCCAAGCTCAACATGTCGAACTTAAGTGTCCAACCCCGGGTTGTGATGGATCCGGTCACATTACCGGCAATTATTCATCCCATCGTAGTCTCTCAGGATGTCCGAGAGCTAATAAACCAAAGAAATCTTCCCTGATAAAAAAATCAATCGTCGAAAGGCAAGAAGCTGAACCCAACATTCGGTATGTTCTTTTTTGACATCATCATCATCATCATCATCATCTCCCCCTCTCTATCAATCCAACTAACTAACCTATTCTTATTGGGATCTTTACTTTTTCTCTACTCTTGTCCTATTTCATATCGTCTTTCCATGTCATTTCTTCTTCTATTCCCTCTTCTCATCATCATTAAATTCACTACCATCATCATCATCCTTCTCTTCTCTTTCTCTCTCTTTCCGAACGATCTTTTGACTCTATTCTTTGATAATACGTCTGTTCATCTAACGTAATATTCATCAAACTAAATTAAAGTTGCCCAGTAACTGGGTGTGATGGTACTGGACATATAACCGGAAAATTTTCATCCCATCGAAGGTAACAACAATCTAATTCCAAAATTGTTTCCGAATGTTTTTCAGTTATTTTCTAATTTCCACGTTTATTTTATTTTTTGTTGATTTGGAGATCCAACCATCCAAAATGCAAACACGCAAATTATCTGTGAAACCATCTTTTGCTTTGACATTTTCCATGATTACCGCTTTTCTTCAATCATTCTGTTTTCATTTCCTTGGTTTTCATTTATTTTTCACTCTTTTGGCCCTTTACGCTTATCATCTGTCATCGTTCTTGACTCCCTAATCTTTCTCACTTCTCTCCCTTCTCCTTACCCTTTTATCTACACTTGAAATCCTGATTTTCTTCTCTTACTGATACCCTCTAACAATATCATCACATTCTGTTTACTAGTAATATCACAAATCTCTTACAAGTTTTCTAACTTTTGCTATACTTTTTGATCTTTCTTACAGCGCCTCTGGTTGTCCAATAGCTGCTCGATCTGGAAGGTCTAGAGGAGAATCTGTATCTAGTATGTCACCTCTCGGAAGTGGGGGAGAATCAAATGATATAAGTGAAACAAGATCCTCTAAACATGAAGGATTGAGGTAAATTAACTTTTGCTGCCTTCAATAGAAGTCAACTGAATCAAGATGTTTATCTTTTTAGTATCCTATCATTTTTGCTTTCTTTCCATTAAATAACCTTGAGCTACTTGTTTTGTGTGTTGCCATGTTGACTCAGCGATTCTCGACTTTGAACCTTGATTCAAAATTTTTTAGTGTCGATCTAGTGAGCTGTCAATTGCTTTAATGTTTTACTAATTTAAATTTTTTCCTTTTTTCCTTCTTTAGCTGTCCAACACCTGGTTGTGATGGCTCTGGTCATATAACCGGTAGCTTTTTAACCCATCGTAGTCTATCAGGGTGCCCAAGAGCAAATTCAAGTCATGTATATGGTACAAGTAATGGTATTTCAGTGGCGACCTCATCATCATCATCACCAGCCTCTATGGCTAACTGTCTTAATCAAGTTAAGCAGTGTGATAATATCAATACAGTTGGTTATGGTAGCAATATTGGTACGGGTGGTAGTGGTGCTGGAGGTGGTATATGTGTTGATGGTAATAGTAGTTGTAGTAGTAATGCTGGCTCTGGAGGTTCAGCGAGCCGAAATTTCGGAAACAAATTAGATGATTTAACAAATACTCTCAATGTAACGATGATTTGGACACCAAATTATGGTACCAATGGTAATCATATCAGCCAAGCTGGTAGTGTGACTAATAGTGTATCAAGCTGCTCATATGCTTCTATGGAGCAAGAAGGGAACTTTGATCAACACCAAGACGATATTAAAAGCTTAGAAGACGAAATCTATGAACTTCAAGAGTCAAACGCCAAATATGAAAATGAAATGATGAGAGTGAAATCAGATATAAATCACATTGAGCAACAAATTAAGCACACTGAAAGGGTATGTTGATCTTTCTTCCACGTGTTAACAAAGTTTATTGTTAAACTTTTTTCCAACAAACTTTTCATAATACAATCTTAATCTAACAACATTTTCTGTTTTTTTTTCTTGCTAGGAAAATCAACAAATTAGTAAACAAACAGCCTACTTAACGGAATATTATGAATCTTTGAGGAATAATTTCATATCAATTTTGGACAATGTACGAGTGCCCAATCTCGAGGAGAAGCCTTCTACTGACAATTTTGACACCTTTTTGAATGAGCTATCACAATTGTTCACTGAAAGTTATAAGGACGAAAACAAAGCTATATTTACATCTATGAAACAAGCTCTTCAAGATTTTCCTGTAACAACGTATGTTATTTATATTTTTCATGAAGTTTACTCTAACTCATCCGGGAAATGGATCTCTATCTTATTTTAACACTCACATTTATCGATAGATTTTGCCCTTTTTAGGATACTTTTACCCGTCTCTATTAAGATTAGTTTAAGCCTATTGATTAGCATACTAAAGAACGTTTTTCAACAGCCAAATTATCAAGTTTACTTTGGTGAATAGTAAATGTTTTTCATAGCTGCGCTTATATTAAACCTGAATTAGAGTTCGAGTTTGAATGAAGTTTGACTACAGGAAGTTTCTAAATTTGGAATTCAATTAGAAATAAATTACTTTTCATGAATAATATTAGTTAATAATAATTAGATAAATCAAGGTGATAGTAATAATGTTTGGCTTTATAAGAACGACTTCCATGTAGCATAGGAAATTGAGTTCCGAGTTATTGATATCTTCGCGCATAGTGAAGTATTTTTAAGATAATATAATCAATTTTTAAAGATTGTAATTGTAATTGAATCTTTTTGTTTCTTTTATAAAACAGGCCTCAACCTCCAAACTACTCACCAATTCTTTCGGATTTAGATTTTTCTTGAAGATCTCATCCCAGGTTAAAAATTTCATTTCATCCTCATGATACTATCCAATGGAATAGCTGTCTCTCAAGACTGCCGTAGCGATATGGTTTCTTTATTTTTTTGAACTCAACCAACTTTTATCGGATCTCAAACAACAACTATACAACTTTTCAGCCTCTTCAATATTTTGTTTAACCCTTTACAATTATTTTACTCTTTAATGTTAACAAGCTACTAGTTTATGTACAATATTGATCTAGTCATGGATGGGTCTTCAGAAGCTATCCAAATCAATGTGAACCTGAAAATTTGAAGTCAGCAAGAACATGAAAAGAAACCAAAACTCTTAAAGGATCAGTGACACACGATTTGTGATACATTTATTATGTATATCTATAAAAGTTTATTTAAATGTTCACATTTGCAACGTGTAAATGAAAATGAAGACGGAACCAAAATTGCTCAGGTTTATACTAGCGATATTTATTTTCTTTCAAACCATCGTCAACCTCACAACGTTGAATTGCAGATAAACATCTACTCAAAATCCTTGTTACTGTTATTTCTTGTCAATGAAAAAAGTCCATCATCAACTTGGAAAATTTAAATCATTCTTAAGCGCATTGATGGTCAATTAACCAGGAATATAGTAACCAAGCTATCAACGTGGGAACGACTTGTTATATATTTGATTAGTTTGCATGGCACAAGGAGATGTAAAAGTTAATCTGGAGAGAAATGCTGAGGACAAAAAAATATTGGAAAATAATAATTAAATTTAATAATAATAATCATAATAATATTAACAATATCAATTGCAAAACAAAAACCAAGTCAACTGAAGATCCGAATCTGCAATATCAAGTCTAGACAAAGAGCGCACATCATATTGATGGAAAAATGGCCGAAGTTACCCGAGTAAACCAAAAATGATTCAACATTCAACTATGTGTAAATGAAAATGAAACTTCTGCTGACAGATTCAATTAACCAGGAAGATTGATTCTTCTAATTATACTTTGGCCACTTTCTCTTTCTCTTTTCTTCAACTCTTTTTCATTTAATTTCTCTCATCTTCTCTTTTCTCATCTTCATCCTTTTTTCCAATTGCAGAATGATAACTCACTTGGCTACCCATTTTATCATCTTTATGATGATGCGAATGCGCTTTTAACATTGGATGGAAAACTCCTTTTTCTGTAAATTAAAGAACCATTGTTTAAATTATTGCAATTAACAGTATTTAAACTCATCTAATTAACTCGTCTCTCACTTATTACAACTGTTGTGAAAAATCTCCATAACAAGCTTTTCTAGAGCTAGAATTCGATTAGCGGGCGTTAAGTCATGCTTAACTTTGATCAAGAGATTTTGAGTCATTTCAAATACAAACCAATCGTTTAATTATCCCACAGTCGCGTTAATTTACTGGCTAAATTACTGGCTAATAAACGGAACTCTATGTACAGAATTGTCTATTTAAAGTGAAGCTCGCTTACAAACTTATATTTCTCATTCTTCTGACAAAATTTATAAAGATTTTATCAAAATCTCTCTGAATTTAATATTGATTCTAAAAGCTGATAAAATAGTCAATTCTTTGTCTTAATTGACTTGATTTTAGACTTGAAAAAATCACTTTCTAGACAAATAAACATGGATGATGAAAATTTTTGTATTGCTTTGGAAAGCTGAATTAAAGAGGTTAAAAGCAAATGATGAAGTGCAATTTTCAATTGAAAAGTTATTTTGTGTTCAATCATTTATTGTCCCAGTTTAAAACAGATATGGAACTGTAACTTGTAACTAACATTTCATTGTATCCATAATAATCATTGTTCATTACTTAAACCAAGGTTAATCAATCAAGATTGATAAAAGACTTTGTTATTATTAGTAAAATAATTGAAGGCGTTGTATTAATAGACGAGAAAGTACAGTCATCAGATTTAACACAAGGGTGAAGCACCAGCTTTTATCTCATATGTTGCTCGTATACTGGAGCTAATCTAATCCTGGTTTAGTTTATTTTTTTATAACAATTAAATGCGTATTTCTGTTAACTGGCAGTGAGATTAACCAACATTGTTTAACGAGAAACTTTGATATATCATTATCAGCCTTGATTATGGAGAAGATTATACAAGTTATTCCATACAAAATCTACATAGTAAGGTAAGTATTCTAAATTGAATAAGTTGATCATCATGTGGGATATTTTTACTCGTCTTTTTGAAAATAACTTGAGCTTATTGGTTAGAATAGTTAAAGTTTCCTAAAGAACGTTTTTTAAGCAAATTGTCAGTTTTAATTTGTTTATTATTCATGAAAGTTGTCAATGTTTTCATAGCTGCTTTTACCCAAAATAAGAGTTCGAGTTTAAAAGCAGTTTGACTACAGGAAGTTTTACTTTTTCTAAACTTGGTATTCTGTTAGACATAACTAGCAATTCACGAAAATTAGTAATCAATAGAAGTTGATTAATACAAGGTGATAATCATATTTGCTTTCATAAAAACGGTTGTATGAGATCATAATTGTAATTGATGTTTTCTTGTTTCTTTTAGCTGGCCTCAACCTTCAAACTGCCCACCAATTCTTTGGGATTTAAATTTTTCTTGAAAGTCTTATTCCAGGTTAAGATTTTATCTCATGATACTATCCAACGGAACAACTGCTTATTATTAACAAGCTTTCAGTCTATGCATAATATTTATCTAGACATGGTTTGGTCTTTCGAAGCTATCTAAATCAATGTGAGCTACCAACAGAAACATTAGTTTTCACTGGAATCGCTGCTTTGATAAGGTTCTGCTTGCTGGTGATGATGTTACATATGAAGTTGATGTTAACCCAAAAACGAAGTTAAACTCAAAAGGAAACAAAATCTTAGGTGACTTTCAATTTCTGATGCATTCATTTTGTATCGTTGAACTTATCGTATTTGAATCATTATTTCTGTTATTCTGTCAATTTTTTAATACTCTTTAGGAATAAGAAATAAAGGATAAATAATTTTCATATCTCCAGCTATTGTTTGACTAGTTGTGATTTAACGATGTCGCGCTCTTATTGGGAGGATATTTTGTTGCTCAAAACTGAAATGTCGGATGGAGGAATCTTCAGGTCATCATGGTCCATTGGAATGCTTGCATTTATTTGGTTTTATTTTTCTATTTTATACGTTTTCTTTGAGATTCGCGATCGATGGAAACAGTTTAGTTTAGATGACAAAAACGACTTGGAATACGAAAGTTATTCAATCAAACCAGGACAAGTTAAAAGATGCTACACAGTTAGACTGAGAAGTGATATGCTTTCATCATCATATAGAGATCCATCCGCGTCCATTTGCATAAAATTTTTCTTTCTTAAAGAAAGGATTGGCCAGTTAATGATACCAATTACTTCATATCGAAAGCATGGTAATATTTACACTGATCTCAGAGGGGTCCAATACCATGTCATTTTACTTCATTGGTATACAACATCTAATCTATCCAATGTAGATGAAATTCGTATTGCTCATTCGGGTCAACCCGAATCACCAGAAATTTATTTCCGTGATCTTGATGTCCGTGAACCAGAATTGAAGATTAGAATCCACAGTGCAATTTATCGTAAAGTCGAACCCTTTCCCTTCGTACCAGGAGCTGGGATATCACTTACTCCAATTCAATTGAATTCTCAAGATTCAGACAATTTTCGATCGCCATTTGAAAAAGTTACTCAGTCCGAAATCATAATTTTTATGTTTGTCCAGTCTAATATAACTCAAACAGCGATGCTCTGGTTGCCAACTCTTTCACCCAATACTAAAGTCACTGCTTTAAATGCAATGGTTTATGGACTAATTTTTTACTCAATCACCACTTTTTTGGTAATAATGGCTGCTGCTTATTATCAAATGATCAAGATTCATCTATCACCATTGCGTAAAACCAATTTAAAAAAATTCCGTCACACATTTTTCCTGGCTATTTGTTCATTTTCATCAATACTTTTACTCATCGCATCTGGCCTTGCCACTAGATACCCAAGATTCCCAATTAAATTTTGGCTTCTATTTGCTATTGTTGGACACATATTTCAAGCACTTGTCATGTTTATTGTTACTTATTGGTACACTAAAAAGTTCAGTCTCGAACTAAAAGATGAAAAAAATGAGCAAAATATTTGCCAAGCTTTGGCATTAAAACCGTTGAAACCTTTGACGAGATGCATACAACCAGAACTTCACCAGACCAGTGGCTCAATCAGTCAACAATCTGATCCGAAAAGTCTTTCAAAAGATAAGCCCTCTGACTTTACAAATTAACCAGCTGCTCATCTTGTTTTGAATGCTTTGAATTTCGCCTATTAACTTGATCTGAAACCAGCCTACAAGGCTAAGCCAGAGATTGACTTTTTTGTTTATTATAATAAAACCTCTAGCTGAGGAAGCAGCTTGGTGTGCCGCTGTGGGTACATCATGTTTGTGATTACAGTGTAAATTCAGTTTGTCTGAGTGTTTTCAAATACATCGTTACAGATTGTTTTAAGTAATGGATAACATATTTTAGGTTTGATTAGAGCTATTTGCGGTAGGGTGAGGTGAGCAAGATTTGGAGGAATTTTTGGTCTAAGTGATGAATAGAGGGGACAGTGGGCAATGAGATGAATGTTTTCTGGTGTACTATAGCCACATTTGCATGGGCAATTTCTGGTTTTGAAGTTAAAGGAACCTAGGATCAATCTGAGAAAGATGTTTACAAATTCAAAGGAGTTTAGTTTTTTCCATTTGGGTAGAACTAGATTAATTTGTCTTTCCTTTAATCGTTCAGTTTGGGTTTTTTCACGTCAGATTCTTGAGACTATTTCTTCACAGTATTCTTTCGTCAGAGTGTTTACATTGCACCAAGGTCTATCTGTTCTGACTTTCATGTTGATGGTGGAGTAAAAGGTGTTAGGTGGGATTTCTTGTTGGTTGTTGAGCTGGATTTTTAGTGTTTGTTTTATTCCTATCTCTATGCACATTAGCCAGGGTGGATCAATGCCAAGAGCAGCAAACATAGCCATGGTGGAATCCAATCCTTTGATTCCAAAGGATAGTTTGAAGTGGGCTAGAAGTGACGTTGAGATTTTGCTTCTCGAGCTCTCACATTGGGCAAAGGGTGGAAGTAAAACGAGTGAATAGGGAGTTAATTTGCTATATACAAGGGAATATAAAAGGATTATTTTTGTTTTATGAGGTAAGCGCTTGAACATTTGAATGTTAGCTACAGTCTTAGGTATACAGTCTTGGAATTTAGCTACAATTCCGTTTACATCTAAGTATGAATCATAATTTCTTTTATGAGTGATTGGTAGACCTAGACATTCAATTCTGTCGCTTATTTTGAGATCAAGATCCCTGAAGTTATGTTTGGCTGATTGACTGCTAACCGTGATAGGATTTAGCATTAGTTTGGTTTTTGGTAGTGAGACCGATAAGGAGATTTCGTTCAGTAGTTTGTTGAGTTCATTCATGATGTTTCTGATTGTTGTTGCCAGGAAGTTTGAATGTTGCATGATTCTGCCGTCACATATTCTGATGAATATGTCATCTGCATATGTGAAGATTCTGATTTTACAAGTCTTTGGGAATTTTTCATGATTAAAGATGTCAAACTGGAGTTTATTGATTATCGGGTCAATTCCAATTATGAACAGGAAAGGTCCAAGGATGGAACCTTGTGGGACGCCTTCTTTGTTCACTTTGTAGTATATTTTTTTGTCTATTTGTTGAATCTGAGTCCTATCATTTAGATAGTTGTCAAGAATGTTATGATAGTTGGCTGTTGAGCATGTGGAGTTTAAGTAATTTAAAAAGGATTCATGTTTTATGTGGTCAAAGGCCCCGATGATGTCCGTTTGGAGAAGAAATAGGGCTTGAGAATCGAAGTCAGTTTTGCATTGGAAGATGTCGAAGAGGCATCTTGATACTGATTTAGACGGCAAGTACGCATATTGAAGTTGGAAGATATTGTTCGGTAAGGAGGCCATTATTCTGTCTTTAATTATTATTTCTAGTATTTTACCAAAATTTGATATTGTTTGAATGTTTCTGACCCTTATGTTGTCGGCTTTCGGAATGAAGGTAGATTTACTTATTTTCCAACACTTCGGAAAGATTGAGTTGTGGATTAAGTAGTTGTATAAATTTGTGAAGAGGGTTAAGTTGTCAGTGATTATTTGAACTGTTGTGGATTTATCAATCTGATCAGGTCCAGGCGAAGTGTCGTTCAGGTTCTTCACTATTTCCAATAAGTAACTCTCAGTGATCTCATTATTGTGTTTTAGTAGAGGTTTTAGGGAAATGGATGAGATCGATAGTAGGTCTTTTAGCGTGGTTTCTTGAAACCCGCTTAGTTCCTTCTTACAGTTTTCATTGAACTTGGACGTTGGATTGAGTTTGTTGGTGAAGATGTTGTTAAAGTTTTTCCACATTTCTTTGTTGTCACATAGTTTTGTGTCAAATTTGTTGTTGATAGCTTCGGTTATTTCAGCATTGATTTGAGACTTAATTTGTTTAAGTTTCTCTTTTAGGAGTTCACTTAAGTTGTTCCTTTTTTTTAAGTTCTTTATCCTATTTTTTTCTATTAGTAGGTCATGGTTAACGAGTCTGTAAAGGGGATTTTTAATCGTGATTGTTTTTGTGCAGACTTGGTTGATTTCAATTATGTTGATGAAGATGTTGGAGACAAATTTCTCGAGATCTTCATTGTCTTCCAGGTCATCTAATTCTGGTTGGTACTTCAGCAGTTGATTTATTTTTTTAATTTGCTCAGATTTGTTGATTGTTGTTAAAGTCTTTAGTTGGCATTTTCTTCTTAGATGAAGTGAAAATATTATTTCAAAAGATCTGTGATCTCGTGTTACTGGATGAAAGATTTGTTGAGCAGTGGATATTTTGAAAAGCTTGTGGAAGTTGGTGAAGGCTATATCAATCCAGGTCTTGGTATGTTGAGATGATATAAAGGTGTAATTGTTGATTGATGGTTCAGAGATGGGATTAAAGTCATAGTATTGTAGCATGTTTGCCAGGTAAGTTCCTTTGATGTTGTTACGTTTGTTGGTTTCATGAGACCATAGAGAGTGAGTAGCATTTGAATCGCCAGTTATTAGCGTTGGTGAGTCTTGGAGAGATCTTATGAAATTATTTATTTCGGCCAGTTCTTCTTTATACTCATTGTCAGTGCGTTTTGGATTGATGTAGATGTTGATTATGATGAGACATTTGTCATCTATTTTGATGTTAGCCGCTGTTGTGTCTTTTGCAAGTCGAGTGAAGTTGACTGAGTATTTCTCTTGAACCATGATTGTGGAATTACCATGACAGAAGAGGTTTTTTCTTTTGGCAATGGAGAGTATGACTGATGATGATGATTCTTGCATGGTGATGATGTCATGAGTATTAATGTGATGAATTGCTGATAGTGTTATTGACGTTTCTTTATGACAGTTATGGTTGTACAATTTGAAGTTAGTTATCCTCATCTTCCCAGTCTGTGATGCTTAAGATTCTTTTGCGTTCGAGTTGGTAAACTTGACAGTTTCTGGATTTGGCTTTATGATCGGAAGCAAATTTGGCTAGCGAACATTGACCACACTGGTTTTCAGTTGTTGGATTTTCAGTAGGTGTATGATTACAGTGATGACTGAGATGTCCAACTTTATGACAATTGTTACAAAATTTCACATGAACATCTGTCTGAAAGCTGGTACTATGGCCACCCATGTAAACCTTGCTTCTTTGAGCCAACCATGTACGATTTTCCCTTGAGAGTCTAACTATAACTTTTGTCTTGTCAATGTTCTTGTTGGATTTAAAATTAATGGTTTTCACAAAGTTACAGGTGTTATCAGGTAGATTGTTACGAGTTTTGAAGATTTCTTCGTCTTCCAGTTGATCAGTGTTAACTATAAAGGAGATTTGTGGAAGCAATTTCTTAGTTTCACTGATCACTGTTTCACTTGGAAGGTTCAGACCAGCTAATTTTGAGGGAATCTCCGGGTCACTTGAGGTGATCCTTACGTTCCTTTCTCCAACATGAACAAAGTCTACAGCAATACTTGAGTTTTCTTTGATGTGGTTTTTAATTGTCACCAACTTTACCATTATCTGCCGGGTCCGCAGGTTTGACGATGAAGGTTTTTGGAGCTTTTGGTTTTTTTGTTAGAGCAGTTGAGGTTTTCACTTTATCAATGTTGATGTTTTTAATGGTTTGTTCAATTTGATGAAGTTTACCGACTATTTGGTCTTCTTTGTTTATCAAGGTGAGCACATGTTTAAACCTGTTCTCAATGTCATCCACATGTTTTTCCTTGGTCTTAGGAGCAAGGAGTGAGAGCATGAAATTTTTGATGTTAATTAGCTCTTCCATAATTGGATTTTTTTCCCGTAAAGTTGGTCTAGGAATACTTGATGGTGTTACAGACATTTTAAAGCACAATTAGAGGTAAGATAACTAATTTAATTAATAATTAATTACAATTAAAGATTTCCACTAATTTCAAGCGGCAAACTTTTTTGAGTTTGAGAGCAAGTTAACTTATAGATACGAGAGATGGCAGCTGTGTTTTGTGATCTCCATGGATATGACTTGTACTTTGTAGACAATTTTCCCAATAAAATTTTTTTCCAAGCTGCAAAAACTCCTCTTCTGAGAAGTATCCGGAATTTGATGGTTGATTAAAATTTTATTTGTGACACTTCTGGATTCATTTAGGCACTTATCGTATTTTGGATCGTATCGTAAAATTAAGCCCATCAAAAAACAGTTGTGTTAATCATCAAAACAGTAATGGTTTGTTTCTATTTTCTCTTATTTATTTCATTCATCATTTTTCACTGTTCGCTCTATTTTCCTAGATCCGTTTCATACTCATTCAAAACCGAGCTGGCAAAACTCGACTTGCTAAATGGTACATGAATTTTGATGATGATGAAAAGCAAAAATTAATTGAAGAAGTTCATGCTGTTGTTACAGTTAGGGATGCTAAGCATACCAACTTTGTTGAGGTATGTTTAATACATTTCATGTTTCTGCCCGATACTCATTTTATCTCTATTTTTTCCATACAGTTTCGTAATTTTAAAATAGTCTATCGTCGTTATGCCGGTCTTTACTTTTGTATCTGTGTGGATGTCTCGGATAACAATCTCGCTTATCTTGAAGCTATTCACAATTTCGTCGAGGTTCTCAATGAATATTTCCACAATGTATGCGAACTTGATCTTGTTTTCAATTTCTACAAGGTAACTATCACTTTTCATTTCATTTATGAATCAACCTAGTCTTGCTCTTTATTAACTCATCCTTACATTTCTTTTCTATTCTTTTAACAGGTATACAGCGTTGTTGATGAAATGTTTCTTGCCGGTGAAATAAGAGAGACTAGTCAGTCTAAAGTGTTAAAACAGCTTCTCATCTACAATTCGTTAGAATAATTTTACAGTAACTTATGTAGAAAATTATGCTGCAACAAATTATGTTTGAAAACTGTGTGTAACTCTCTGCTAAATAAAATGAAACAAAATTTTCTAATATAATCTTGAAAATAATTATAAGCAAGATTCAATCACAATTTTCAGTTTCAACTGAGAATGTCAAATTGTAATACAATTGACAACCTTTTCATCGGAAACCTTTCATCAGGTAAAGTGGTTCCTGAAGTAATGATGATTATCTGTTGACACAACAATAATAGTGACCAACAAGGAAAAAAATAGACCAACAGTAAAACCAAATAACAATCAAGAAACAGAGAGACAAAGGTAAAACAAGCGATGATGATATCTCCTTGACCTGACTATTTCTATGATATTTTTACCTCCCTTACCCCATTCATTTAACGGTAATGGATCATTTGGTTAACAATGATTTTCACCTTCCCTTCCATGAGGTTAGTCAACCCAATTTAATCAAAATGCAAGCTTAATGATAATCAACACCAACAATTACTAACCCCAACAACAGTTACAGTTGTTTGACTGAGAAACTAAAAAACAAGTCAAGTAAACCTGTTAACAGACTTACACTCACATTCATTATGAAACAGTGAAAACAACACACAAAACCAAATTACTAAACCAATGACCTTATTATTTAAAATCTCTGTGACTTATTTTCCTCTTCCTCTTCATTCATCCTCATCATCCTAATAAACATAATAATCACCAATCACCATCAAAACCAGGCTGGTCAAAGCAGCAGGTAAATTTATCGACTCATTTTCAATCGACAGCAAAGCCTTTTCAAGTGACAGTCAATGGAGAGATGAAAAGAAGAAAAAAAGTTTCTCATTTTCAGGAGATTGAGTGGATAGCAAGAGAAGAAGAAGAGAAAAAATTGAATGTAAAATGTTTGACAAGATGATAAGTCACCATGATAAGGTCAATTCCCTCAATAAGATGGAGTGAAAGTTATTGGATAAGAAACGATTATCTTGGGTTATCCTTTGTTAACCCAATATTTGGGCAAAAAAAGGTGATCAAAATCAATTGGTTAACTCATCTTTTATCTTCAACTGATCATTTTATTCAAACACCAAGCTGATCATCATCGCCATCATCATGATTCTTGTGAGTTGCTCTGTACTAATTTCAAATAGACTCATCTTTATATACCAAGGTTTAACTTTCTTCCCATTCAATCAACAGTTCAACTTGAGTTTGAAAAAATTGTTTGCCTCCAACAAAAGGTAAACTTTCAAAGTCCTTAAATTGTTATTAATCAACTTGTGTTTTTATTTTCACTTTTGTTTCACCATTTAAACCAACTTGAAATAAAAGGCAAATCACAAATTGAAACAGGAAAAATGATTAACTTTCAATACTTCAATATCAACAGTTGAATCCTTATTATTATAATACATTCAAATGATGGATACTCTTTTGTACATTGAAACCTGTGAAACATTCAACAATTCAACATTAATTGCTAATTTAGCCAAGTTAATTAGACAACAATTTCAAGTGAAAATAATGTTACAATTGAATGAGAGATGAAAATAAAACAAGATCCAAACAAATGATCATTTAACATTTAACATGTAATAGGAAACCTTCACAAATCAACTAACAATTAATCAAAGCAACCAACAAAAAATATGACTATCAATCGTTACAATCATCATCACTCTCCTCATCATTATCACTTCCATTAGGATCAACCTCACAACTCTTCATCTTACCCTGAGTCGACTTTTTCCAGTGTTTTTACCTTCAACTTGTTTGGCGAAAAAAGAATCTAAATTTTGACCTTTTCTTTGCCGAAATTGTTGAATCTTTTTTGTCTATTCTTACCTTTCACACTCATCTTTATTTGTGTTTAAATGTGCCAAATGACCGTAATTAAACAATGACTTTGAATCAAGTTTGTACAGTTATTTCCTTGATTGCAATCTTTGCAACGGTTTTCCTTTTACCTTTGATATTATTGTTTGGTGAAGATGTGGCCAACATTGAACGATCTTACAATGAACCTCATTTGGACCTTTTTTCCGATTCCGATGACAATTCGAGCAACTTTTCCATCAACATTTCCACACTGGATTCAGATGAAGATCCTGAAACTCCAAGTAAGTATCATTAACCCTCTCAAGTGTCATCTCTGTTCAATATATACTTTCAATGGTTAAACTCCAAAAAATAAAATTTTATCAACACTTTGCTTCCTAAACAACTTAACCTTATTCTGTTGTTTACCAACATGTCAAGTTAATCAGATTGACTTACATCAAACACTTGGTTTTCTGTTAATTCATGAGAAAGCAAAATTCCTTCCATATTTAATCAGAAAACATGATAAACATTCGGAAGAAGGCGAACACAGAAGTGAACATAAAGAGTTGAACGAGGAAGTAAACTTGTACAAAATGCTTAAAATGCTTTACAACAAAAAATAGCCAAAAGTTTAAACATTTTCATCTTTCCAAGTTTACCACTAAACTTAAGATAAATTATGTGTTAATATGATTTGTTAACTGCTATTAGCTGCTATCAACTGTTAATATCCTAAAATAGCTGAATAATTAAGAATTTAACAAAAACAGAAAAAAAATTTCCTAAAAATCAAAATATTACAAGAAAATATTTATGATTGAATCTGGAAAAAAGTGATTCCTTTCCAACCTTTTACCTAAATTGATATTCACCCTTTTTAGGTCACCTATTAAGCTTTTATTGACTGATTGTGATTCAGCGATTGTAATAGTTATATCAGACTCATGATGAGTTTGTTGAAACAGTTAATTGTCCCAACAATTAGCAAATGTTTAAAATGAAACAATTTTCAAGCAGATAAATCATTTTCTGGTTTCAACCAATGTCAAGGTTGCAATTTGAAGCTTACTATTTTTCAATCAACTCAATCATCTGTCAGCTAAATTTGATTAACTTTTATTTCATTACAGTTTGTGCCAACATTTATGATTTCCCTTGCCATCGATCATTTGATCAGGATAATCAAGTTATTTGTTTAAATCGCGATTATCAGTGTAACAAAGTAAAAGACTGTCCAAATGGTGAAGACGAGGAAGAGTGCAGTAAGTAAAAAATAGATTTCATTTTTTGTTCAACCTTAATCAATGATTTTACCTTTCAATACACTCGTATTGGCTTTAGATCAAAAGTGTTGTGTGTTTGTCAAAAATGAAAAATGAGCGAAGGCGAAAGTTGGTGTAAAAAAACTGAGCAACATTCATTGCAAGGAAAATGAATCTTTTTGTTGATTTTTTTCCATCAGATTTAAATGTGAAATTAATTCATTTTTCCTGGCCTCTACAGATGACATTTATGGCGCTCTTGATGAACACTTTACTCGTCAGGCCAAAAAATGGGGAACTTTAATTGTCTCAAACAAATCACAATCTAACTTTATCCATGCTAATTGCAGTAAGTATTACTTTGTTTATCCAGCCATTAGATGATGTTCATTGTCAAGTTTAACAGCAAACATGAAACAGTGACAATTCAGTGACATAACTCTGTTTACCTGATCAGATCAATCTAGATCAGTAAATGTTCATCTCAAGACAACCTTTGATGCTTAACATTTGTTGCGCCTGTTAACAGTCAAAGCATGTTTAACGTCAAGAGATTTGACTTTTTCATTTAATAATATTGCCAGTTTCACTTACAATCAAAATGTTGATTTAAAATTAAATGTTCATCCGGATAAAATCAGCTTTTGTCATCACTTTATAAAGTCTCGAACTGTAATCACAAAAACAAAACGACCTGTTGATATTTGACAAAAGCAAATCTGAACATTTAACATGAAATTAAACGAAATGTTTATTAAAATCAAATCAACTTTAATCATCAAGGTTGAAATAATCTCTATTAGTCACTTTAGGTTTCAGTTTCACCAGTTAATGTCTCAATCTCAAGCTCAAAACAACCCAATGAATCAGTCAAGTTAATCGTTACAAATTAAGCTCCAAGACATTATTCATACTTGATCACCTATCATCTTTGGTCATCAAACCCTTTACCATTAAAAGCACTTTCTGGTAAAAAGGCAAAACAACCCAAAGTTGAACATTTTTACAGCTAAAGACAAGAGACTTGCTATTAGCCGTCAAATTGATCGGCAAGTGTTGCAATTTTACCTTCAAAATTTGATTAATTTTTTCATTGAAACACGATTATCTTATCAACAGAATTGAAATTGCAACCAAATTGTTAATACTCAACAGATTTCAATCCAATTGACAATACACTTTTGAAAGCTTGTTAACATTAATCAATAAAAATAATGCAAAAAGCTTGAGAAAAGGCAATCTGAACTGTTAACTTATTACAGTTGATCATCAATAACTTGTAAAGTCACGGAAAACGAGTTAACAGGAAATTGATTCATGATTGAACCATGTTAATAACAATTATAGATATGATAACATTGATGATATTATTTGATTATGAAAAAGAAGAGATAATTCATTGAAAGATGAATAGCCAATCCATGAAGCTGAATATTATGAAAGATGCAATTGAAATTCACTTTTCACCAAAGAAGAAGAAGCAAAAATAAATCAAATTTTGAAAGCTTCATTTATTTTCACTTTTGTTTTCCTTTGAAGCAAAAAATAGCAAAATGGTCAGAACTTGCATTAAGTCAATGAACTTGATGTTACATAAAGATTACATGATATGAACATGATGATACAGAAAATAATAAATAATAATTTAATACATTTCTTTTTGTTAACATTTTTCTCTTCATTTCAACTCAACTTTACAGCTTTAGCTGACATTTATCAAAGTCGCTGTCCATGCATTCTCAATGATAGCCAACGAATCTTGTGTACAAACCATGATTTCACTGAAATACCTTCAAATCTGTCGACAACGATAACAGTTCTGTGAGTATTTAATGAGAAATGAGCTCAAAATGCGAAAAGAATGGCAGAGTTGACGGTAAAAGGCCATTTCCAGAGTAAACCTTGTTTTTGTTTTTCCTGTCCATTTGATAATAAATCAATGAGAAGCCAATAAACGTATCATCACCATTATCATTTTCATGATGAAATTTCAACTGAAAGATTAATCTTTGACCAACAAAAGCAAAAGGGTTTCCACTATCATGGAAGCTAAAAGCCATTTATTTCATTCATCATTTACAGTCAATCATTTTTTGATATCTTCAATGTTGTCTCTCCATTCAACCCTTAATTCAACCCTATTAGGGTCAACAGTTTACATAAGTCAAATTTGTAGTTCATTAATTAAGTCCATCCATTTGAGACTATTAATTGTAATGATTGGTCAAAGGCTAACAGCAAAAATCAAGTCCATTTGTTAATTGAACCGTTTCTTTCCTCCTTATAGTAATCTTGATAATGGTAAAATCGATTCAATTGATTCTCAAGTAATTGCCAAATATTTCAATTTAACAACAGTTTCATTGAAAAACAATCGTTTAACAACAATCAAATCTGATTCATTTTCATCTTTAATCCAACTGAAAAGACTGTAAGTATCTGTTGATTCAATGTAGAAGTCATTTTAACGTTTCCTTCATTTGTTCAGCTATCTGATTGGAAATGAAATCAATCACATTGATCAAGATGCATTCCAAAAGTTGATTAATCTTAAATTTCTGTGAGTAAAATTTTCAATTCTTTTGTTTTCTTTAATCAAATTTAAAGCTTTCCATTAACATTCATTATTCATTGGTTTGGATATTTATTGCCTTTTTTGTCAACATTTTGTGATCACTCTTTTGTTCAACAGTCAATTTGGTGAAAGAGTTACAGTTTACAGTTTTTTTTCTTGAACTTTTTACATCCAACAATGTAAATCATTCAAGATTCAACTTCAATTTTTACACTTTCAATGTTTTGACAGTTCAGTTCATTATATTCATCAGACTCTTTTGTTTCCAATGACTTTAATTCATGTCAAGCTTTCAATGGAAACAAAAAACCCGAAAAATGGGTAAAAATTTGTGTAACACAGAGTTAATGACAACTTGTTGTAACAAAGTCCATTGACTTTTGGTTTACAATTTTTAATCATTTTGTTATCAATTTCAGAGAGCTTCATACAAATCGTTTGGAAAATATCGATGCTGCTCAATTGTTCAAAGGGTTGACAAAACTTGAAACTTTGTAAGTTGATAATATATTTATATTTATATCTATCCATTACTGGGTTCATCATTCCCATTAATATCTCAAAATGCAATTGGATTGACCTTACAATAAATGTCTGCTTTTCTGGTCAACATGGCAATTTATAAGAAGCAGATTAACATTTGGTCAACCCAATAATATAACAATGAATAGCCATTAACATTGCTGTATTATTTGAGATATAAATGTTTCCCATTAAAGATGTTAATCAGGAAAGATTAAATGTATATAAGAATCGATTCAATTTGTTTCTGGATCCATTTTTCAGCGCATTGATGCAAAGTAACTCAATGGTAGTCACAATCAGCTTTCAGTTTTATCCTTTTCCACTCAATTTTTTGTCAAATTTTGGATTCAATTTAATTCCTTTCCTTTTTTGGTTCCAATTTTTTAGGTATCTGGAATTTAATCAGCTGAAATCCGTTGGAAAATTTCCTCATCTCGATTCGTTAAGATGGATGTGTGTAAGACATTACAATTGTTAACCATTGATCACAATTAACATTTCATTTCTTTGGATCCTTTCTTTTTCTTGTATTCCCATTTATTCATTGAAACTTATAATTCCAGAGATTTGAGCAACAATCAATTGACAGAGATTCAAGACATTTTCCGCAACCTTGTTTCCTTGAAAGTATTGTAAGTAATTTTTGTTACTCTCACTCATTGAAAGTAAATTGATTAAACATCAGAATTCATTTTGTCCATTGGGAAGCGATTATAATATTTATAAATCTTCAATTGCCAAAAATAAAACAGAAACACAGAACCATAACCATGAAACAGTTGGAGTAAACATGATGAAATTGATTGGATTGTAGATTGGTTGTGTTGTTACTTTAAAATACAGTTACAATACCATTTAACTGCATGTAGTCTGCAGTTTAAACCGAGGTTGTACAAGTAGAACCAAAATTATTGATTTAAACGCTTCCAAAGTCAGTTCGTCAGTGAGAGAAGTTAGCAAAATTAATTAACATTAATCTATCACATAATGGTTGCTCAACGAAAGTAAATACACATTTGAACCAAGAAACCAGTTAGATAACTGTTGAACTTTACATTTTAAAATGTCACAAAATAACTAGAGTTAAACTAGTTTGGTTTATTGTTAGTGAAACCATTATTTGAAAGGTTAGATATTGATATAAACTGTTTACAGTCTGATTGAGCTGGATCAAGAAATTTTAATAGACACAAGTTCAAAATTAAATTAAATTTAGCGTACATTATCCCATGTTATTTCATGACCAGTTAAAAAAGTAAACATTGAATAGCTTTTGAGTTAAAAGTGGTACAATCTAGTGTTTGATATTGTCACTATATTTGAATAAGATTTTAAATTAATTTAATCAATTTTTTGCTTCTTTTCGCAGGAATTTAAGCTCTAATAAACTTAAACGATTACCAGCCGATGCGTTTCATTATAATAAGAGATTGATTCATTTGGAGGTGGCTCTTAATTCAATTGAATCTATCGATGTAACAGCTTTCCATAATCTTCGAGATTTACGTAAATTGTAATTTTCTTTTCCATTACAAGATGGCATTTTAAGCCATTTCATTAACTCTGAGTAATTTTGCTTTTGTTTGCTTTTATTTAAGGAATCTGAGTTACAATCCGTTGACAACTTTACCTCGACATGTTTTCAAAGAATCAAATGCACTTCAATCGCTTGATTTATCTGGAATCGAGATTCGAAATATTCATCCGGGACATTTCAATCGAACCGTTGCACTTCGTCATGTGTAAGTATTGTATTGGTTTGCAGTAAGTCTACATTTTTAATCTTATTTTTAATTCGACATTTTTGCCGTTTCCTTAGGTACTTTTCCAAATTTCGATACTGCATGTATGCTCCTCGTGTGAGAGTTTGTAGACCGTTTAGTGATGGTGTCTCATCGGTCAAACATTTACTCCTTTATCCAATTCTCAGAATGTCTGTCTGGATAGTCGCTGGTATAACTTGTGCTGGTAACACTTTGGTTCTTGTTTGGCGATCAATGGCCAAGAAAGAGCACCAATCCCTCTCGTTATTGGTTAAAAATTTAGCCAGTATGTTACTTTAATATCTTAATGACTTATCATTGTATTGACACGACACATTCATACATGTTGTGAGTCTAAACAATTTATCGAATGGAAATTAATGAGAAAAAACTCTTTTTTCTTTAGTTGCTGATCTGATGATGGGAATTTATTTGGTGGTCATTGGCTCATATGATCAAGTTTTCCGTGAAAAATATAATAATTATGCTCTACAATGGATGCACTCATGGAAGTGTAATTTCTGTGGATTTTTAGCCACTCTTTCCTCTGAATTATCAATTTTCATTGTTCTCATGATAACCATTGAAAGATATCGAAGTATCACCATGACTTGTCGACTGGTAACCCTTCGATGGACTGCATCTATTCTTCTTCTAATCTGGACTGTCTCGCTTGCAGTTTCACTCTTTCCTATTTTATACTGGTCAGACCCTGAAGACCCTCTCTATTATGCTTCAAACGGAGTTTGTTTTCCTCTTCACCTGGAAGATCCTTTCATGTTTGGCTGGCAATTTTCCACGTTTATCTTCCTCGGCATAAACTTGCCCGCTATTGTGGCCATTATTGGTTTATACACTCGACTATTTCTTGTAATTAAAAGAGATCGTCAGCTAACTCGACCTGCTTTATTGGGAAAGGCAGATCATGAAGATGTTATCCTCGCTTTTCGATTCTTTTGTATTGTTGTCACAGACTGTCTTTGCTGGGTACCAATTGTGTCGATCAAAATATTTTCATTTACCTACATGTACATATCACGTAAGTATAAGAAACAAAATATCAAAAAAATCTTTCATTTCATTATTCGATTCCTTTTCCATCTTTGTCAACTTCATCCCCTTAAAACATTTATAAAAATGATTAACTTTACACTTTCTTAGTGCCACAAATTTCTGTAATTATTCTGATAAATCAAATGTTTTTTCCCTCTCTAGCTAAAGTATATGCTTGGCTGGTTGTATTTATATTACCCATCAACAGTGCCTTAAATCCAATGATATACACGATTGCAGCTCCAACTGGCTTTCGTCGCAAGGCAACTAAATATCTCAGACAAGCTCGTCGTCATTTAGGACCGTTACTTGGTTGGACTTCATCTGGATCAATGCACCAAGATCGTTATTCTTCTTCAGTTCCTTCAAATGGAACGAGTTCACTTGACCACACGAGATCAAGTAATTGCTCGGTTTTATCGATGGCGGCTGTTAATTCAATCACCAAAAATGGATTAATCACGAACCATGTATCCTCCGAGAAAGAGATCGTTAAAATGAGAATCAAATGAGATGAAGCAACGATTCAGAAAAATTTACAAGACAGAAACTGACTTCTGTGGATGTGTCACAATCTTTTCCATTGAAACGTTCATTTGTTCAATTGTGATCAATCAAGGTTTCTTAAATACTTTCGTTTCAAATGTTTTTGTAAATAATGTAACTTATCATTTGACATTCAACTCATTGTTGTTATTAATATTCATGTTGTACTGTTAAATTTGATTATAAATTTGTACATACCAACAAATTCTCAGTAAAAGAAACATTCTTTAACAGGTAACTCTTTAAGGTCAATAATGAATCAGTAATATTTGCCGATTTTTTTAGGATTGCGATTTTCAAGGAAGATGAAGATAATAAATGCAAAATTTCAAAGAATGGTGTAAATAAATAATATTTACATTGCAAGCTTTATTGAATAATTGCTTTGATCAGACAAAAGTATATATTAGTAAAGTGAACGTGTTATTTTACTCAGCTTCTTGGCCGATTTTTGACGAAAATGGCGAATAAGGCTCATCGTTAAAAGAACACTCTGAAAATAGAAAATGAAAAGTCAGGCTATATACGCTCGTGTGGACAAATTTAGCAGAGAAACTCACCATGAAGACGTTCAATCCAACAATGAAAGAAGTAGTACCTCGTGGTCCAACTACCGACAAGATTAATCCTCCGATTGAAGGTCCGATTGCAAGTCTATTGGAATAATCAAGTTAGCTGTTGATTGTAGTTTTGAAACTATAGACTTGGTAATATTAAATACTAATTGCTTACCCAATGCTAGTGCATGACAAATAAGCACTCGTTATCATTCCATAGGTTTCCATGCTTTCCAAATAGCCTCTTCTATTTATTGCATCTTTTTTAACAGAAATAAATCCACACAATACTCGACCAGCTTCACCGAATCCAATACAAACTAGACAGGGAATAATTATACATATTTGAGGCTCAATGTTTATTTTGGGAATCGGGCCAATGAATAAAGCGCCAGTCAAAATAACGGGACAACAAATGAGATTCATCACCTTGGGAGGAATCTGGATTATTGAAGGATTAGCATATTGATAAATTAATAAGAAAGGTTGATAATTTGGCATAAAATTGAACTTACTCCATGATCGACAAACCAACCGATTATTGGACTAGACATTGCATAAGAAATGCCTAAACAAACAAAGAATAGACCTAAAACCGTCGGTGCTAAATCGAAGGCTCTTAAATGAGGTTCTAATAAAACATTCAATAAACCCACATCCATGAAAGCAACACAGATGCCAAAAAGATCAACCAAAGTTTCAAAATCAGTCAGGAATTCAGTTAGAGAAACTGGTTGCCGAACTTCGGGTGTGCCTTTAAAATTAGAATAAGAATGAATAAAAAGAAAAAATTTAGAGATTCAAAGTTAATTCCTCTAATTCAAATTGACTTAATTGTATGTTTAAACATGTTGCGTCTCTTATTTTTTAACAATTTTTAAAATATTAATAACAAGTCACAGAATATTTACCTATCTTTGGTGCAAACATGAGATTAACGATTGCTGCTGAAAAAAGGATTAATCCAAGAACCATGAATGGAAACGAATAACCTCCGAGTTCATAAAGAAAACCACCAAAAGTTGGTCCCAATGTTGACCCAAGAGCGAATGCAACTTCAAGAATACCCTGAATCAAGATTTAAGATGAATCGAGGTAAATGTCAAAGGATTTCATGTTGCTTTGAAAACGGTTCTTACGCTTCAAAATTAACTTCGCAAATAAAATGAAATTATAACTCACAAACACCATTGCCGTTTTCGTTGGAAATTGTTCAGCCATAGCTGAGTAGCAAGCAGTAAGGTTGGCTGAAACACCAATTCCATTAACAATTCGAACGATGAAACAAATCACAATGAAAAGGAATCCTGATGGTACGTAAATAGTCAAGCTGGTTGGGAAAACATTATTGTTAATAAAGTCAACTCAAAAGACCAAAAGTACAAAAATACTCACCCAAAAGCAACGACTGACAAGCCAGCACAAGCAAGACCAAATTGCATCAAAATATTACATGATTTATAAGCAACCTGTTAATTGAATCCGAAAGGAGTCCCATTACAAGGGAATCGAGTGTATTACTATTAATAATATAAAAAAGTTAAACTCACTAATTTGCCAAAAATTGGTGAAGTAAATAGAATGGTTGTTTCAAGAATACCGAAGATGAAGCCATAGACAGCCGGTGAAGCACCTTTCTCTTCAGCGATTCTGGGGAAAAATGGTGCTTGAAGGGAATAACATGCAGCTTCAGCTAAACTACCGTAAAACAAGACAAAGATAAACAAAATTTCATCTTTTCGAGTCAAAGCGGAGGAAACCTTTTTCTGTTTCGAAGCTTCACAATCACTATTTGACTGTCCGGAAATTTTGACTTTAACTGCCATAATAGATTAATACCGGTGAAAAGATTCAAAAATGATATAAAACGAATGAAACAACGTTGAGGTTGACCACGAAACACTTGTCATAAAGCATTAAAAATTGTACAGTAAACTTTAAGTTGGGTGAAATTCATTTCAAACAATAGAAAATGATACTGAATCGGGAAAGAACTTTCAACATTGAGCCGAAATTTTGTTTACTAGGTCTGAACATAATAATGTTTTAATATGTCAGACAGTTATTGGTTTAACGACACCAGAACCACGGGTTTCTTTGATCAGTAAACATTAAGCAATCCTTTTATGCCTAAAAAAGAGTTAATTGACGTTTGTATCATTAATGAGAGTCTGTTTATGTATTTAATTATATTATTTAAGACTCATTTGTATCAATAGTCTCGACTAAAGGCGTAGATTCTGACTTGTTTGGGTTACTTATTGAACTTTTATGATAAAAATATTGCATTAATCTGAAAATAGTGAAAAAATTAAGACCTTTAATTTTTTATGGCAACAATCAAAATAGTAAACTAGTTTTACACAATAATTTTACAAAACTAGTTTCAATAATTTATTTAGTTAATCATTTAATCCGGATAATGAGCATTTTTCCAGCTTCTGATTGAGGTAATTTATCTTTACCAAAAAAACTCATTTTGTTTACATTGAGAATCTATTGTCTGGATTTGTGAACACTAAAAATTCCAATTTTTATACATTAAAAATGTAATACATGATCAATGATGGCTATTGGCGTGGACTTGATTCCTAAGTAGACTTAAAGTGTCATCCGGTAGACTGGCTTTTGAGTAACGACGATAAACGAGGCATATAGTTAACATGATTGCCTAAGAAATGGAAAAAAATGAAATAATTCAAAATAAATTCATATTAGATTCAATTTCGGAATGATGCATTTCAAATTTAATTTGTTTGCTGAGCCTTGTTTACTCACCATGAAGATGTTTGTTGCTACATTTACATAGGTTGTGACTCGAGTGTCGTATGCTTCCATAACTATTCCTCCGATGGAAGGTCCGATTGAAAATCTATACAGAAAACCAGAAGATTGTTAGATTTTTGCTCATACAAGTGTGACATTTAAATGTGCCGTTCTTTACTTACCCAACACTGGTACATGCCAAAAATGTACTTGTGATAAGACCATATGTTTCAATGTTTTCCAGGAAACCTCTTCGATGTATTGTATCTTTTTTAACGGAAACAAAACCACACAAGGCTCTGCCAGCTTCACCTATTCCAATGAAAGCCAGGGAAGGAACAACTGTCCAAACTGTAGGCTCTATGTTAATTAAAGGAATTGGACCAACAAATAATGCACCGATCAAAGAGATGGGACAACAAATGAGATTCATCACTTTAGGAGGAACCTGGTTTAGAGAAAATGATTTGGTGAGTATATCGAGTGAAAATATATAAAAATTTGTACACTTGAACTTACTCCTTGATCAACAATCCAACCGATTATTGGACTGAAAATTGCATAGGCAATGCCGTGTGTAACAAAAATTAATCCTAAATAAAAGGGCCTGAGATTGAATCGTCGTATATGAGGTTCTAATATAACATTCAATAAACCCAAATCCATGAAAGCAATACAAATTCCTAATAAATCAACCAGAGTTTCAAAGTCGGCCAAAAAGGTGATTATGGAAACCGGTCGTCGAGTTGATGGCGTATCTGTAAGTAAATTAACAGCGAAATGATTTCAGAACAAGATGGACAAAAAATGTAACAAATGATGAATTGGGTAAATCAAGTGTATATCAAAAAAAAGTTTCTTGAAGCAAACACAATATCATATTGACTAAAGCCTTAAATAAATATGCATAGACTTTAATCATTTTAAGGTTTCTTAAGTTGTGTTTGATTCATGCTGAAAATTTTCTCCTTTAACAGTGGTAAAAATGACACCACTTACCTATCTTTGGGGCACAATAGAGGTTAATAAATGTCGCTGCAAAAAGGATGAATCCAAGAACCATGAATGGAAATGAATAGCCTCCAACTTCATAAAGGAAACCACCAAAAGTTGGTCCCAACGTTGACCCAAGAGAGAAAGCAACTTCAAGAATGCCCTGAAAAAAAATAAATTGAAACTAATCTGTTAAAAAACCTGATATCCAATGAAATTTATCGAAATTCAATCATAGGTAATAAACCTGAAGTTGAAGTTTTAATATGTCTTTGATTACATTAGCATTAGTTTAGTTTAACCGGCTAAAAAACCTATCAGTTTAGATGGAAAGGATGATATACTCACAAAAACTAGCGCAATTTTTTCTGGAAACTGCGAAGCCATGGCTGAATAACTTGAAGTCAGGTTGGCTGAAACACCAACTCCATCAATAATTCTAATTATGAAGCAAACTATGATAAAAGTAGGTCCTGATGGCAAGTAAATGGTGAACCTAAAACAGAAAATGAAATTTGAATCTCAGTTGTTTACATAGGGAAATAAATTCTTACCCAAATAAAATTATTGTCAGTCCAGAAACAGCGAGACCAAATTGCATCAAAATATTACATGATATATAAGCGACCTGTAATTTGAATGGTTATAACGATGAACAAAAATTAAAAAAAATCACAATATCAATAGTTAAACAGGTGATAGATAAAGGGGTAAACTCACTAATTTGCCAAAAAATGGCGAGGTAAATAAAATGGTTATTTCGAGGACAGCATAGATGAAACCATAAACAGCTGGTGAGGCGCCTTTATCTTCAGCCACTTTGGGGAAAAATGGTGCTTGAAGTGAGTAACATGCGGCTTCGGCGAAATTTGCGTAACACAGAGCAAAAATAAATAAAATTTGTTGTCTTTTAGTTAAATATGAGCCAGGTTCTTGGGATCCTTTTATAGCTTCATAGTCACCACTAGCCACTGATTGACCTGACAGTTTAGTCGTTTTGGTCATGGTTGGTAAATAGGAGAAACAATATAAACAGAAACGTTAGATTATTTAAAATGTAGAAAATTAATTACAGTTGAAAATTAAACAAAAGACTACACAATATAAATAATATAAACCCGAAACTGAATCTTAATTTTGGGTACTGTAGGGTGAAAACAGTAGTCAAGTTATTAGAGATGCAGAAACACTATTTGTATTAGTGTTTGCCACCAAACTTGTCATTTATTATTAAAAAGGAAAGGTTTAAAGTTTTCATTTTTATCAATTAATCAACACCATCTGCACTCTGACATTGCTTGATTGATACACATATTAGTATTTTGAATGTATCGACAAATTGAAGTTTGAATCAAATTATCTAAAGATTATTTCCGCTTGTCTATTGTCTTGTCATAGTCAATATCAAAACACACTCATTTTGGTATCACAATAACATTTAATTTTCAGATTTTGATTTCTTTGTAATGTTCACCTCAATTCACACCAATTCCGTTACCCATTGCACTAAACATAATCAGATGACAAAAATTAGATCATTGGCTTTCCTAGTTTTCCTACAGAAGCTAATCTCTATTAATTAGGAATAGATTGTCTTATCAATTCAATGTTTTTTTTCCTTTTGTTAAACGGCTCTTAACACTTACATGTTATTTGGGTTGTTAATAGTTACAAGATAAATAAACAAGTCTTACCCCAGTATCTTGGAGCTGAGCGAGTCGACAATCGTATGGAACTGACTTCTGAACCATATCTAGTGCGAGAAGTCATATTATATCCTTTTTGGTTAAAATCACAGTCGTAAGTAAAAAAAAAGTCAAATTACTGGTGAAACTGGTCAAACAAAATAAGTCATCCAGTGTTGATAAAAATGAGATGAAACCACGTAAACCAGTATTTTGTTGAATAGACGGTTAGATGGAAAGATAAGATCACTGCCAATGCAAACTGTAAAAGTTGAATAATTTACACAATTTTTAGTTGAAAGTTCAAATTACGAATTACGATGAAATTATTGACAAAATGAACAGATCATTTTTTTCACAATGGTATGAAAGATTTGCCTAGTGAAAACAAAAAAGATGGTGAGTTAAAAATTCTAGTGTCCTTGTGGGTCGACTGTATTATAACCCGGTTTCAAAAACGGGTTCAAGAATTGAGAGAAAGAGAAACGTCTTGGGAAGAAAGATAATCTTGCAAAGGAAAGATGAGAGTCTAGGTACAAGTACAACCTATCCTTAAGGCGGACGCTTGTACTTAAAATGAAACTTGTTTTGAAAAAAACCACAGTAAAATCATGTTGGACTGTACTTTTTCTTGCCGTCTTACCATTTATTACCTTGCTTTATGGTCACTCATATTGCTGATGTTTTAAACTAACCACTGTCCTTTTTTTCGAGTTTCATGATCCTATTGATCTTATTGTGAAGCTTTCTTGTTTCATAATGAAGTGTATAATTCTGGTGAAGTTGATTTCAAATTGTGAGATTGATATTAAATTTTACGATGTGAGTCTAAAGTAAATCATTTTTTGATGATTGGTATATTGATAGATCTGGTCTTATTAGGTAAGTAATCAAGTTCAATTGTAGATTTTAAATTTACAACCCGTTGGTGTTTGAGTAAGTAAAACTATTGAGTTTATTGAGCCATTTTCATGGCCAACATATGTTTGGTTGAATACAAAATTGAAAATTGTTAAAAATTAAATTGGTTCCATTTAGATAATTTATAAATTAGATCAGGCTTGGGGTCCATAAAGCAAATTGTCAGTGAATTTCTTTGGATCCTGACGATATTTTGAGACTTCAACTCCTTCCCAGTGTGTTTTTACACAATTAAACATTTGGCTGATTTCAGCTTCTATTCTCGATTCTTGATCAGTTAAGCCACCTTTCAGAACTGACAGATTGTTTTCAAGTTGATCAGGCCTAAATGATGAGTAAAATTGGTTTGTTTTTAGTGAAAAAGTAGAGAAAGTAAATTTTATCATGTGACTTACGTAATCATGCCAATCAAATGAAGAGCAGTTTGAGGACATTTTGTCAAAGAAAAATGTGTTGCGATTTTAGCCAGATTGACTCCCTCTTTCTGAAATAAATAAACAACAATTAGATGAATCAGGGGAAAAAATAAAAAAATGACAGTTCTAACCAAACAAAGCTGAGCAGCTTTTTGACATTCTGCTACCAGATCAGGGGAAGCTGGATGCCAATATGGAACTGGAGGATTTAAAAGGACATTAGGTGTCAAAAGGCCCATTCCAAGGAGAGATGCGTTAATCAAACCAATTGAAGACTGATTAAGAAAAATAATATTCATTAGATACTGGAAATTATGGATAATCTTAAAATATTGGACATACATTGTTGATTAATGGAGAACATTTCATCAAATCAGTATTAAAAAGAGTCATTCGGCCATAAGAGAGACAAGTGTCCAATCTACCTTTTGCTAGTTGAGTTAAATTACTAATTCAACCAAAACATTAAATGAAACAAAAATATTAATAATGCAATGAAATAAACAATGAATAAAATAACTTACACTAGTGGTTCCAGAGGATAGCCCGAACAACCAATGTAACGAAGTTTTCCTTCTCTGCGATATTGCTCTGAAATTGAAAAATATTCATTTTTTTGAGTAAACGAAAAATGTAAGGAAATTGAAAAAATTACCAAGTATTGGGATGACATCTTTCACGATAGATTCCAAATTATCGGCAAATTCAATATCATGAATTGTAACCAAATCGACACTTTCTACTCGTAAATTTCGTAAACTTGTTTCGAAAGTTTCCCTCACTCCTCTTGGCGAATAATCAAATTGACATTGGTGGTTCCTTCCAACCTTAGTAGCGAGGTAAAACGATTCTCGAGGTAATCCTTGAATAGCCTATGAAAAGATAATTTAATATTAGACAATAACTTTGAACCATTGAATAAATCTTCACCAGTGGCAAAATTGCACTTCATCTATCAAATGCTCTAGTTCGCAGAAGATAAATTTGTAGTCTACACGATACAACAGTTATAAACAAAAACACAATTTAACCAATCAAGTGTTGTAAAACTTAGCATTGAAAAAATGGTCAAGACTTACCTTTCCAAGAACCCTTTCAGCTTTACCAGCAGCATAAAGTGGTGCAGTATCGAAATAGTTGATACCTTCTTGTAAAGCTTTAATCACAGTTGTAGCTCTAATTTCATACTCGTTTCCAAAAGGTTCACCATTGTCATCAAAATCAACCAAGCCAAAGCTTATACCAGTTCCTTTGTAATTGTTGGAAGAAACAGAAGAAAAACTTGAAGTCAGCAATTGTGAAAGAAAAATATTTTCGCACAAAACAAAAGAGAAATTGAAAGAAGCAGAAGACGAGATATAAACAAAACTTACCTAATCCAACTTTGAAAACTTCAAGCTTGGTGTTTCCTAGAAAATTGTAATGTTTCTTTAAAGAACTGATCTTGTTCAGATCATGAATATCAGAGTTGAAGGTTAACGGCAAATCCATAACTTAATCGTTTCGAAAATATTAAACACAAATAATAAATGGAGACATTCGTTTTCACCATAAGATAATCTTATCTGCTAACTGAAAACAAAATCATCTACAATAAAGTTAACAGTGACATCTCATGGCTCGTAAATAAAGTGCCTTTGTTAACATTTGCAGTGATTGTTAATTACTAGACTAAAAATCTCAAGTATCTATTGTAGACAAAAGTTATTAAAACAGTGAGAAAAAACCTGATTAAGGCTTAAGTTACTGGTACATTTTACGAGCATAACATGATAATGGTTAATCTTAATCAGAAGCGGTTCATGTTCAATATTTGTTTATATCGAGCTGTATATAACAACGTAAATAGGAGATGGGAATACATTACAGATTTTGAAAATCTTACAACATTGTTAAACATAACATTGATAAATCTTGATTTATGGTGCTCAACTTACAAATTGTTAGACATTTAATTATTTTTCATTTTAAATATCGTTATATTTACAATCCAATTTAGGGTTAATCTAAAATGAAGGAATAGACTAGAGCAATTGATGTTAATCTTGTTAAACACGGCTGTTCAACATCTCCAATTCAAGAAAGCTTTTGCCTTACTAGGTAATCAGATCCAATGAAGTCATTTGCCGATATATTCACAGACCTCTTGGATTGTTTAATCAGATGAAGTTTAGTCCAAAGCACTCATTGAAAATTGGTCAAGGCATTTAATTACTTGGATAAATAAATAAGAATAAATTAGAAGAAGATTAAAAATGTCTCAATTTGGGTTTGTTACCTTAAGCGACTGAACAGCAATGTTTTGGTTTATCAATCGTTTTCATGATAATAATTATCTGTGCTTGAGTTGTTAAATATTTGATCAATCATTAATAATAAACGATATGTAATTAGCTTATTTCATCACATTACCATGAGTTTTCAGAAAGAAATTTAATCGATTCTTCAAATGAATCGATTGTACTTGCATTAAAAAGCTTTCAAAGTTAAAGCATAGATGTCGCGTGATTACAAAGAATGGAGATTTCAAAGAGAATTCTGGAACAAACTTAACTTCCTCTTGGTAAGCAGCATTTTTCATAGCAGCCATTATTGTTACTTATTTCTTTGTCATTTCATTTGCAATTTTTTCATTCTTTATTGGTGTTTAATTGTGACCATCTTTTATTTATTATCACATCATCTTAAATTATATCTGCTTACTTTGTTGTTACATTGTTGTACGATTTTTCATTTCTTTCCGCTCTTCGAACTTATAAATTGTTTCTTCACCTCGATCCCGGTTTAAAAGGAAGTTTAAATTCCAATTTTGTAACCCAACCCTTTTCTTTAAATCGCAAATTCTAAACTAAAATGGCTAAGGCTCCCGCTATCGGTATAGATTTAGGTACTACCTATTCATGTGTTGGTGTTTTTCAACATGGTAAAGTAGAAATTATCGCCAATGATCAGGGTAACAGAACAACCCCATCTTATGTAGCTTTTACTGATACCGAGAGGTTGATTGGTGATGCGGCCAAGAACCAGGTTGCCATGAACCCTTCAAACTCGGTCTTTGATGCTAAACGATTGATAGGAAGGCGTTTTGATGATCCCATGATTCAATCTGATATGAAACATTGGCCATTCAAGGTTGTATCCGTTGATGGAAAACCAAAAATTCAAGTTGATTTTAAGGGTGAAACCAAGACTTTCTTCCCAGAAGAAGTTTCCTCAATGGTTCTTACTAAAATGAAGGAGACCGCCGAGGCTTATCTTGGTAAACCAGTTACCAATGCAGTTATCACTGTTCCTGCATATTTCAACGATTCTCAGAGACAGGCAACCAAAGATGCTGGTACTATTGCTGGTCTTAATGTAATGAGAATTATTAACGAGCCTACCGCTGCTGCTATCGCTTACGGTCTTGATAAAAAAGGTGCCGGTGAACAAAATATTCTTATTTTTGACCTTGGAGGTGGTACTTTTGATGTTTCTATTCTTACCATTGAAGATGGTATCTTTGAAGTAAAATCCACTGCTGGTGACACCCATCTTGGAGGAGAAGATTTTGATAACAGAATGGTAAACCACTTCATTGAAGAATTCAAGAGAAAACACAAGAAAGATATTACTCAAAACAAACGTGCTGTTCGTCGTTTACGTACTGCTTGTGAGCGAGCGAAGCGAACCCTATCTTCATCTTCTCAAGCTAGCATTGAGATTGATTCACTCCATGAGGGAGTAGACTTTTACTCTACCATCACTCGTGCTCGATTTGAAGAATTGTGTTCTGACTTATTCAGGTCAACTCTCGAGCCTGTTGAGCGATCTCTACGAGATGCAAAATTAGACAAGAGTCAAATCAAAGAAATTGTTCTTGTTGGTGGTTCAACCCGAATCCCTAAGATCCAAAAACTCCTTCAAGATTTCTTCAACGGTAAAGAGTTAAACAAAAGCATTAACCCTGACGAGGCTGTTGCTTATGGTGCCGCTGTCCAAGCTGCTATCTTAAGTGGTGACAAAGACGAATCTGTCCAAGATTTACTTCTTCTTGACGTAACACCATTATCTTTGGGTATTGAAACTGCTGGCGGAGTCATGACTCCATTAATTAAGAGAAACACCACCATTCCTACTAAGCAATCTCAGATTTTCACCACATACTCCGATAATCAACCTGGAGTACTTATTCAAGTCTATGAAGGTGAACGTGCTATGACTAAGGACAATAATCTTCTTGGTAAATTTGAACTCTCGGGTATTCCTCCTGCACCCAGAGGTGTTCCTCAGATTGAGGTTACATTCGATATCGATGCAAACGGTATCTTAAATGTATCTGCCGTTGATAAATCTACTGGTCGGGAAAATAAAATTACTATTACTAATGATAAGGGACGATTATCTAAAGAACAGATTGAAAAGATGGTCCACGAGGCCGAAAAATACAAAGAAGATGATGAAAAGGTCAAAGACCGTGTATCAGCAAAGAATGCTTTAGAAAGTTATTGCTTCAGCATGAAGTCAACCATGGAAGAGCCAAGTGTAGGTAGTAAAATTTCTGAAGATGATAAGAAGAAAATCATGGACAAGGTCGATGAAGTCATTAAATGGTTAGATGCTAACCAGTTAGCTGAAAAAGAAGAATTTGAACACAAGCAAAAGGAATTGCAAGATGTCTGCAACCCAATTGTCACTAAAATGTACCAAGGAGCCGGTGGAGCTCCCGGTGGAATGCCCGACTTTGCTTCTGCTGGTGGTGCTCCAGGAGCCGGTGGAGCCGGAGCTGGAGCCGGAGCTGGTGCTGGTAGCGGACCAACTATTGAAGAAGTTGATTAAATAAATCAATTTTGTTAGCCAGATGTAATGACGATTTTTGTTTAAAATCAGATAAACCGATTTGGTGTAACAACTATACATTTTTATCGTTTCTTTATTCATTTTGCTCGATTCTATGATCATAAATACAAAAAGAGTAATGGGTGTAACAATAAACTCCCTCCTCTAATAAAAATCTGAACACGCTAGTTGACTAAATTTTGCATCATTTATTATTTCTTATCGGTAGTCTTTGAATTTTTATCTTTTGTTCTACTATCAATATCATGTAAAGTTCTTTCAAAATGTCTTAATTGAGCATTCACTGTATCCATCTGCATTTCCAAGTCTCTTAAACGACCAACCAAATTAGACCATTTCGTTTCGCTTTGCGCCGCTTCGATTTGCTTAGCCTTTGATTGTCTATTAAAGAAAATTAAGCAAAAAATGAGAATAATTCATCGCTTTTCATCTAGAACTGCAGATAAACCTTTTAAAATCAAAGTTATATTTAATCAATAATCACTTCTTCAGTATTAAAGGGCCTGAGAATCAATAATTGACAAAACAATACACCTGTGATGAAAACTAATGATTGCCAATTGCAACTCTTCACTCACCTTCTATATTCAAATGTCACGGTTAGAGCAGCAATAGTGAATATAATAAGCTCTCCGAGTAATTCAGCACCCAATTCAACAGCTGCTGTTTCACTTAAATTGGATACTTTGGCTGGCTTCTTAAGATTCAATGACCGCATCTTGAATGTTACCTCCAAACGATGATAAAAATTAGCTAAAGGTAGACACAGGTAAGTCCTTAAAACTGGCGATGTTTTAGCTTTGATTTGAATTCTTTTAGCTAAAGGTTTACTTATCTGACGAGCAGCTAAAGCTCCAAGCTTTACAATGGGAAAAGCAGCAACAACCATTTTATTTTATATCAATCAATCACAGCATAAAATTAGATCATTTCTATTACAATTTAAATTGACTAAATAATTTGTTTTCAATGATAAAATGTTTACAGTAAAGAACACGAAGGGTCAGTCTTATCAGTTCAAGGAAAAACATACTGCAGTCTTTCTTTTTATCATTCTCTCTTTCTTTTCTCTTTCTGTTCAAATGTTGCTACAGCGGGAAAAAGAAATTATCATAATTAGAGGAAAATCCCTTTTCACCATTGACTTTCTCTGTGTTTTCTTAAACTCATATGTTTATCATTTTACAACCAACTTTCATTTCTATTCAGTTCCAATTTATTTAATAATATCTTTGGTTATACAACAATTATAGTTTATTGTTATTTATGGATTGACATCAATTGATCTTGTAATCAGCCTAGCAAAGGAAAAGTTTTATTCTCCTGTTGAAACTCAAAATGGCTAACCGTGGCGATGATGTAAGTTTTGAAGCTATTATCGAAGATTGTCGGGTCTTGCTGAAAGCACTACAGTCCATTTGTTTTGGAGACAGAGCTACAGTAGTCGTTAATCAACAAGGAATCATTTTAAAAGTTGAACAAGCAAAATGTTGCCAGCTTTCAATATTTTTGGAATGGGCTCTGTTTAAAGAATCTCCAACCATTAAGGATTCATTTTCATTTTCGATCAATTCTAAAGAGCTAATTATGTTCCTATCCATTTTTGCTGGTGACAACGATGAGCCGCTCGAGGAAGGAAGTGAAAAAGGAACAACTCTAAAACTTAAATACAAAGGTAATTACTATTGTCATTTAATCTTAAAACTCTAACAATCTGTTTTTTCCATTAGGTATGGGCGATCCATTCTATTTGTCAATTGGTAAAGAAGACAAGTGTATTACTGAGTGTAAATTATACACTTTTGATCCTCAAGATTCACTCAATATTGAATTGGATGATGCTGACATAACTAATAAAGCTATCCTAGATGTTCCCTACTATAAAGAGATTTGGGCTGATTTTGATTCTGCTAGTAAAGAACTCGGAATTGAATTCTCCACAAACCCAGAGTGCTTAAGGTTCATAACTAAAAGTAGCTATGAAAGAACAGCTATTGAATTATATCCCAGTTGTAAAGGAGTGACTACTTTGGAATGCAACGAAAACCAGATCAACTTCTATCAGATGTCATTTATTAAACTGAGCCAGAAAATATTGAATCAAGCAAGTAAATTTAACCTTAGTACAAACAATGATGGACTTTTATCGATGACATTTTGTATACAACTGGAAACCGAACGTGCTGCATTTGCCAGATTTTTCTGTGTTGCCAATCGACCGGACGATCTTTAAATTGCAAAACTATAACAGTGATTAAAAAATAATTGTCATTGGAATTTTTCCACGAATGTTCGTCAAACAGACAATTCTTTGCTGGAACCTTGAAATATCCAGTATAACAGATCTGTGCTTTTAACGAAGCAGTAAGTGATGGCGAAGCTCACATCTTTAGTAAGTGTACTCAACTGGACATATCACATTCTTGGCATTATAAATTTTATAAATTGTTTATTATGACTTTTTTGGCAACGAACTAGGAAGGAAGAATTTGTATACAACAATAGACAACAATGTGGCTCCAGAAACAGAATAGATGGTCGCTCTTTTCAATGCTTTCAAAGCAAGTGATACACCATTCTCGTATAAGGCCGCTTGAGCGTTTTGAAGTCCCTGAATATGATGAAAATACAATCAATTAAACGAAAATTATTCAAATATTATGGTGCTTATAAAAATTATATCTTACCTTTTGAAAAGCTTCAGGATCTTGTCTTTTCGTTAAAACAATAGATGAACCGAACCCAGCCAGCAATGACATTGAAGCGAGTCCACTGAATAATAATATCTCTGAGCGAAAAAGAAGAAAGTAAATATGAGACATTGGGTGAAACATTCACACAGTCAATTTACTCACCAGGAAGATAACCCTTTTTATCACTGGTACTTTTCGATTCAAATAACGACTCAATATACTGAATCAAGAAAAAAATTAGATACAAATCAAGTCAAAATGCAAGGCAAAGACAAGGATATACTAACAGTCTAACGAATCAACATATTTTAAATTGAAATATTTCAATTACCTGCTCAATCGACTGCGATTCTGTTGGTTCCTCGGCCATTTTATTGGAATATTTCGTCAAACATGAGATTTTCAATTTAACTCAACACAATTTGTTTTCCGCTCCCAGCTGATAATACAACACATTGCCATCACATATCGCCATCTATTATCGTTTACTTTCATTCCACTCCAATCTGAATTAAAATCATTCAAAGTTTCTAAAGTCTCACATAATATTGATGTTTAAAATTAATACAAAAAATACTCTCATTAACCAAGTGCCTTCTTATTTTATACACCCACATTTAAACTGTTACAAAGATTCAATTAACGAAAATTTTAATTTTCTCAAACATAAATATAAACTTATTCAAGCAATAAACTGACAAGTGAGTTAAAATACAACTGCATTCAATTGTGTTTCTTAAATTTCCACAATTCATAGCTTTCTTCCAATATTGTTCAACTCAATTACTCGTAAATCTCATCGAATCGTTTCAAAGCTCAAAAAAGATTGTCTAAAGAATCAAACTTGGAGAAGTTTGAAAATGAAGGAAACAATTTTAACAGGAAAAAAATATGAGAATAAATGTCAAGTTTAATAAAAACAAAACATCGATAATAGCATTATCAAATTGAGTGCAAGCAAAAAGGTAAATAATAACAAGAAAAGTATAATAATATTGAAGGATAAAAGGATGATGATGTTGATGAAAAGTAAACAATTTATCCTGATGAAAAACCCTATAACTTTGAAGAGTTAATATGCTTAAGAGTAAAAAAATTTTACAGTTAGAAGCAAATATATTTATACTCAGATCTAAGTATAAAATATAATATAAAAAAAGTGAACAAGATCAAGTTATTATATATTTTATAGGATGAGGAAGACGAAAGAAGATGAAAGAGGATGATGATGATGAAAAAAATAACAAAATTTGATTGTAAAAGGCAATTGGACAGACTCTTTCTTTCAAACTCTCTCTCTCTTCTTTCCCGAAGGAGGAACCAAAAATCAATAAAACTGGTAAAATTTAGGATCAATTTTGAGAAGTGAAACATTTTGAAGCAAAAATAATGTTGAATGTATACAAGATGAAGGAGAGAGCTGAACATAAACAGTTGAGTGGAGATCCAATTGAATCAACTGGAATATAATTTCCGTTTGATGTGATCAACATGATGCTGGGTAAATGTTTAGGCAACTTTAATTGAATTGAAAAATTTCAATTACCAATGAAATAATCAGCAATTTATTGAAATAAAAATCACAACATTAAAGGCTAAAAGTGTTAGATATAAATAAGATACTTGCGATAGAATCGATTATATCAATAAACTTAAAAATAAATTCAAAAGATGGCAATATTGATTTTTTGTTTGTTTTCATTCTGCTTTGTAATATTGATTTCAATGCTTTCAATTAATATTATATTTTTGCCACCTTTAATTGAATTTAAGCAACAATAATGTTGGTAGTTAAATTGATGGTGATTATGAAGAAATGTAATTTACTTTGTGTAACAATGGAAAAGTTAACTATGTTCATCTTGGAGATCAACAGGGAAGAATCATGAAGAAAAGGTAAAAAGTCTAAGGTAACTTTTCTCGTTAAAACCCTTATTCTGTCTTCTTCTGTTTTCCTCTTTTCACTATTTTCAATCTTTATTTTGTATTTTACTTTTTAGATTTACTTTTCTCTGGACTCTACAACTCTCAGGAGACTTGGAACTTTTATTTTGCCTGATGAATCTATCATTTGAAATGGAGTTTCCAGCTTTTTGCTTTCTCCTTTTCTCTTGCTTCCTTTTCGTTTCTTTGATTTTTCATCTTGGCGTTGTTATCACTTTCATGGTTCGCATGGTTGATTGGACATTTTTCAGAGTTTTACTTTTACTTTTTTACTTCAACCATTAAATTGAGTAAAAAAAGAGGTGAATTGGATGGACATGTCCAAGGAAAAGGCTCAAGCTACAACTCTATTTGCTGCTACATGTTTTACATTGAAAGGAGTTACGAGTTTCTTTCCAGATAAATCTCTCAAAGCGCCCGTTATTAATGTTTTTCATGTTGACAAATGGTTGGATTATCAAATGACTGGAGGCAAATTGTCTGTTTGGTTTTTAATCATCAACAGGAGTAAACAATGAAATGGACACACAAAAACGTACAAAAGTCCGGAGCCGAATAATTAACAAGTTTAATACTTCAATCAACCATCTTGTTTGACTTTCCCATTAAGGTGTTTGTACACAGCAAATTAACACTTGAAACATGAAGCAAGAGACAAGCCTTTTTAAATATCAAAATCAGCAAATCAATTAATAATTGGCCAAATGTTAATTGAAAGTGAAATTAATTGAAAGCCAGTCTTTTATTGACTATGATTCATTGATTGTCCAATCTAAACCAACTTTGCCTTGCGCTTAAAAATACAAAAATATCAACTGGTTAAATTGATTACCTAATTGTAAATGACATTCACTAATCATCATTATGGGTCAAACCTAGACATGATCACCATGAAAAACATAAGGTTTACACTTTTTTGATTGTCATTGATCTAATTGTTAAATTTATAACAATCAATGGCTTCTATTTTTGTTTAATCTTTCAGACAAGCAAACACATTAATTGACTTTGCCAGATCATTTATTCAATGGCCAGGACAAGTCATTGTATAACAAGTGAATGGCAAAGTCAATTAATCATTGATTATAATCCAAATTAAAACAAATTAAAATAACTAGTCAACTTGTAGTTAATAATTTGTCCCCACATGCCTTGATAATGATTTAACAATTAAGATGAGTTGACTAAAAAAAAGGGAAACAATTGAAATGAAAATAACAGTTGACTGTTAATTCAATTTTCATCAATCTGTCAACAAATCTTGTTCCATCATTAAACATTGTTAACAATTGCAATTGTATCATCATCATCACCATGATGATGACGATAATCATCTTCTGGTGATCAGGTCAACATGTTAAGGCTATTTGTCGTCCTTAAATGTCTTTGAATGTCTTTAAGAATCAAAAAGTCGTCTTCAATGGAACCAACCATAAATCAAAATCAAGTCAATGCTTCTTTATACAACAACAATGATAATGATTCTCATCATCATCACCACCACCACCAACATGAACATCATCAAGCTCATCATATGGTCAAATAATTACCTTTAACTCAGGTTCAAGATCATTATCATTAGAATCACAGTTGGCCATAACCATAAGCATAATCATGATGACCAGTGAAAAGTTGAAACTCATCAAAAGCACAACAACGACTCTTGAAAAAAAAGGTTATCAAATGCAGTTGAACCTAAAAATACTTGATCATTGGAAAGGAGCTTAAATGGATGGAAACAATTTGACAAGAGAAATAAATTAACATGGAAAAAGTTGAAATTGGAAATGAAAATTGTAATCTAATTTGCTGATAACTTCTCATTCCAATCAGCCATGGCCATTATCATCACCATCACCATCATCATCATCATCATAATTTCCTATTTCATTGCTATTCTTTGATTATCTAACATTCAATTCATTTTATGTTTTTTTTTCTTCTTTCTGGTGATAAAGTTATTCTGTTTTTCATTTCATATTTTCATTTTGCTTTACTTTCATTTTTTGTCCTTTTTCAGCATTTATTTGATCAAATTGTGAACCTTTCTTTCAACTTTATCATGATGATGATGATGATGATGATGATAATGATAATGGGAAAGCTTTTTATTTGTGAGCTTTCAGAGGCATCAAGATGAAATAGCAAACAATTTGAAGGAGAAAAAGCAAAACAGCAAAAAAAACTAAATCCATTTTTGTAATAATAATTTTTGGTAACTAAACAGAACTGAGAATCCAAAATAACCCAGAATGTCAATTTACAGGCAATGATAATAACAGAGAGAAACGATGAAATGTTGAATGTTGCTTTTTTTCACTGATAAATCAGAATAATGATAATAATGCAAAACACTGAATAGTGGTCAAGAGTTAACATGAAATCATCAACATTCAAATTGACCATTATTATGATTATACAGTCGTTTTTTCACTCCAACAATTGATAACAATTCAAGGTTCAAAGCAAATGGATTCATATAAAATATGATAAATATAAAGTCATAAACCGAGTGTTAACAGAATTTCTTGTAATATTTCATTTCATTTCAACGCCAATAACCGTGAGAATTGTTACTTATGGAAACGAAACAAGTGAAGGCGAAAAAGGCGAAGAAAGCGAACAAAAAATGAAATAAAATAATATTCTTTTATTTTCCCATTTAATATACTTTTTTGGCCTTATAATTGAAGTCCAGTCAAATGTTGACCATTGGTCGTTTCATTGGAAAACAAAAAACATGTTCAAAATAATAAATAATAAAAAGGAGGTTCAACATGTTTTTTTTATTCCTTAATAATAATGATAATCGTAACAATATCAAGTATAATTATGGCTCCATAATTTAGCAATAAATCAGTTATAAATTGGACATAATTTAGTCCAACTTTATCAAATTGCGCCAATTTTATCGCCAAATATGTGCTCATTGTAATGTGATAACTGACAGGTTAAAATATCTTTACATTTCACATTCCGATCATTATATTGGCAATGCTGTTGCTGCGATGCTTCAATGGGCCAATGTTTTGATTTTTATCGTTCAAATTAAGACTTGGATTGGTCGACCTGAGCTTTGATGCTTGATTTTTTCATGTTGTCGATGGGCTAATGAATTGATGTTTCGATTTCGATTTAGTTTTTCTAAACTTTTAAAGTCCATTCGATAATGTTTTGAAGTTGGTATTGATATTGTTGTGCCAATGTTTCGATGTTGCAAAATTAAAGTTAGCATTTTTTTATTTACTGTAAAGTAACAGATAATGTCAGTCTGTTGAAGCGTCTTAAAACTTCTGGTGACTTAAGACAAGTTCCCATAATGTTTAGACGGCTTCTCAAAATGGTTAGACGAAATCTTAAGTCGAATCTAAAACCAGAAAAACTCAGAATTTTTCAACAGTTTTCATATTTAGATGAGTTCTCAGAAAATTGGGACAAATTTTCAAAATAAGGAAGCATCTCAACTTGATGAGTTCAATTCAAATCATTCATTTTTAGTCTTTTTTTCATTAAAATGTGTGGATAAAGTACCAACCGAAGACTCGAGTAAAAAGTTAGTGATGATCTTTGGTCAAGATTTGAACTTATCGAGTTAAGACGATTAAAGAGTGTATTTACACAGCAAGTACTTTTCATTGAGCTAAAAATCTAAATTGATTTTTTCAACTTTCTAGAAATTTTATGTTCTGTTTACAATTTTTGTCAATGTTTATGTGTGTTGGATCTTTTGATCTACTAATGTGTTTGATCTCTTTAAATCTAATGTTTTGGTACATTTTGGTCGATCATTTGATCGAGATGGACATTTGAATGAGCTGATGTTTTAAGAGATTAAATGTTTCCATGAATCGTTCACTTTCAATTGTTACGCTGCTCTCAATGATTTTGATAGCGATCATGATTGTGTAAACAGTTTTATCATGATTTAATCCAATGAAATGGTGTGAAAAGTTTCCACCTTTTTTAGGTAAATTTTCAATTCTTGGCTTTTCATTGATCAAATAAAAGTGACGCAAATTGTTTATTGTCTGGCCTTGTTTAAGGGACAGTTTTTGGACACAGATTTATGGGTCAAGAATTGTCCTTGTTATCATTATAATAGTTATTATTGTTATTATTGATTCGAACGTAATAGTTGGTTCAAAATAATCCAAACTGGACTCTATTCTTAAGCTGCATTTCTTTTCATCTTTACTTTTCTCTTCACTTTCTTCTGTCCTTTTCCTTTGGTCATTTTTGGAAGGCGCGTGCCGTGTTATTCCATAGATACTTAGTCCACTATGTAACTGACCCATAATAATAGGGTCAGTTTTTTTCTCTCTTTTCTTTCTTTCTTCTTTCTTCCCTTTCGTATTCATTGTGAAAAAGGTAAAGCGAAATTGGAGAAACTTTTAATTTATACTTTTCTCTCTTCTTTATCTGACCAAATTGAATAGCAAATATTTGAAGCGCAAAAATGTAAATCGATTCAGTTTTTTCCTTTTTTACCTTCAATCAATAATCTAAATTGTGAGTTTATTACAAACATTTGCAATCGATTTAAAAATGAAATGACCGTTTAGTAAATACCAATGATTAAGTTGAACCTATTTACCTTCAATTGACTAATTTTCATCCATTGCCAGCTGATGAAGGCAACAATTTAATCGATAGCAATCAAAGCAAAACCAAATGAAAATCAATCCTTTCACTTGTAACTTTGGGTTGCAATTTATAAGGGAATGTTGACACTTTATTTCACTTTTCAATAGGTAAATCAATCTCAACATAAACAGTATCAAATGAAAGCTGAATGTTTTGGAAAAGGGTTAAAACAACTAATTAAAATAGATAATGCAACTCGCGAAAGGTTCGTTAGGCTGCGAACTATGATGAGCTCAAATTACCTTCGAATTTCTCTTTTCGATTTTTCATTTTGCTTCGTTTAGCAATGAATTTCGGACAAAAAAATGAATTCCATTCAAAAGACGCTTTTATATTCAATCGATCCAGGTTGAGCTCAGAAACTCGACTAATGAGGAGAAATTTTCGATTTTGTCTATTTTGACTTGAGCTAAACTGCTTTAACTGAAAAGATTTCACCCAAAAAGGTTTTGAAACTGAACCAATTAGTTATTGATAAGTGTCCTCGAAGTGATGGCCATTTGCATAGCTATTATGACTACATCGTGGCATCGAAGGAAACTCATATAAGAATTGTTATCCTTACCATGGTTTTAATGTCTAAGAATATCCATTGAAGCTGCTTCCAAAAACCTATCGAAAGATTTTACCAAAGGTTTACCAAGTTAAAATAATGTAAACTTTCAGCACTGAATCATTTTGGTTTACACACAAAAAAGAACTTCACAATTTCGAAAAATTCAGATTCTGTTAAATCGCTCATAAAATTATTCCAGAGTTTGATCTGAACAAGTCAAATTACAGTTGAAAGTAGTCTTCAATGTAACGCTAAGTCAGTGGCTTTTAATAATGAAAACTGAAACTCTGAATATCAATAAATGAGAAAAATTTTCTTCACTGAATAATCTCTTGTTTCCTTCAAGTTGTTTAATTAAATCAAGTTTCACTGGAAAACAGTAAATTTAGTGTAAAAAGATGAACAATTTGTCTTGAATCGCCAAATAATAAATTAATGAAAGTGAAACATTTCCCCTTCACTTGGCTTACAACTTATTAAGATGAATTTTTGTCTGTAACTTGAAAACAGGACAAAGTCAATGGCTTGGAAATATGAAAAAACTAATAACATTACTGAACATGTTTAATAATAATAATGATAGGAAACAAGCAGAGAGAGCGAGAAAGAAATATAAGAAACTTGTTATTGAAATAAACTCCCTGTTTGAAAATGGATTTGAAAAAAAGCCAATGATAATGTAAAGATGACAATCGATAAAATGTTGAACAACATTTTCGTTTTTTTTCTTCATTGATTTTCTCTTCTCCCATTTTGTCCTCCTTTTTGTCCTCCTCCTCACCATCATCATTATCATCATCCTCTTGTAGTTTATTTTACAAATTTTGACTCTCGCTGGACTTTTCAGCTTTATCATTGGAAGATGAACATTCTGTATAGAAAAATGTTATCAAATAAAGGGAATTGCAAGTTTACTTTTATTCAACTTTATTTGTTCAAGTTTTTCGGGCAAATTTACAGACAAATGAACTTTTTTTTCTACATTTTTCATCATGTAAATACACTAATTTGATATGATTTTTGAAACATTTTTGCAAGTCTTATGTACAATGAGAGAGAAAAAATGATTATTTTGATTCAATTCTCTACGGCGTCAGAATGAATTCTGAATGAGTTGCTTTTACCTGATTCAACAGCTTGGCAACTCGATTAGGAACTTTATCGAGCTCGTTAAAAGTTGATTAACTTTTAATCTGGAATGACTATAACGATAAGTGAAGAAGCAAAAAATTTTGACCAAATTTGCATCTGATTATCATGAAGTTAGTCTCGGGAATTTACTGGGAGTTTTGTGTTTACAGGTTCAGGTGGTAACAATGATTGTTAATTGATATTACAATGGGAATCAAATTACATGATTATCAAGACGGGGAAGATTATTATTTACAGAATTATTTTTTTTTCGTTTTTCTTTTGCTTTTCTTTTTTCACCTTTTTTTGCATTTATGAACTTTCAGGTTGAGGTAATTGGATTAATGAACTTGCAATTGAATGTTTATCTGATTCTGTGTTTAATAAATTGTTGCCTGTTGTCAGTGATTCAACTGTGCTAAATAGCTTATTGTTAAGGTTAAGATTATTGTTATTGTTGTTGAATGAATTGTTACAATTTTCAACGTTTTTAATGTTATTTGCGATAATTTTACTGTCCATAATATCATTGGAATGGTCAGTATCATTGGTTTCATTAGTTTTACTATCATCGTTATTACTATCATTATTATTGTTATTATTTATATCACAACTGTTTCTACTGTTACTCCGGCCATTCATGCAATCATCATCACGAACAATGATTCCTGAATCAGAGCGAACCTCTTTACCATGATCTGAAGAGACTGATGAGCTTGTCGATTGAGTTTCAACTGTAACCAGGGAAACATCATCCTCTGAGCCCATTTCACTAGTCTCAACATTCAACTTATTCATAATTATTACACAACAATCATCGTTCACTTCACTTGACTCAGGTTCAGGAACAGGTAAGGATAAGGTCAACATTGAGGTTTCACTTTGGGTTAAACAGGTTGAGCTGAGTGACGATGGGGACTCGGTGACTTGAGTTGATCCTGTTGGGTCTTCCTTTACGGTTGAGCAGCAGCTTGATGTTGGCCTTGTTTCAGTTGCCTTTAAACTTGTTGATTCATTGGTTGTTAATTCACTTGATTCATCAACATCTTTCACCTCATCGAGACTTTTATTTTCACCTTTATTTTCACACTTTACTTCAGGTTTATCCTCACTTTTATCATCCAATTCATCCTCAATTTGTTCATCTTCATCACCATCCGAGCTAACCGATTGTTGCTGTTTGCTCTTCTTGGTCTTCAGCTTACTAACTGGACAATCAGCAATCAAATGGTCAACTGCCTTACAGTGGTGACACTTTTTTGGCTGAGGTCCCATATTGCACTTGGCTGCAATGTGATTTGCAAATTCACCACAATTATAACATCTAAATCAGTAAATGAGGAAAGAAGAGAAAAAAATGATTAATGTTCTGTTCTATAAACTAATGAAAAATTAATCGATTCAAGATGAGATTGAATGAGTACCAATGAAATTGATATGCCAATGTAACAAAAAAAATGTTAACACTTGAAGTTGGTACAATATTTTGTGAAAGCGAGTGTTTGTAAAGCGCTTCAAAAGTCGGATTATATAATGGATAATTCAATGATAATGATATTTAAAAATATACAACATACGATACAAATGGCGAGAGAAAAAGGAAAGTGAAGAAAACTTAATACTCTGGTCAAACGGATCAAATGGTCAGCTGATGTGGGTGACTCGAGGCTAAATCTGATACACATAGATGCACAGTTGTACGATTAACGAACACAATAAGTACAACAACAAGAAGAAGAAAAAATCAGTTGTACATTGAGGGTGTAAGTGAGTTTGTTAGCTCAAGGATGTATCAAAGGGCAGCTGGACATTGGTCAACATTTCAAAATTCAATGGTCAATTTAGAGCCAGTAAACCTTTTCTACTCAACAAAAGATTTCGATTTTAAGTAGACACACACATTGAACATAATGATGATGAGGAAGATGAAGATGATAAACAACAATGTTTACAACCTTGGCTCGTGCCAACGTGCTATCGTGCCAAAGTGTCCATTTTCCTTGTTTATCCATATCAATATCCTCTCTCCTGTACCCCTCCCTGACCCAAACCACCCTCACTGTAACCCTGTTTCCCATTCATCGCTTTTCATCCTTTTATTTTGTCTCTTCCCTTCATTTGTCCAACTCGAACCAGCTTCTCATCTGGTTTCTCTCCCTGGCAAATCTGGTAAATGCGGGGGAGTTGCTGTTGGTCTTTACCCTTGTCCGTCTCACAATGGCCCATCACAGTCCAAGGGAACCATTAAATAATTCACTTCCTCCCACAACTTTAGCTCTTTACAAATTCAACATTTCATTTTCTTGTCCAATTTGACCCATTTTTTCTTCCATTTCTTTTGTCCATTTCCTTTCGACACTTTTGTTACCTTTACTCATTGTTACCTCACTACCTTTACTGGCACGAGTCACATTTGACCTTTGCTTAAAAAACGTTAAGTGTGACCTCAACTCGAACGCTCTACTTTATCATCACTTGAATCGTTGCGCCTTTTACTTTCCTTTACCTTTTCTTTGTAAACATTTCATTCGAACATTAATTTGAAAATTTTTCAACTTTTACTTTTCCATTTGATGAGCACATTTGTATTTGTCTTTTCAGGTAAAAATATCTGATAAATGTTGGTGACACTTTTCAACTTGATTGCCAATTAACCATCCAATGGTCAGCATAACAAAGTCTCTTTTTTCCGTTTCTTTTTCATCTTCCCTTACCTTAACCATCATTATCATCATCACACTCATCAACAACATTTCAACAGATTTTTCAAGTGAAGTGCGCTAAAAGGTATTTGAGTTGCGTGAAATTAAATACTCAAATAAAAGCAATATGAAAACAGAACAAAAAAGGGAACCGAAAAAAAACGAAAAAAAGTCCAAAAACTAAGATATCTTATCAACAAGCTATTATAATGTAACAATAATGAGTAGAGCCACAAAGAGACAGACTAAGCTGACAATATCAACAATCAACTCACTTGAAATGACGACGACAACTTATACAACAACATCAGAGGGCCAAAGAGGACTGACCAGTGTGAAGAGGAAAATTGAAATGAAAAAAGTTGAAAAACATGGGAAAGGTAAAGACTTATGAAAAGAAGCAAATTATGATAATATCAACAATGAAATAATGAAAAGTTTCGATGGTCAGTCAATGAGCGAAGATAATGAATAAGATGATGTAAAAAAGAGGCCAGTTTGTCCTTTACTCTCCCTTGTCACTCTGACTGGACATTTGACGAGAAGTTGACATTGAGAAAGTAAAAGGTAAAAGAGAAAAAAAGAGAAAAAAAAGAAAAGAAAAAAAAACCAAAAAATTTGCCCAAATTTTCCATACAAACTATTCTCTCTCAACATCGTGACCTACTTTACCTTGAAACTGGCCAAAGGTCAGCTCGTGCCAACATGCAAATTGTTGGTAAAAAAGTCTCAATTAGAGGTTCAACAGACTACATTTGGAACAACATTAATTCAGATTAATTCATCAATGATTATGAGAAGTAATTTTGTGTACATTTTATCATCTTTCGTTCATCCGTATCAACTAATGGTAACATAATTATCATTAGTTGTCTTGTACAATTACAATGGTAATAATGATCTTTCAATGGTTTTGATAACAATTAACTTTTACTTTTTTCACTCATTTCGATGTTTGAACGGAAAAAACATTGAAAAGGATTTAAAAAGCTAATAATCTTGGCCCATCTGCACCTTTTACCCGGATAATGGTCTAACCTTTAACCTTGTTTCAATAATGGCTGAATACAGTTACAATTACTTTACCATTTCGCTTTGTTTTCTGGTTTTGTTTTGTCTCTTCATTCCGCTTTCTTGCTATTGACCTTATAATAATGGCCTTTTGGTTAAGGTTACCTTTTACCTTGCTTTTTGCCTTCCCTTGGTTAACAATCTTAATGCTCAAACTGATTGTGATAATGATACCTTTAAACGCAGAGGTTCAATCAAAAGAGGCACAAAAGTGTGAGTCCAAGTGCCAATGATATTAACAGCAGTCCAGAGAAACGGAAACTAATCATATTTACAGATCAATGGTAATCAAAGACCATTTCATTGTTAATTGTTCACAACTTTTACACTCTTCAGTCTTTAGTCTTTGGCCACTTTAATTTTTTCGCGTTTACGGGCAACAATTTGTAACATTGATTCCAATTATAGTTGAAAACTACAATTTAAAGTTTAACCAATTTGGATGAAAATAAAAGTACAATTTATTTCTCGCTTGAACCGTAACAGACCTCGAGATTATCGTTTTATTGCAAAAAACAAATTGTATATTATCATCATTTGGTCAGTTTCACAGAGCTTTACCAATAAAGTGCTAAGTCTGAGTAAATTTATTGCAAATATAATAATAGATTCAAAGATGAAAATTGAAACAATAAAAAGTAAAGATGAAAAGAAACTTCGATTTTTGGAAGGCCGAAACGAATGCAAAAGATGCAAATACAAGATTCAGACCGAATTCACGTCCAAATTAAAGTGTACAGTAATTTCATCAGCTAATCAAAAGCTATTGAATGTAAATTCAAACTAAAGCAAAGGAAAGGAAATTTTCGCAGATTGAAATTAACTCATGAAATTTGTCACTAATGAAGTTAACAATCAACAGTTAATGGTTAATTGCATTCTTAATCAAATATCATTGATGTATCAATCGATCTCATAAATACAGTTGATGGCACTTCTCATTAGATTATAAGTTAAACTTTACTTACCGAACTTTTTTAAACTTTTTCCTTGAAATTGGCCTTCTATGTGATCCTTTACATTCCAACCCTTCAACACCAGTAACCAAAGTGGCCTCCAACCCTTTATCAGAAACTTTACACTCAAATTCAACTTCCTCTTCATCACCTAAACTCCTAAATCCATTCATTTGAATAACAGACTGAAAAAGGCAAGTGAAAAGTGATTAGTTGATGGCAAATCAAAGGGAAACATTTAAGGTTAATCAAAAAGAGTCGCAAGAGTACAATTTCACAGGTTAATCAAAGATTACGATAAATTATCCAAAAAATGATCAGAAACGATCACTTTTGAGTGAACATGAAGAAAAAAAGAGTTTTCTCATTTTTCTCAGTTGATCGGACATTTTATCCTTCATCATTCAACTTACTTTAATGATTACAATAATAACATAAATAATATGTTTACAGTTAAAGTGAAGGTTAAATAAATCAAATTGACACAAAGAAATGAGATGAAATGAAATGATGAAAAAGGTTAGGAAACATGAAAATTATCATCACTTTTACCTGTAAATAAGCCTTGAGGTTGCTGATGTTTGTGGTCAAGATTAATGAGTCAAAGTTTACTTGTCAAAATGTTGCACAAAATTAAACAAATATGATCGGCAAGACTAATGATGACCAAAAGCAAATTTGTTCATTCAGTAAATTCAGTTAATTTGATTATGAAAAGCAAAATTGATTTTACTCCATTCCAAGCCAAAAGGTGATCTCAAAAGTTTTTCAATCAACTTTTCACTCTTAAACATTATGCGAAAACCGTGATCGTAAGGTTGACCCAAAGAGGCCTTACAAGTTTAACAAAAGTGTACAAAAATGTTGACCTCTTCTTGTGGCTATTCAAATGGTCTAACCACTAATTTACCTGACTCGTGGTCAGTCCAAGTCACGCGAACCAAGACAATTAGGAAACTTTTGTTTCTCCAAACGCAGATTTACATGTTAACACATTTTCAATTTTCGACTTTTTTCTATTTCTTTTTGGAACGGAGAGAAAAAAGTTTGGACATTTCGTGCGCAAAATAATGTTCTATAAACTTTTCTTGTTCTAAACTTCTCAAGGTAAACAATAATGATGAAAGTGTAATCTTGTTTGACCATTTAGTTTGGTTGAAATGAAAAAAAAAAGTAAATGTCATTGGCAATTGAATTGGATGGAGAGAAACGAAAGAAGAGGAAAAGAAGAAGAAAAAAAAACATGAAAAACTCGAAAGGTCCAATAATTTGAAAAGATGAGCAGTATAAATCATGAGAATTCCTTGAGAAAATAAAACTCGACTGAAAAAGAGAGTTGAAGCGAAAGGAATTGCAATGAAGAAGACAAAGAAGATAAAAATAAGAAAAATCTATGGACCAGAAATAAGATGCTGCAGGGAGTGAAAAAGAATTGCTCAGAAAAAAAAGAGAAAGAAAAGTCACAACGAAAAAAATGGCGAAAAAAAACTGATTTTCAGATGAAACTGCAACTCATCTATTCTTATCATTATAAGTTGGCCAAAAGTGTTGAACATTTCAACGTTAACTCGATTCAATTGTGACAACAAGTCTGACAAGTGTAAGAATCAAATGCAGTTTAAAGGATAAAATTTTATAGGGATTTGAGTCTGGGAGTGAATTTTATCATTTTATAGGGAATGAAAAATTGAAAGCGAGACGAGATGAAATGATAAGAGAGAGAGAAAGAGAAACAATGAGAGTTAGTCAGTTATTGGATAACATATATCACAATTTGAACTAATAGCAATTGGGAGTAAAAAATATATACTAAATAAAAGTTGCCTGTTATGGCAATATATTTTCACTTTAATGGTCACTTTATTTTTGTGGACAACAAGGGAAAGGAGAAATGCCTTGATTAGACTTTTGTAAAGTGTAATAGAGTGAGAAATAAAGGGAACAGGGAATGAGAATGGCTATAGTCAATCCCTGGTCTCCCTCCCTGTAAACCCATTTACTTTTAGTCCACCCACTTTAGTCCATTTTTTGGCTGCCATTTTGGTTGATCACAGTTCCAAAATTGCCTTTTTTTCTTACTTTCATATTAAAACATTTAAAGGAAAAGAGCCATTTGAAATCATCATTTTAAATGTTCACCAGCATTACATCTCATCATCATCATCAACCTCATCAAATGCATTCAATACAATTGATATATATTTTCAACATTTGTGAAGCTCAATCGCCAGTTCCCTGGATGATTCCGCCATAATCTTTTCTCATTTTCTCGTCTTCTTTTCATTTCTTATTTTTTCATCATTATTATTGTTATTGTCATTATCATTACTATTATCATCATTTTCATTTTCATGATAATCAAGGTATTCTGCGTCAAATTGTTGATCATCTTTTCACTCATTTTCCCATTTCTTTCAACTTTTTCAAACTTTTTTTTCTCATGAAATAATTTTTTCTTTTTTTTCGTTCTTTCGATTCGACTTTGACCAGTTTAATCAATTAATTGCTCTATTTTTGTCTTGATATTTTCATCTCGACCGGAATTGTTTCCCTTAATTGGTAATAAATTGAATAACTGATGAAATAATTTGCTTTTTACAAATTATTAGCATTACATTATTATACATTTTTGGATCATTACTTTATACTTTTACTATCTATTCATATATAGATGTAAATTAATTATTGATCATTATGGTAAATGTTATTAAATGGTAATGATTAAAGTTAACCTTTTCAATAATTAATGCCCCATCATTAACCATTTCAATAGAGAGATGCAAAATTATTGCAATCTTATCAAACGTAAAATGTCGATTCATATTTTGCGCTTTGCTTAATCCATAATTATCATCAGTCTTGCTGCCTTCATTAAATAAACAAATTAGCTTTTGTTTGAAAAATTTCAATGTATAGTTATTGAGTCAAGTCAGCATTCATTTATCAAGTCAATAACCAGATATTATCGGCTTATTTTCCATTATTATTGTAACAAGAAATTAATTGCCCAAATAAAGTCTACTCAAAACGAATGGCATGAGTTACTTGACTGACAACAGTAACATTTCGTATCATTTGAAATGCAATTTTGAAGTTTATCAGAAGTCATCAGTCTGAACTCGTCAGTTTATCACATCGCTTCAATCACGACAATCGCTACAATGAACAAAACTGACTGAATCACCGCTGAATGATTATTTTAAAGTCACTTAAACTCTGAGATTTACTGATTAGTTTAACTCAGAGTTTAGTCATCACTGATGACTCATCAGATTATTTTGTGACTTACCTTCAAGGGTTAAGTTGTATAGAGTTCAATTTTTATTGCTTAATCAATTATCGATTGAAAAGTGTGCTATCTTGTGTATCTTTATTGCTAGTCAAGCTTTTAAAGTTGAACAGTTGACTTTAGTCAAAAACCAAAGATTATGATAGCATCTGCTCAAAGCCTAAGATAGCTTTTATCGTCCAAACTCAGAGCTCATTTGGCGTCTCAGATCATTTTTGCGTTAAGAACAAATTGATAAAAGTTGAAATTAATTGACTGTTGATTTGGTTTTCATAACCATTTCATTTGTACACGATTTGATAGAAAATTTTATAAATGTTTCAATGTTGAATTGTTTTCAGAGTTTCGAGTTTTTCATACAAAAATGAATTTCTCTCCAACTTTACCTGATCATTTTCACTTTTTTCATTTATCATCATCCCTCTCTTCCTTGGAATTGTTGATCTAAGATGATTGTTTAAAGAAGATAGGAACGTGAGAAGCAAGCAAGAATATATTATTAGTAAAATAATAAATCGGTTTAAATGAAATAACCAAGTTCACCACTCAATTCACTTCTCATGTATCACTTTAACACTTTTTTGCTGCCTTCTTCATCCTTTTACATCTCACTTTTCACAGATTCACTTCTATTCATTTCAAGCCCAAGCATGGCCAGGCAACAAATAACAACAACAAAGCAAAGTAAAAAGTATCAATAACCAAGGTAAAGAAGGATGAGGATGAGATGTTGATGATAAGGTAACTCTAATCATTTATTATCTTGAATACACAAGGAAACACACATCTTTAAACATGTCCAGTAAACAAAAGTAAAAATGTAAACATTTCATCTCGACTGGCGAGTAAATGTCAATGTTGGCTAACAATTTTTCACTGAATAAATTGACAATTAAAAGGTAACAAAATGCAGTAAAACAATCATCTGCCATTTACCTGGTCAAAAAGATGCCAATAATTATTGAGGTAAGATTTTTGTTTCGCCTGTAATTTGCTTTCGTATCTTTACCATCATCATCAGCACCACCATCATCATTATCATCATCATGCTGTTTTTGCTTAATCTTATTTGTTATACATGTGTTTTCATTACAATTGATTAATGAGGGTTTTTTGTAAACTCAACTGTTTACCATTGACCATCATGATAAAGAAATGATTAAGATTGATATTTACTATGCAAATTGTTGTTTACATTTTCAAAGTTTGCAAATCTTGTCGGTTTGACAGAGCAGCTCAAAATTATCATTGATGACCATCATATGTGGACATCATTTGTAATAACTTTTCATGAGATTTGAGATTAGGAAACGGTTTTATTAATGATCTTTTTTACTCATGGTCATCATCTGAATATGAATGGTTCAAGTTGAAAGGTTAATGGACATGAAATGTTGAATTTTACTTTTACTTTTTTTCGTTTTCAATGGACAGTAAATTATGTAAAATTGGACATTTACTATTAGAGATTAAAATTCAATGGAAGATTGGAGGATAAGAAGATGAAGAGAGAGAGAGAGAAAAGGTAAAATGGGAGAGAAAGAGGAAAGAGTAAGGATGACAAGAAGGATGAAAACTGATGTAGGAGTGAATGGAAAGTGTGTCCAAAGAAGAAAAAGGGAAAAGATTCGAGGTCAGTTTGGCTGGGGTCAATACAATTTTTTGACAGACGGTCAATGATGATAAGTCTGTTTGTCTATTTGTGTGGGAGAGAGCAAAAGAAAGACTGAGGTAGACAGAAAGAGAGAGAGATAAAGGTCATTCAAGTTGAAAATGCAAGAGCAAAGAGACAGAGAGAAAATAACGAAAAATTAAATTAAATTTGAATCGGATGAAATGGAGTAAGTCTCAACCTAAGAAGGTTCACCTTTGTGTACAACAATAAGCTCATTGTTG